CCACCAATCCCGGAGCCGGAAAGAGTAATAGGCGGAGCTCTGCCGGTAATGAAGCGCAGGCGTTTTTAAAATTAATTGGGCTGGTAATTGAAAACACATTTTATATATTTTTGATAACTTATTGACGATTTAAACGAATTTTTATTAAATTAATATTTCAAAGTGACAACTCCTGTCAATTCATTATATATATTTCTAGTTTGTTAGCTTTTTAGAAAAAAATGAAGACATAATGAACATCATTCAATTAATTGCTAACTTTTTCACCAGAATCGGAATACTTAATTTATACCTATACAATGATACACCTGCTCTTAAAAATTAAAATGTTTGTAGAAGGAGAATAGAAACAGGAATAATAAGAATAAATAAGAAATTACAACAAAGCCATTGCTTTTCTTTATAATTTGGATTTTTTTTTTCCCAGAAAAACGTTCAGATGTAAACGCAAGGCGCAAACAAAGCGCAACCTCCGCTCCTCCGACACCAACCTCCTGTCCCCACCCCTCCGAACGACTCATCGAACCTGGGGGGACTGGGCCTTTTCCATTGCCGCTCCCTCTGGAACTCTCTGCCCGTCCATATCAGATCCTGCACTGACTTGCCCTCCTTCAAATCCCTTCTGAAAACCCACCTTTTTAAAATTTCTTTTAACATGTGACTATTTTACTTATTTATTTCTTTTTTATTGCTATATTCAAATTGTGTACTTTATGTAAAGTGTCTTTGAGTGTCATGAAAAGCGCTATACAAATAAAATGAATTATTATTATTAAAGTTTGACATACATTTTCTTAAATATATCAAAAAACAGACAAGGAGGTTAAAAGTGGAATAAAATTGAACAAAATTGTTAACATCTTAAAAAGTGCTTAAGAAAAAATATAAAAAGAAAGGGGAACACTAAAATAATCATGATAATTTCTGCTTTTCCAACACAACACTGAAACTAGAAAGCGACCACTGTGAGTTCACCGTGCACGTTAAAAGTAAGTTTAAAAGATTGTTTTTTAAAAATTTATTTAAAATTTTACAATCCCATATCCTCTAATATTCGCGAATAAATCAAATATATCAGCCAATAGAGGCCCACTCTACCAAACAAAGGTTATGATTTATTATTTTTTATAAAACCTGTCTAAAAATCCACTTTAATTCCTTGGCTGTTGGCCCGGTATGAGACATAATTTGTTTTATTGTATTTTATTATATTTTAAAACGACTATTGTTGTTTTAGGTTTTTATGCTATTATGTACAGCACTTAGTGTCAACTTTGGTTGTATGTAAAGTGCTCTATAAATGAAGTTGAGTTGAATTGAGAATTATTATTTTATTATAAGGATTTACACCACAGGACAAAAGTTTGGAAGCAAGGCCATTACAGGCTGAACAGTTGGGAGTAACTTCAAGTTTTTGTTCACAATGCTTTTTTTTAAATCCAGCATGAGTTTTATGTATTTTGGGATGTATTTACTCCACGATCAGATGTTGCTTTCATGGAAATGCACCATTTTACTCCATTTACCTTTAGATATACATTGATGTTAACAGACCAATATATGTCAGCAAAAGATAATAAGGGCTTAGTTTTAGGGTTGAAAACATTTGAAAGAGTCACAACTTCAGTGCAAAAGCAAAAAAACAAATCACAGTTGGATTATTCACTTTAACTTTTTAACTTTTGAGAGTCTGCATACAAAAATCCTAATAAATCTCAACTGGGTTCAAACTACTGCAAAAATGACTAGAAAGAAGCAACTGAGTAAAGAAACGAAAGTACAGATTTGTACATTGAGGAAAGAAGGATACACAGAAAGAGAAATTGCAAAACACCTAAAGGTGTTTAATAAAGGAGTCCACTACACTCTGAAGAGACTAGAGGAACCTGGAAGTTATGATGATAGAAAAAGACCTGGATGAAAGAGAGTTACTACAAAAGCAGAGGATAAACATAGCATTGTCACCAGTAAGAGAAATCGGCAAAAGACAGCACCACAAATAAGGGAGGAAATCAACATGACAAGGTCGAAACCCATATCTCTGACAACCGTGAAATGACATTTGAGAAAGGCTGGTCTGAAGGGTTGTGTATCTGCAAAAAAAAAAACTCTACTTCGTCCACAGAACAAGAAAAAGAGATATGAGTGGGCAAAAGCTCACAAAAATTGGACTTATGATGACTAGAAACAAGTTTGCACTATTTGGTTCAAAACGCAGAGTCTATATCCACAGACAAACTGATGAACGTCTGAAAGCACCATGTGTTACACCCACAATTCAGCATGGAGGTGGTAGTTCCATGGTATGGGGATGTTTTGCAGGTGATGGAGTAGGAGATTTGTTTGAAGTAAAGGGTATCATGAAGAAAGAACAGTACCACTCCATCCTCCAGCACCATGCTGTTCCATCTGGACTCAGACTTGTGGCTCATAAGTTTGTTTTGCAGCAAGACAATGACCCTAAGCACTCTGCCAAGCTCTGTCAGGGTTACTTAGACAAAAAAGAAGAGGAAGGTATTCTTCAAAAGATGGTTTGGCCCCCTCAGTCCCCAGACCTTTCTCCAATTGAGCTAATGCGGGATGAATTAGATCGATCGGTCAGAAAGATGCATCCCACAAATCAGCAGTCTCTTTTTGATTAACTTAAGAAAGCCTGGAATGCAATCCCTGGAACATACCTTAAAAAACTTGTGGAACGAATGCCTGGTATATGCCAAGCTGTTGTTAAAGCCAGAGGAGGTTACTTTAAAGAAAGCAAAGTCTAAGCAACAATAACTCAAATATCTAATAATTATAGTCAGAATGTCGTCTAATGAGTTACTCTTTACACAATAGTCATGTTTATTGTGTTATAATAATAATAATAATAATAATAATAATAATAATGCATCAGATTTTTATAGCGCCTTATCAGAGACCCTCAAAGCGCTTGTTGCAAATTATCATTATTGTTATATGAAACTATGATCTTTTTTTGTACAAATCTGATCTTGCTTCTAAACTTTTGGCCTGTAGTGTACATCATTACATTCCTGTTAGTTTTCCTCACAAAAAGAGCTCACAGGGTTAAGAAAATGTTTGTTAGATTTTTACAGACGTAACAAAATCTGTGTTTCAAAATGTTTTGTGGACAGCCGAACAGATGAGACTTGGATTAAACTACAAAGTTGTTGTAAAACATTGTTTTCTGAGGTGGGACTGATACAAAAAAAAGCAGAAGTAAATGACCGTAGAATTAATAGCAAATATTGTAAAATGACCATGACCCTGCTGTGAATTTTGGTCATTTTCAGTTTTAAGACGTTAAATTAGATTACAGCATTTGTGTTTTAAATAGTAAAATAATGGCTTTTCTGCTGCAAGTACTTACATATGAGCCTTATTTATGTAAGGCTCATATGTGCATTCTGGATGACCATGAAAACAAAGCTGTGGTTTCTTCACAGTGAGTTTTACAGAGTCTTCATGACAACATAGAAAACAGTCATCTGCATAAAGAATGATATTACAGTCAGTAACAGAGGAGAGGATGTAATTGATAAACAGTATACTGTAAACAAACAAAGGACCCAGAACTGGTGGAACACCTTTGGTTAACAGCTGACTGTGATTTTCTGACTTTGTCATGTTTAAAATTTATTGATCTTTGGAAGTAGATATGATGAAGTTTCTCATTTAAAGAGACTCTTTATCATCGGAATAACTGATGTGAATATGAGGTCAATGTTCACCATTCTGCTAACATGATACTATAGCTCGATAAAACTGAGATGAGCTGCAGGTTCAGGTGATTACTCTTTTCAGGTTTATAATGATGACTTGAGGAATTTGTCCCCAATTATATTACTGGGACAATAAAATGCATGAAAAACTCTTGTGGAAAAAGTGAAGCAGACAGGTAAGGCAGATTAAAAGTAAATAAAAAAAACCTCAGACTTTGAGTCAAAGATGAAAATTATTAACGTTTTTCTTTGAAGTCAGGTCCGTCAAACAGGGAGGTAATTTTTCCCAGTCTGAGACCCAGGCCTTGAATGCATCACAGTCCCCCTCCTGTGGGAAACACTAGGACACTATACATCATATGATGGAAAACTAAAGTTTAATTGTTAAGAATCAGACTTAATCATTTCACTGGAGCCACATTAAAGCAGCTTTGACTGAACTTCACAGTAAAATGACCTTTTGAACAGCTTATCTGTGATTAGCAGCTTCATGTTGGTTCTGAGTTTCCCTCCTGCGGCTCCTGTTGGCAGCTATAATCCTGACAGATTATTTCATTACACTAAAGTCATTGTTGTTCCCACAAAGCAGCAGCTCAGGGCCTCAAAGTCTTTTATTCAAAGTTTTTCTTCGGGAAAAACAAAGGTGGGTCCAAAAATGTCACACAGGCTATTCTGTCAAGAAAAGGAGTTCGTTATTTGATATCTGTAACATGAACCCTATTATTTACCACAGGCAGGTTCAAAACAGAGCTGACCTATCAGATTTATTACAGCCCAGCTCTAATTATTTCATTGTGATGCTGTATGTTTGTGATTTTTTTTTATATAAGAAAACTCAGTATGCCTAAAAACCTGCAGTAATGATTTTTCAATTCTTACATGGTTTTTACAAAGTCCTGACATTCCACTTATGTTTTCTGTCTTTTTTTTTGTTATGCTTGAAAAATGAGAAAATAAATTGAAACATGTCCAAAAAAGTGTTGTCTCTTGTCCATGTAGGAAAACATGCTTATATTAACAAAAATATTATTAGAAAAAATGTCAGTTCAAAAATTTAGATGACAAACTAACAGAATAACAGAAATATGGAGATGGTTCAAAGTCAAAAACATTAAAAAAAACGACTAAAAACAACAGAACTGAAAAATAGCGTCACACTCTCAGCCTCCAGGCCTCTAGGGGGGATCATACATGTGACTTAAAATGGTGCAAAACAAATTAGTGATGGGCACAGCAGTTCTTTTAGATGTAATGAATCACTGGAATCAGTTCACTAAAAAGATTTGTTCAAAAAATTTGTTCACAAAATCACAGAATCATGTAGCAGGAGAAGCCTGCGGCTCCGACCTCCCGAACTGAAACACAGCTGTTTGGGGACACATGTTTCAGGATTCAGTTCAGATCAGGGCTTCTGGGATCGGGGGGTGAGAGTGTTTGTCTGTGCTGCTTAAACAGGTTTGTAAAAATGAACTTGTTAATAAGTCATGATGTTTAAAGTGTACTGTCCTATGGTATGCTATTTATCAGGTCTGCTCGGTAAAATTGGGCTTAGTGAGTGATTCGTTCACTGAAATTTTAGAAGAACGCACCCCTGAAACCGCTGCAATGATAGGATGCTGTGGGTTTAATGCACTATTTTTTACATGCTGTGTCCTACTGTATGCAAGTTGTTGTGGTGGCAATTTAGCAGTAAAAAAAAAAAAGTTAACTTTGTCTGACAAAAATGATTCCAGAGAGTGTAGTTCAATGCGTAATTCGTTCACCAAGTGATTCAGTGAGAAACGAACGAATCACTCGAGGAAGTGATTTGGTTCAGTACGTTCACTTAAAAGATTCGGTTCTTTTGAACGAATCGTTCGCGAACGACACAGCAGTAAAACAAATGCTTAGAGAAAATATACTTTCCTCCATTTATTCTTTCAGACCCTAAATCTCTGACTTCCATGTGGTTTGAAGTCTCCTGTTGGACCTTTGCTAAATTAATTGCTGGCAACAGTGGAGGAGGCTTCCAGAATGCTGAATGTTCAGAGTTTGCTGAACAGTAAATTGTGAAAAGCTGTTAAGAAGCTTAAAGACAAAAGACAGTTATAATAAAACCCCCATTTTGATGAAAACTCATGAATCGTGAGTCCAACTGTAAAAAAGTTATTTATAACAGTGCATGAAGAAATGACTAGATTCAGAAATGTATTCATTTGGAATTTTTAATGTTGCTTCAGCTTGAGTCAGAATGCATAAAAAGCAGAAATACATATATGATGTTATATATTTATAGTCACACTGTAAAAAGTTGTCACCTATAGCACAAAACCTTCTTCAAACGAGCTTTTACATTGTCACACTGTAAAAAGAACATGGACATTTCACATATGGTGCAAACAAAGAACGTTGTGTGTGATAAGAGTCTGTGATTTAAAGAGCAACGTTATTTACAGTAAACATGGTTGTTCTTTTCTTTAAGAAACAGTCATCCACTCAAATCCAAACTTGAGATTTGATCCATTTAGATCAATCAATTCAATTTAATTTAATTTAATTCAACCTTGGTTTTAAAGAGATACTAAAAATTTCTTGAATGACAGAACCTGCTCTGTGATAAATCAGATGTTATAAATTTTATTCATGACATTGATGTTTTAAGCAGAAATTGGCTCTTTTTTTATCGCCTCAGCCCTTTCTTAATCCTGCTGTCACAGTTTTAATACCAAACATTTTTGCTGTAGTTATCACCATTACATGAACTTGCTTTAACATATTTCCTCTACAATAAAACTTCTCACACAGAATCTGCGTGACTGGATGCTCAGCTGTTGCTGAATAAGCTGGTTCAGATTGTAGAAAAGGGATCAGAGGGTTTCTAGTTTCAGGCAGCTCTTAGTCTATTCAGCAATACTGAGCCAATACAGCACAAAAAAACCAACTATTTTTCTTTTATTATCTGTGTTCCTCCCCTAAATTCATCATAAAAACATCCAGACGAAACCTCAGTACTGACCCTCATCTGAAAATAAAGTAAAAATTCCAATTTATCTCAAACTTCAACTAAAATCTTAAAGTCCTGACACAAATCTCAGAAATCTGACTTTTAACTTTTAATTCCAGCCATGACCTGATTTCAGAATTAATCTCAGAATTCTTTCTTGAGTTCATATTTCCATTTTATTTCCAGTCGTCTGATTTTAATCTCATAATTCCAAACTCTAAATTTGGAAAACTGACTTTTATGTCAGAATTCAGACTTCTAACTCATAATTCCTCCTTTAATCACAGAATCCAGCTGTAACTTCATAACTCCGATTTTGATCTCAGATCTTCTTGATCCAATGACTCTTAGTTTAATCTCATAATTCCAATTTTTTTTTTTGTCTCAGAATTCAGACTTTGATCCAATAAACCGAAATTTGATCTTAGGATTCAAAATTTGATTACCAGAGTTCTGATTTAAAATTCTAGTTTTCTCAAAGATTTCAGCTTTAGTCTAAAATTTCTAATTTTCTAATTTTATTCTCAGTATTCTGTTTTTTATTTCAGAATTCTGACTTAAATCCTAAATCTTGCCTTACTGACTTTCATCTCAGAATTCTCTCAATGATCTCAGAATATAAACTTTAATCTAAAAAAACGTTATTCAAGAATTCTGACTTCAATCTCAGAATCCCAAGAATAAAAATTGACAGCTCAGGTGTGACTCTAAACTCAGATTTTATCTCTTAATTCTGAGAAAATTTTAACCTCCAAGTTAAAAAAAATCCTTTTGTGTATGTTGATCTTCAATCACAAAATTAATAAACCATCTTAGATAAAACATGACTTTAGAGTGGATTATTGTTACACAGCGTTGACTGAGTATAAGTCAAATGTATTTTAAAATAGATAAAAGTTTAAAACCCTCTCAATCATTCAGTCAATTTACAAAGCTGTATACATAAAAAAAACAACACACATAACAATAAAAGTATGGTGACGTCAGAACATTGTATAACTTGATTACGACTCAAAGTTCATTAATGTTCAGTATTAACGGCTCTCATACTTTAATCCACACGCTCGCTCTGCTGCAGGATTTTAATCCATTCAGACACTTTGAAAGCATCAGCAGGGAGCAAACTAACATACAATCCGCCTACTCAACTCACTTCACCCTGAAATACAACTCTGAGGTTGTGCCTGAACTCAGAGTAACAAATTCTCTTTTTCACCTCTCTACTTCTGTTTGACAGCTTTACCACTTATTACACCAAACTGCAGGTGACAGAAAAACTAATATATTTACTACATAGCCATAAATTCTGCTCGCTTTTCAAATGTAACCCACGCACTAACACCTTGTAACTGAACCATTTATATTATTTTCACTACAAACTTATTCTGCTGATTATCCTAAAATAATTGTCCTAGACTTAAACTTGAAGTTGTAGTAGAACTGTGTAATACTTAGTAATCTTATTTTTCACCTCAGAGCATCAGCTAGTCCTGGTATTGGGGGATGGGCTCCATGTGCTCAGGTGTTGGCTCCACCTTCAGTCCTCTAACTCATTTTTTACTCACTCTGGAAATAAAAACTGTTTCAGGATCAGTTTCCACCTGCATCCATCTGGCGCCCTCTGCTGGTCAGTCCAGCTCTCCCTGTCATTAGAACCATTATCATGTAACTGGGTGAAGTTTCAGACCGGCAGGTGGAGGCCTCTGTGCTGGGCTGGGCTCAGCGTCAGCAGCTTCCTTAGGTGAGCTAAGACCAGGTGCTTCATGCTGCCAGGATTCTTAGAGCGGGCCAGGGCGACGGATTGTGGGAGATCAGACCTGTGAGGTACCAAAAGAGAGGAGGGGATTTAACAGAAGGGAGGGGACCTGTTGGATTTGTCCCATGGCAGCATCAGAAAAACCTAAAATAAAGTAAATAAAGTACCATAAAATCTAAGATACAAGTGGTAGCAGGATATAAGACTGGGGACCCTATCATACACCTGTGACCTGTCGTTAAGTATTTTTGGCCATTGTTATTTTCCACCCAACGCACTTGTCAGTGTTCTGGTTCAGGCCCAGTCTATTTTGCGCCACATGTCTCCTACAGAACCATCTTCAGGGTAGTGATGGGGAGATCAGTTCTTTTGACTGTACTGAATCTTTAGAATCTGTTCATTAAAACGATTTGTTCAAAAGATTTGTTCACTAAATCAGTCAGTGCTTCGGAGCCCCGTCCTGCCACTGCAGTACACTAGTGAGTGACACAGCGGCGAGTTCGTTCATTGACTGAGCCCCTCTCCTCCCCTGCTGCTGAAGTCACAGCATTGTTGACTGGGTGACACATGTCGTTCATTCGCCAAGTCCTGAAGGAAGAATCACTCCCCTGCCCTGAAAAACTCACCTCTCTGTGTGTTGCTGTCGGCGGAAACAACACAGCAGCAAGCAGCACGCCGCTAAACGAGCGCGAGTCGTCGTTCCTTTATATGTCGGAAAAGTGGAGAGATTAAAAATAAATAAACATGTCAGCTGTAGCGGGGATTCAGATACTTTTAAAGATGTCAAATATTGTATTTCTTTAAATCGGCTGAAATTGAATCCTTCTTACAGGAAAGTTTATACAAGGGTATTAATGTAAAGGCACTATAATGACCTGTTTTATCTTAGCCTCAGTCAACCAACCGCTGCTCAGCAGGTCGTGAACGACGCTACACCCCTCCCTCCTCTGCCTGCATCAAGTTGTTCAGAAGTCATTCGTTTCGTTCACCATGTCATTCACTGACTGACTGAATCATTCCATTCACTGACTGATACAGGTTGTTCGTTTCGTTCACTGACTTATACATATCGTTCATTCGCTATGAGTGCATCACGAGACTCCGCCCCCCTGCCCGCTGGCTGGCTTTGTGTTGTTTGCCAAAGAGTCAAAGGCGGCAGTTGCACTCCCGACTGGCACGCCAGGCTCATGGCTGAGCTCAACTGAACTGAGAAAGGATTGAATCAGGTCTCGGAGTGATTCAGTTAACGTCGTTCACTCAGCAGTTCCGTTCTTTTGAACAAATCGTTCATGAATGACACAACACTATTTCAGGGTGAAAAACCAAACCAGTGAAATACCTCTCTCTCCATCTTTTATATGAACAGCTCACTTAAAGTAATGAAATCCTACTGGTTTAGTTTCATTTACATCCATTTAGTATTTTGAATTTATATTTTTAAACAGTTTTTGTTTCTCAGCCTCTCATACTTCTGCTCGTTCTGTGCCTCTTCTTTACTAACACACACTTCATGATTCAGCAGCTTCCACTATGAGAGATGCAGGGTTGTTACAGTGGAGGATTAAATTATAAAGTAAATTTTGACCTGGTTAATCTGCAGCTGTGTTTGTTATGGAGACTGTTGCCCTGCAACCTGGTGGCGACGATGGGGGGTCTATGGAAGCCTCCCGGGACCCTCAGGTTCCTGGACAGAACCGACAAAGATTCTCTGTAGACCAAACCACGACGGGACGTCACCACGGGACAGTGATGACACGTCGCCAACTGAGGAGAAGACAAATAAAGGATTAAATTATGTCAGCTAACACCAGTGACCAAATATGAGAGGAGGAAAAAGAGTATTCATCCGCTGCAGAAAATAGTTCTCTGATAAATACAGTAATTCTTTCTGTTTCATCTTTTCTAAACAAGCTGCAGTGAGGAGCTAAGGAACATGGTGCTGTGTATTTTCAGATGTTCTTTCATAGTTTGACTGTGAAAAATCAGACTAAGACGCTGACAGACAGATGAGGCAGAGGACGTTCAGAGTTTGAGGGTGTTGGATCTAAATCGAGCTGTCAGTCAGTGGGGCGGCTCTCAGGGGCCCCTGCAGCGGATACAGACCTACTTCTGCTTTAATTAGACTCTTTTAACCTCCTGAAGCACAAAACACTGCACACAGAAACCCTCTGATATAACCAGAATCCACTGAAGGAATATCATTAAACTCTGTAACTTCAACATTATTCATCTGTTTTTAAATTAAATATTATAATAAGACCAACAGGTCTGCAAAAGAAACATAAACTCTTCATTTACATTCTAAGTGTATTTAAAGTTTCTAATTAAATATGTTAGTTTGGGTTTGAGTTACCAACATTTGAACACCCAATGTGATAAAAACGAGTTATTAAAAAAGCTAAAAATCATAATAACCAAATGGACAAAATAACATTTTACAAACATACAAAGGAACAAAACGGAATATTATTTTAGGTTTCGAGGAGCCTCAGTTGATATCAGACTCTCTGTTCATGTTTACAGCTGTCATCATTTGTTGGTAATCGTTCAAGATTACAATAATATTTAACATACAAAAATATGACATTTCTTTCTCATTTATGGTACAGTAAAGATATGAAAAACACACACAAATAACATCCAAATACAGCAAGCTTACACCTGACCACACATTTGAGTCGTGTTTATGAAAGGACACTTTTCAAGAGAGATATACATATACATATGAAATTTTCGTATTTTTGGACATTTTCTGACAATAAATCCAAGTTATTTTTTTTGCATTAGTTACAAATTAAGAACAAAAACTCATGAACCACGGGATTAAAAAGTAAATCAGATTTAAAGACATATAAAAAGTGTATAAATGAAAACATAGACTCACTGAGACGAAGGTTGCCATGACGCTGCTCTGCTCTGTTGTAAATGACTGATAAGAGAGAGAGGAAGTGTATTAAGCCCTCTGTATGAGTGACGCCACCAGTGGGCGGGGCTAAACCCTCACACAGTGATGTCATTGTTTAGTGTAAACTCTTATCTGGAGCCAGATTAGAGATTGGTGGAATCACACATGCATATACTGTATGTAGTATGTAAAGGCAGTTATACACACAGGCACGTGATCAGTGTGATAACACCAAGAACGGCAGGATTTTCATGTCATTTTATCGTCATTTCTTTTAAATCAGACACTTTTGAAACCCTAAAACTCTGATCTTTGACTCAGTAATACATTAGAGTAAAAAGTCCCCATAAATAAAAAAAAAATGTAATCACTCACCTCTTCTTGACTTAAGTAAAAAAATGAAGTTACAAGAGAATTAAGTCAATATAAGATGATAATATAGAAATAATGAAGTTGTATTTTATGGGAAGATATCAAAATGTCATCAGAATGAAGTAGTCAAGAATGAAAATCATTTTGTTTTGAACATAAAGTTGTTAGAAGTTAGTTATAACATTACAAAACAAACTTATTGCGAAGTTTATTGGTTATTGTGAAGTCACAGTTATCAGAATAAAGTCATGATAATGTTGACCTTTCTTTAAAAAGGATGACAGAATAACAGCCAGCTTTCTTTTTAACAGACTGAATGTTTATTATGTAAATCCATTTACAACAGCGGTAACATACATGTTACTGTTGACAAAAATAACAACCTTTCCTCTTATAACATGCAGACTTTATTCTCATGACATAACATCATTATCTGGTAATCTTAATTTCATTTATTTCTCATTGTGGCCCTAATACTCTGTTTTATAATGCCAGACCTCTAAAATTATAAATACTGCACGCACACACACACACAGAATATCTATATATACCTTAACTCCGTAACTAATTTCTCACACTCATATGAATTTATCCTCTCAATGGGGACATGTATTTTGTCCCCGTATGCTAAAGGGGACCTTATCATGTGTGCAAAAAACCGATGTCGTACCTACATTTAAAATGAGAAATGTTACAAATACACTAACACACAAACACACACACACACACTGCCCTATTTTCTAGGAAAGTGTCGCTCTCACAGTTAGATAACATCTCTATCAGTTACACAACTACAACAACTAGAATACACAAAGGGTTTGGTTTAAAGGGAGGATTACGTGTTTGTGTGTTTGTGTGTGTGTGTCAGGGTGAGGGCGATTCAGTTCAGCAGGAAACCCAATAATCCCTAACAGACAGTGAGGAGGTTAGTGTTCACACATGGTTAAGGCAAGGGAACATCACCCTCTGGTGGACTGTCTGAGAACAGCTGAAACTTGAAACGTTTGTATCTTTTGGTTCTTCTCAAGGATTCTGCAAGTTTTAGGCGACATCTAAACCCTCTTCTCTGTTTAAACTTTTGTGTTGGTTCTTCTTGACCTCAGTTCTGCTTTTGACGCTGTAGATCACCAAGTCCTCAACAACAGAGACTGGGACATCAGGGAAAGCTCTGGTCTGGTTCTCTTCATACCTTGCTGACTGTAGTTTTGTGTTCTCAATCAGCAAGTTTTAGTCTCACTTGTCCCCTTTATAATGCAGCATACCACAGGGCTTAAACCTTTCGCCCTGTATCTGCTCCCTCTTGGACAGACAATACTGAGTTTTTATATCACATATTATTTTTATGCAAATGATCTATAGCTTAATTTTTCATTTACAGTGAGTGGGCCTTCAGGTTATCTCGGCTCGACTCAAATTTATTTATCAAGCACTTTTTATACATCATAGAATGCAGGCTGAAGTGCTTCACAGTAGAAGAGAGTAAAATCAGTAAAATTAATAAAAGTCATTAAAACCTAATAGAATATGTAAGAGTTGAATAAAATTAAATAACAAAATATTGATAACTGTCATAATTTCTATCATAAAATCCCAAAATATGGAATCGCTCTGAATCAAAAGCCAGTTTAAAATGGTGGACCAAAATGCTGCCTCTTCTTTCTGGAACTCTTCCTTGACTCATCGGGAAAAAAAGTTATTCCAATGAAATAGCTAAACTTATGAACACAGAATCTTTTTTGTTTGTCTCTTATTCTATACGATGGATTTTGACCTTTGTTGCTTTATCCTTCGTTAGATGCCTGACATTCAACCTATTTGTTTATTTTTGAGATTATTCCTTTATTCTCTATGACTGAGTATTAGGGCCACATTTAGAAAAAAAAATTAAGACTTTGTAATTACTTATGAGAATAAAGTTGTAATAAAGTAATAACTTATGACAATAAAGTCATAATAAAATCATTTCTTACAAGAATAAAGTCGTAGCTAATAGCTAATATTCTAACATGTTGTCAGTTGTTTAAATGAGCGCTGTGGAGAATTTAGATGAATTGAACTTCAGTAGCTAGGTTTCACAAACAAGGAGATACTAAATCCTTTGGCGTTTCAGCATCACATATCAGGACATATGCAAGAAATGCATCTTTTCCTCTGAAAGAACCAGGCGGACTTGTAGGGAATCACTGTTTTTGAGGAGGGGGGAAATGTCTGTAAATGTCTGTGCAGAGGTCAAATCCCTCAATGCAGCCGTTTATAACAATAGTTTCATATGGCTTTAGTTTATTGTATAAATCTGTTTGCCATAAGGTGTTGGTGCCTCTGCAGGTGTAGGTTACTGCCGGTGTTGTGCCGACATTAGAGACAGACGTGGTGCTCGACTCTCTCTGAATTGTAAATGTTGATCATCAATTGGATTGTTTCTTGAGAAACTACAAAGGTTCTCTGAATGGCCCAATGATGCAACCACAGATAACTCTGCAGCTGACCAGTTCAGACATTTCCTCCTCCACAAAAGAAGCTTTAAGACAAAATTTACTTTATGACTCAATCCTCCTAAGAAATGATTTTACTACGACTTTATTCTCGTAAAAAATGATTTTATTACGACTTTATTCTCATAGATAATGATTTTATTACGACTTTATTCTAAGAAATGATTTTTTACGACTTTATACACGTTAGTAATGACTTAAATCTCGAAGTCTTGATTATTTTTGTTTTCTTAATGTGGCCCCAATACTCTCTCGTAATACTCGTAATTCTCCCCGTAGTTATTCCATTTTATTCAGTGTAATTTCTCTTTATATTTTTAAACGTTAAAAAGAGAAAATAATCACACCCAACAGTAGAGGGCAGCAGTGTTCACTCCGCCTTAAAACCAAAGAAGAAGAAGCTCTCTACCGGAAGTGAAGTTGTTGTTGAGGGGGACTGTAGTCGAAGCCGCACGGTCAGACTCTCAGAGAAGCCAAAGGAGAATAAATGTTGGAGGAACAGATGGCTGCCGACATCAGTTTGAGGGTAAGTTCATCATCTGTCCTGGAAACCACATTTAGTCTCGTTCATGCACCGAACTGTGATCGGATTAGTACAGCAGAACTTCGCGCCACACATTCGACCACAGAGGAACCATCACCGCGCATGCTCAGTCCGCTGTCTGTGCTAGTGTTAGCCGCCGGTACCTGTGTTCGTTCATAGTAGAGGAGAATAATTTAACTTTACCGTCAAATATCATCCTGGACTCTTAATAAATCGGTTTGACCCGGTTAACCGGAGTTTTAAACTTCTTTAAAAACACACGAGAGAGTGACCGAGTTCACAGTAGCGTCCGAAAAGAGTCACAGTGTGGGGAGGTCAGAGGATGACATTTTTCGGGTATTCCCGTGGTTCACGTGATTCCCGCGGGAATCCCACGGGATGGGAGTCATTTTTTAATTAATCCCGTGATCGGGACGGGACGGGGGAAAAAAGCAACGGGAGTGGGCAGGAGTGGGAACAACATTAATAGATGATCATTTTAAGCCGTATTAAACAACCAGACAAACAGACGCGTCCATTTTTGTTGTCATCTCTCAATGAGAGCCAACACTCTTGACCGCGCTAGCAACACAAAAAAGAACTACAACAGTGGTTTGACATCCTGTCAGCCGGGTGCGCGGCTGCGCATTTCTACCCTTCAAGCCAGGAGCGCGGATACGTCATTTTGTGACATTCTGTAGTTTTTTAATCATTTCTGGAATCGTGGCGAATCAAATCACCTTACCCGTCTGCCTCTGATAGGCGAATAAAGCGCTCGGATTCATGCCCAGATCTTGCTACGTGCTTCATGAGTAAGGCGATCAACGACGGAGGCAGAGAGCAGCTTCGGAGGAGAAGCAGCCAGTAGTGTGAACAACCTCTTTATCTGGAGTGCTTTGGTTCAAACTATCAGTGTTTTCTGTGAGTGTTGCATGACTTTGGGTGAGCACAGACATGAATACACTGTCAACTAGTGCTGGGCGATAGGACGATAGATATCGTGGGCAGGATAGAAAATGTCTATCGTGCCGTTTCTATTTTTCGTTTCGAGCGATAGGCTGTATTTTATCCATAGGGCTTGTGCCATCAGATGATTCATAGTAACAACAACAATAATTGCACATTCAGTAAGTGTATTTGGTGTCGAACGGGAAAGAAAACAATATTTTCTTACAAAGAAAAGGATGCGTTGACATGTAGGCTCGCATTTCTCTTTCGATTTTGCGACATGACGCCGCTTTACGTGCCCTCTTCGCGTCCAGCGTCTCCCGCCGTTGCGGGTTTCCTGGGTTACACACGTGAGGGGATCATTGTAAGCAGTGCATAATTTGTGCCGGAGCAAGCCGGAGCGCGCTCCGGGACCTCTTTTGATCGGATCCGGGACCTATTTCAGCCGCTTCGGCACCTGTTTCATCTGCTCCGGGACCTTCCCTGTAGAGGATGACATTTTTCGGGAATTCCCGTGGGTCACGTGATTCCCGCGGGACTTCCACGGGATGGGAGTCATTTTTTAATTAATCCCTTGATCGGGACGGGACGGGAAAAAAAGCAACGGGAGTGGGCAGGAGCGGTAACAACATTAAAAGATGATCATTTTCAGCTGTGTTAAACAACCAGATGAACAGGTGCGTCCATTTTTGTTGTCATCTCTCAGTGAGAGCCAACACTCTTGACCGCGCTAACAACACAAAAGAACTACAACAGTGGTTTGACTTCCTGTCAGCTGGGAGCGCGGCTGCGCATTTCTACCCTTCAAGCCAGGAGCGAGGAGACGTAATTTTGTGACATTCTGTAGTTTTTCAATCATTTCTGGAGTCGTGGCGAATCAAATCACCTTACCTGTCTGCCCCTGATAGGCGAATAAAGCGCTCGGATTCATGCTCGGGTCTTGCTACGTGCTTCAAGAGTAAAGTAAACAGCAACGGAGGCAGAGAGCAGCTATGGAGGAGAATCATCCAGCAGTGTGAACAACCTCTTCAAAAGAGCCCTAAAGACCTACCTTTTTAATAAAACCTTTGGTTAGCTTTCCTCTATGCTTTTACTACCTTGCCTCTTACATTGCAACTCTATATTCTTTATTTTTTTTATTCCTTGCTTTTTTTTTATGCCAATCTGTGACTGTCATTCTATTGCTTTTTTTTTATTGTTGCTGCTCTTTTTTTACTGTGCACTGTAGCACTTTGAGATTTTTTGTAAATGTAAAGTGCATTACAAATTAAATTTATTATTATTATTATTATGGAGTGCTTTGGCTCACACTATCAGCGTTTTCTGTGAGTGTTGCATAACTTTGGGTGAGCACAGACATGAACGCACAACAGCCACGTATTTATTTATTCATTTTTCTAGTTTTAAGTGCTGGTCTTGTACTGGCACTGTATTAGGGCAGCTGTATACACTTTAATTTTTCATAGAACTGAAAGCATACCATAGCTATATCGTGGTATATTGTTATCGTGATATAAAATGATCCATATCGTGATATACATTTTTTTCCATATCGCCCAGTACTACTGTCAACCACGTATTTATTTATTCATTTTTCTAATTTTAAGCGCTGGTCTTGTACTGGCACTATACCAGGGCAGCTGTTTACCCTTTCAACACTTTATTTTTTATATTTACATTTGTGTTGAATGGACAGAGAGCAAATAGTTTATTATTCTCCAGTGCAGGGTCTTTACTTTTATTTATACAGCCGCTTTAATTCATCTAAGTTTGTTTCTTCAATGTTTTCAAAAGTGTAATGAAGGTTCTGAATATAATGGATAGTTTTCTTGAAAGCCACACCCGTAAGCTCTCAAATACTTTTTGAATTCTGTTTCTATTTGCAACAGAGGCTGAGATATCAGCTTTTTTGTAAACCTCAACAGTTAAGAAAAACAGGATTTTTTCTCTGGGATTGGGACGGGACAGGAGTGAAAATCCGCTCCCGTGTCATGCTCTGGAGGTATGAAGGTAAAAATCTCTAAAAGTCAGAACAGAACCACAAAATTATCTATACACTCTGAACAAACCAGCACAATAATGACTAATTAAAGATGCTTTAATGTTCGAGTTAAACTCAGAGCCGCTCAGGTATAGTTAAAAATAACTTACTCGTTATGGTCAATATGAAAAAGGAACCCCATCTTTTTGACAAATGCTGGAATCACTTTAAAATATATTTATATTTATAATATTAATATATTTAAAATATATTTCTTAAAATATATATTTTTATTGTTATTCCTGTCGGCCATTTTGTTTGTTATTATTATTATTATTCCGCCAATTTTCGTCGGCTTTCAACTCCTTCCTACTTTGTGCTATTTTAACCAGTTAAAACTTTAAACTATTCCACTCCTTCAGGACACGAGGGCTTGTATTTGTTACCTAGGCCTGTCACGATAACAAATTTTGCTGGACGATAATTGTGCTACAAATTATTGCTGATAAACGATATTATTGACACCGTTTTTTAAATTATAGATAATGATAATATATGGCATAATAATGCGAGTACACCATATCAAAAGCAATAAACTTTAATTGCTCAAGATTAAGAACTTTGAATTTGGATGAACAAATATAATATACAAACAAGACAACCAAAAAACTGGTATGGAACAAAAAGTTCACTCCACACATAACTATTAAAACAATAAATAAAGTGTAGTCTTGAGTCTGTAAACATAATTGCACTAAATAATTAGCTTTGGGTGCTATTCCTCAACAGGTTAACAATCATCCGCGGGGATGATTGTGCTTGAGATGCGCATGCATGTTCGTCGTATTCCCCTTCTTTGTCACCAAAACTTTCGAACAAATGCGGCATATCGTCCGTGTTCGTGGGCTCACCTCTTTCATTTTATTTGAAACCGAAATGTTCCCACACTGGGGCTGTTGCGTTGGGCTTAGACACCAAAGTTGTCGTTTCATCATTCATTGCGTTTGCTCCGCACTGTGTCAGTAAGTCTCTGTGTGTGTGTGTGTGTGTGTGTGTCTGTGTGCGTGTGTGCGCCAGCGCGCGTGACAAAGAGACTGAATGACTGACAGGAGGGTTCACTCACTGTGTTCATTCCGCTATAGAGCCAACGCACCCAAGTGTCGAGAAAAATGCGCAGAGTGAGACTTCTTCTCTCATCCAGCGTGTTTGGTAGCGAGAGAGGATCCGCTCAGGTATAGTTAAAAATAACTTACTCGTTATGGTCAATATGAAAAAGGAACCCCATCTTTTTGACAAATGCTGGAATCACTTTAAAATATATTTATATTTATAATATTAATATATTTAAAATATATTTCTTAAAATATATATTTTTATTGTTATTCCTGTCGGCCATTTTGTTTGTTATTATTATTATTATTCCGCCAATTTTCGTCGGCTTTCAACTCCTTCCTACTTTGTGCTATTTTAACCAGTTAAAACTTTAAACTATTCCACTCCTTCAGGACACGAGGGCTTGTATTTGTTACCTAGGCCTGTCACGATAACAAATTTTGCTGGACGATAATTGTGCTACAAATTATTGCCGATAAACGATATTATTGACACCGTTTTTTAAATTATAGATAATGATAATATATGGCATAATAATGCGAGTACACCATATCAAACGCAATAAACTTTAATTGCTCAAGATTAAGAACTTTGAATTTGGATGAACAAATATAATATACAAACAAGACAACCAAAAAACTGGTATGGAACAAAAAGTTCACTCCACACATAACTATTAAAACAATAAATAAAGTGTAGTCTTGAGTCTGTAAACATAATTGCACTAAATAATTAGCTTTGGGTGCTATTCCTCAACAGGTTAACAATCATCCGCGGGGATGATTGTGCTTGAGATGCGCATGCATGTTCGTCGTATTCCCCTTCTTTGTCACCAAAACTTTCGAACAAATGCGGTATATCGTCCGTGTTCGTGGGCTCACCTCTTTCATTTTATTTGAAACCGAAATGTTCCCACACTGGGGCTGTTGCGTTGGGCTTAGACACCAAAGTTGTCGTTTCATCATTCATTGCGTTTGCTCCGCACTGTGTCAGTAAGTCTCTGTGTGTGTGTGTGTGTCTGTGTGCGTGTGTGCGCCAGCGCGCGTGACAAAGAGACTGAATGACTGACAGGAGGGTTCACTCACTGTGTTCATTCCGCTATAGAGCCAACGCACCCAAGTGTCGAGAAAAATGCGCAGAGTGAGACCTCTTCTCTCATCCAGCGTGTTTGGTAGCGAGAGAGGAGGAAAACAAACGCACGTTAATTATCGAGGCTGGCAAAATTACTGACCTCATTTTTATTTACAGAGCGATGAGGCGATTTATTGATTATCGCGACAGGCCTATTGTTACCTTATTACCCTTTATACTTTTTGTTTTTTTTCTTCACTTTTTGTGCCAAAATTTTAACATTGGAGTCAATGGGGAAATCTTCCAATTCTTCCTTTTATTCTTCAACCTTCTGAGCCTTATAATTTCAGCATACTTTCACCTACAGACCTCATTCTTGCTTTAAAATGTTCATTAACTTGTCAACTATTAACGCTGTGTTCCTTTTTTTGACATCTTTTACAGTTTTCCCACAATTTAGCTTTAAGCAACTCATGGTTTTCAGCAAATTTCAGGCTTTATAATGGGTGTGTATTGGAAGAGCTAGAGTGATGATGTCATAGCTAGAGTGGAGAGCTCCTCTTTTATCGACAAAACCTAGCTCGGATATATCGCTCCCACGCCCACAAATTTCACTCCACAGCCATAAAAATACATCAAAATGGAGGAAAATAAGTCCTGCTTCTCACAAAAGAGCTTTCAAATCATTAAATGGTACCCCTTGGCCAGCAGGTGACCAACTGTCCAAAAAGGCAGAGATTTCTCCCATTGACCCTTATGTAATTTTTCTCCCAGAAAATCCTAAACATCACTCAGGCTCAGACCTGTTTATCTCACTGTTGTGACCACATTTTCTGAGAGTACAAACATGAAAAACACATCATCGTGTTCATGAGGGGTGGAGGATTCGTACGATGTTCTCATTTTCTTTCTGGGATTTAAGGAAATCACGCTATGTGAAGAAGTTCAGAGGCCCTAAATCCACTGTAGTTAGGCAGCTTCTCAGTCAAACAGTAGGTCAGTTAATGCCTTTGATCTCACAGCTGTAAAGGATGCAATCATTAACAAGACACACACACGCACACACACTCTGACAATGTGTGTGTGTTAGTCTCTCTCCGTCTATGAGACCTACAGGTACACACAGTAGTTATGTGTCTGCTTCACCACCTATCTCCACCCACAAACTTTGAGCTACAGAAACCATTCTGGGCTTAAAAAATTCAGCTTATCGAGGACAGTTTGGGGTGTTTTAAGGGTTGTGATAATAAATTGTATTAATGTGTTCAGCAGAGTCTTGTGGTTCTCACAAGCTCCTTATCATGAATATATATACAGAGATTGACCATCAGGGCCGAGTTGGAGAGCTATTTCCTCAGCTTTAAGCCTCCTCTCTCCTGCTGCAGTGACACATCTTCCTTCGCCATGGCAACCAATTAGTGCACCTGGAGACACACAGCTGACTGGAAAGCTGCTTCTAACGGCCATATTAGACACATAAAGCCAGGCTCAGTACACAGAGCACTAGGGGTTACATTTAAAACCCTTCACCAGAGCACTTGACAAACTTTGGCCCCTATCTCCTACCACAAACTTTGAGCTACAGAAACCATTCAGGGCTCCAAAAATGTATTCAGGATTTTTATTCATTTAAATTTTCCCCACTTTCAATGTAATCCCGTTATTAATACATTAGTCAATTCTTCAGACAAATTTAAACTCATTCAAACCTTTTTAATACTTCAAACTTGTCTAATACTTGAGGATTTTTAATTATTCAATTTTTTTTCATTTTAAAATCATTCTCATTATTTATGCATTATTTAACTCTTCAAACAGATTCTCAGATTTACTACTACAACTACTACTAATATCACTAATATTACTACTACTACAACTACCTATTATCATACTACTTCTAGTTAAGGCTGCACGATATTGGAAAAAACTAACATTGCGATTTTTTTCAACCCTGCGATATACACTCACCGGCCACTTTATTACACCATGCTAGTAACGGGTTGGACCCCCTTTTACCTTCAGAACTGCCTCAATTCTTCGTGGCATAGATTCAACAAGGTGCTGGAAGCATTCCTCAGAGAGCTTGGTCCATATTGACATGATGGCATCACACAGTTGCCGCAGATTTGTCGGCTGCACATCCATGATGCGAATCTCCCGTTCCACCACATCCCAAAGATGCTCTATTGGATTGAGATCTGGTGACCGTGGAGGCCATTTGAGTACAGTGAACTCATTGTCATGTTCAAGAAACCAGTCTGAGATGATTCCAGCTTTATGACATGGCGCATTATCCTGCTGAAAGTAGCCATCAGAAGTTGGGTACATTGTGGTCATAAAGGGATGGACATGGTCAGCAACAATACTCAGGTAGGCTGTGGCGTTGCAACAATGCTCAATTGGTACCAAGGGGCCCAAGGAGTGCCAAGAAAATATTCCCCACACCATGACACCACCACCACCAGCATGAACCGTTGATACAAGGCAGGATGGATCCATGCTTTCATGTTGTTGACGCCAAATTCTGACCCTACCATCCGAATGTCGCAGCAGAAATCGAGACTCATCAGACCAGGCAACGTTTTTCCAATCTTCTATTGTCCAATTTCGATGAGCTTGTGCAAATTGTAGCCTCAGTTTCCTGTTCTTAGCTGAAAGGAGTGGCACCCGGCGTGGTCTTCTGCTGCTGTAGCCCATCTGCCTCAAAGTTCGACGTACTGTGCGTTCAGAGATGCTCTTCTGCCTACCTTGGTTGTAACGGGTGGTTATTTGAGTCACTGTTGCCTTTCTATCAGCTCGAACCAGTCTGGCCATTCTCCTCTGACCTCTGGCATCAACAAGGCATTTCCGCCCACAGAACTGCCGCTCACTGGATATTTTTTCTTTTTCGGACCATTCTCTGTAAACCCTAGAGATGGTTGTGCGTGAAAATCCCAGTAGATCAGCAGTTTCTGAAATACTCAGACCAGCCCTTCTGGCACCAACAACCATGCCACGTTCAAAGTCACTCAAATCACCTTTCTTCCCCATACTGATGCTCGGTTTGAACTGCAGGAGATTGTCTTGACCATGTCTACATGCCTAAATGCACTAAGTTGCCGCCATGTGATTGGCTGATTAGAAATTAAGTGTTAACGAGCAGTTGGACAGGTGTACCTAATAAAGTGGCCGGTGAGTGTATATTGCGATATTAAAAATACAGGAATTTTCACCAGATGACCTGAATAGCATTTAATGTTATACTGCACTGCTGAAATCTTGAGGACAGTTAATCTGCTCTGATCTTACCTCTTTTTGTGAATGTTAGTAGAATGGCTTCTGTCTGTCTCAGAGATATTTTTAGCTTTTATTGTGCTGGGACGTTATTGTGGCGACAGATGAACACAGAACACGTGTTTTGGTCGCCATCATCCTTCTATTAACCGAAATAATTCCAGATAACTGACTTTCCTTTTCTTTTTGGCAACAAATCTTCATTTTCGGTGGTTTTCGCTTGTTCCTTGCTCATTTTGAGATCGTTGTTGTTGTTGTGCCGAGAAACGCATGTCCTCCAAGAATTGCATGCACCTCGCAAAACGCGCACCGCTTACAGTAGAGTGGTCCACGGAAATGTACAATTTAAAACCCATACAGTTCTTATTTGTTGGGCTTAACAGTCATGAGTAAAGTTCCGAAAGTAATTCTCAGCGGACACACGTCTCCCTCCATGTGCAGAACATGTGCAGGGGTGGGTTTCCTCCTCTCTGATTTTGATTGACAGCTGGCAGGGTAGTCTGATTGGCAACTGAGAAGTGAGTCTGATTGGCAACTGAGTTAAGGACGAAGGTGATTGGTGGATCGCTGCACAGCACATGCAGAGTCACATGGAGTGTATCTCAGTCAGTTACCCTTGAAATTAAATGAGTTCATTCACCTCCAATATCGCAGGCTCTGCGATGTGACTATCGCACACACGTACATCGCGATGACGATGTTCAAACGATATATCGTGCAGGCCTACTTCTAGTACGAAAACTTAAACCTTTGCCACCTCTCACAAGGGTCATTTCAAGGTTTCTTGAAAGGTCATTTTCTTCCTTATCCAATTTTTTTGTAATTTCAGACAGTTTTTCTCGCCTCTTTCAGCATGAATGCAATTTTAATTTATGAAGCACATTCATACTGTTTGAACTTCAACAGTTTTCACTTTCATCCAACTTCCACTTCTTCTTCACCCCTTTAAACAATTTTACATTTAAACCTTGTGTTTTTTATTAGCAGTTTTCTATTGCTTTTTCAGCTGTCAGCAATCAGCCTTTCCACGCATTTTCTGCAAGGAAATGCAATTTTTCTAGTTCTCTTCGACTTCTCACAGATAATTAGATGAGTACTGTCACTGGTGTGGTGGCGGTTGTTGGTTGTAGCACATTTGCAGGAGTAGCTGTGCTTTTCCATTGTCAATTTCTTGACTTTTGCTCTATGTATTTTACTGTACCTAAAATTACTTAAAATTTAATTGTCTAATTTATTTATTTATTAATTATTTGAACATTTATTATTGTTACTGTTATTATTATTATTAGTATTATTATATTTTATCCTTTTATTTATTTACATTTTTATTTTCTCTTTCTTTTTTATATTATTATTATTTAATCCTTATTTACATTTATATTATCTTTTATGTTATTATTATTATTATTATTATTATATTTTATCCTTTTATTTTTTTACATTTATATTTTCTTTTATATATTATTATTACCATTACTATGACTATTATTTTTAGGGATATGGGTAAGAGTTGGCCCATGGTGTTTGTTCAGGGAGGGGAACAGGTTTGGGTGAAATATGTAGCTCTATTGTTGTAATTGAAGTTGAATACTGTTTATGACAAAATGTTTGATCATAAATTGTAAAAAAAAAAAAAAAAAAAAAGATTTCTCAAACTGCAAAGGCAAAAAAAAAACTTGTGTGTTTAGAAAGACAATATAGAGGAACAGTTAAATTGAGGATAGATGTAGAGATGTGTGTCTGTTAGAGGAGAAGAATAAATGAGTTTCTATTGTGAGCACAGGTATTAGACATTAATTAATGTGTGTTGAGTTTCTGTGCCTTTGTAAGTCACTGTGTTGATTGTCTGTGTCCTGCAGCAGATGGAGCATCATCGCCCTGCAGAAGAAGACGTTTGTCTCCTGGAGTCCAAAACTCTGAGGCTGGACAGGAAGTCCAACAAAACAAGTTCTCATGAGAAAGGACAGGAAGAGGAGGGGACACCTGTCTCAGGTGACACAGAAACACCTGAACACACTGTGTGTCGTGTTTCAAATAAAATTTTCTATTTTCAGTCAGCAGACTTATTTATAAAGAATTATGAGAGGATAACCTTTATACAAATACAAAGTTGGAAGAAAGTGGAGCCAGATGTTTGACACCTGGAAGGCTGTCTGTGTCTGCTCAGGTGATGGGATGGTGGTCACCATGGAGACCAGTGAGTCCAGTGATGACGAGCTGGGACAGTTGGACATCGACCTGGACAGGAAGTCCAAACAGCACAACCTGACGTCCAGAAACGTGCGCGCCATCCTTCATGTGAGCTGCACACACATCAAACACATAATAAGCACATGTTACAGAGAAACACAGATAAACAAAGATGTTGGTTCACAACACCTTGATGGACCAAAGGGCAAATGGTGGTGGACGGCTCCTCTCTCGTCGCTGCAGAAAAGAAAGATTTAGAAGATCTTTTGTACCAACAGCCATCAGGCTTTACAACTCTTATGTAAATAATAGATAACTTTTATAGTCATTACGTGAGACAACAGACAATTGAATTTCCCTTCGGGGATCAATAAAGTTCTTCTTATTCTTATTCTTATAACACGCGTTATATCCACCTACTGTCAGTCTGATATCATAGATCAATTAAAAACTAAACTGTTTAGGATCAGGTGGTTTTTGTTTCCACTTAGTCTCTCTTCTTATTTTCTTCATGTAAAAAATGAAAGCCTGAGAGAGTTTGTCTGTGAGCTAAAATACTTATTCACTCCTTTACTGTCTGTGTCCGATCAGGTTAATCATAAATGAGCACCATTTCCACATTCCCTGAAACTTTAAATCAAATAGAGAGTCTCCAGTAACGGAGAAAGTTTCGAACATTAATAATGAGATGTAGAGTTTGCTCAGATCAGATATTCACTGACTTTAAACACATACCGTTAATAAATGATTAGATAATGACACAACTACCATCCACTGTTTTAAGAAAACAGAAAAAATAACCTTTTATGTAACTCAAATATTTTCTCCAGAAATGGGCCAATTTTGAGAGATTTTGAAAAATTATTTGATAATTTAAAGAGGGCCCAGTTCGGGGTCCCCCCTACCCTGGACCCGGGACAACCGACCTGTTTGTTTGCATGCCTGTGAGTATCATGTTTTTACAAGCACAGGAGCAGGTTTGGACTCCCTGTTAGTAATGTGTGTGTGTCTGTTGTGTGTTTCAGGAGGTGATCACTCATGAACGTGTTGTTGCCATGATGAAAGAAGCCATCAGAGACACTCAGAACCTGCCCATGTTTGTGAGTCTCTTAGTCTTTGTCGACCTATTCTCATGTTTTCTCACATTTTCCTATTTTTCTCAAAAGGATCAAAAAAGTGTGTCTTTAAATCTCTCAAACTGTTCACCTGTCTGTCTGTCTGTCTGTTGAGTTGTCTGTCTACGTGCTTCTCTCAGTCTTCTCTGTGCTTTTTTATTCAGGAACCAAAGATGACCCGGTCCAGACTCAAACAGGTGATCCAGCAGGAACAGGTGAACTCAAAGTCCCAGAATCCTCTCTGATTCTTCTCATGAAAAAACAAAACACATCTTTCAAAAACACACTGCTCCTCAACTTTCTACCTCTCTGTTCATCTCTTTGTTTTTTTCTAGACACTGCCCTGGAGTCAGTCTGCAGGTGACTCAGAAACAGCCAAGGTAAAAGACACATCATGTCAAAATCTACCTGTCTGTACCTGTCTGTTTGTCTGTCCATCCCTTGTCTGTCTTCTGACCATCTGTCTGTCTCTCTGCAGCCTCCCCAGTTTGTGGACATTGACCTGGAGGACGATGAAGACTCCTCAGATACAGAGTACTGCCCTGATGAGGATGAAGAGGAGGACACCACAGAGGAGGTGGGTGATCTTTGACAGGTGACAGGTGAGCGGTGTCGCTGTCTGAAGGTTAATGAACTTCTTGTCCCCTCATCGTGAGCAGATGTTCCTCAGTGATGGAGACAGTCTGACCTCCCCCCCTCGAACCCAGAGGAAACCTGAAATCCCAAATCAGGAACCCCTGAGGACTGATAGAACCTCAGAAGTAAGCAAACCTCTGACCTCTGTTAACATCATGACCTGGACGCAGGATTTTTTTGTAGGATATTAGGGGAAGGTTGTGCCTCCTTCGCCTCTGATTGGCTAGAAGTGCTGGGCTCCGATTGGTTATTCCTTATGTCTGTGAAACATCATCGTCTGTTGGGTTGTCGGGTAAGGTTAGGAGATTCAGAATTGCGATAATGTTCTGTAATGTTCTGTTGTATGTACAGAGCCGACAGCCCGTGCTCAGCTTGAGCGTGTGATGACATTTCACAGCCAATCAGAGGCGAAGGAAGCGGGACCATCCCCTACCATCCTACGAAAAAAATTATCACGACCTGGACAGGTACCCTGACCTCTGACCTCTTGTTAACCTGTTGTTTAGAGATTACCCAGACCCCCAGGAGACCTCGCCCCTCAGCTCTCAGCTGCTCCTGAGTCCTCGTTTCTGGCAAGACTGAACGCCGTCGATGAGGAGTTGAACTCCGCCTACAGCTGTAACCAGGTAACCACTTCCTGCCACATTCACCTGTGACTAGACCGTCTGGAGTAGACTTGGTGAACTTAGAACACAGTTAACTGTTTTTGAAGTGATGCGGCATCTATGATTTCCAATTCTTCATTGTCCTTTCAAATGCGGTGACTCCCACTCCAAAATCCTGTCTGTTTTTACAGTTTTTTCAATTGCTAACAGGCGCTTACCCAAACTTCAGATCCTTTTTCTAAACTCTTAACACAGACTCACACTAAGGCTGCACGATATTGGAAAAAAATAATATTGCGATTTTTTCAACCCTGCGATATATATTGCGATATTAAAAATACAGTATTTTCACCAGATGACCTGAATAGCACTTAATGTTATGCTGCACTGCTGAAATCTTGAGGACAGTTAATCTGCTCTGATCTTACCTCTTTTTGTGAATGTTAGTAGAACGGCTTCTGTCTGTCTCAGAGATATTTTTAGCTTTTATTGTGCTGGGACGTTATTGTGGAAACAGATGAACACAGAAGACGTGTTTTGGTCGACATCATCCTTCTTTAACCGAAATAATTCCAGATAACTGACTTTCCTTTTCTTTTTGGCAACAAATCTTCATTTTCGGTGGTTTTCGCTTGTTCGTTGTTCATTTTGCGATCGTTGTTGTTGTTAGCGGTGCTGTACCGAGAAACGCATGTCCTCCGAGAATTGCATGCACCTCGCAAAACGCGCACTGCTTATAGTAGAGTGGTCCACGGAAATGTACAATTTAAAACCCATACAGTTCTTATTTGTTGGGCTTAATAGTCATGAGTAAAGTTCCGAAAGTAATTCTCAGCGGACACACGTCTCCCTCCATGTGCAGAACATGTGCAGGGGTGGGTTTTCTCCTCCCTGATTTTGATTGACAGCTGGCAGGGTAGTCTGATTGGCAGCTGAGAAGTGAGTCTGATTGGCAACTGAGTTAAGGACGAAGGCGATTGGTGGATCGCTGCACAGCACATGCAGAGTCACATGGAGTGTATCTCAGTCGTTACCCTTGAAATTAAATGAGTTCATTCACCTCCAATATCGCAGGCTCTGCGATGTGACTATCGCACACACGTACATCGCGATGACGATAGTCAAACGATATATCGTTCAGGCCTAACTCACACCTACAAAACAAAATTTTCTCAAATGGAAGAACACATTTTTTTAAATATTTACTAACTCTAATTTCAAAATAGAACACATCTTTGTCTGCACACACTTACTTTACCAAAACACTGGAAATCTGACTCCAAATGAAATTATTCTGTCAAAGAAAAACTCTTGTTTTCACTTCACAAGGTACATGCAGTCAATCAAAGTACACCAGGGTTCAAAATACTGATTATTACTGACATTACAAAAACTACATAGACTTTCATGTTTCAGTTTTACAGGTATTTACAGGTAAAACATGAAATCCACCGTTTTAACACTAAATTTCTTGGTTGGGAACTGTTTGTCCACATGTAATGTTCTCATTCAAAAGTATCAAAAACGAATTTTCGGTTTTCGGCCGAATAGATGTTATGGCCGAAAAAAAATCACCGAATAATGTGGATAAACATGGGTCTAGTATGAACTCTCAAAAACGGAAAACGCAGACGGCGCTGTTTTCCCTGTTTTAGTAGCATGTTGATGACGTAATCGGTACGCGACAAGAGGCAAGCCGGTGTTGTGCCGTAGAAAGCACCCCCGCCGTAGAATGCACCCCCTGCCTCCCATCCACTCGTTAGCTCCTTAAAGTGGAAGAAAATGATCTCATATTTTAAAAAACACGACTATTTGAGCGTTACAACTTTCGTTCTGATTTTATGTGTCTCAAAAATGCACATACGGAGGTGTGCTTGGGTATATAAACTGTACAGTAAACTGTCAAGCTGGCATACATTATATTTTCGGGACAGCAAATATTCTGAATCAGAGGGCTATTTTTTCGGCTTATCTGAATAGCCTGAGTGAAATTATTAAAGGCACACGCTTTTGAATTCATCCAATGGTAAGGAAAACTTCTTACCATTATTTTCGCCTTGTTAAGTACTTTCATCCGCGCTCCCGTCGGGGGTGCATTCTACGGCACAACACCTGCATGCTGATAGGACGCACACGATACGTGCAGCTGTCTTGGCTCGAAGCCGTTCAACCGGCATGTCTGCGGTTTGGAAATACTTCGACATATCAGAGAAAGATGGTCTGATGGCAATTTGTAAACTGTGCTCTGCTGAAGTGTCTCGAGGTGGTGTGACGGCAAAAACTTTCAGTACATCGGGGCTAATCAACCACTTGAGCGCTAAACGTAAGGACAAACATGACGAGTTTAAGAAACTCACTGCACAAAAGTTTGCACAATCATACAAAAGTTTGCACAATCACTTACATGTGCATGCATGTAAGTGCATGTTGAAGGCCTCAGGCCTGGATTTGTGTTTACTGTTGCACAATCATGTATATGCATGCACGTACCTGCATTTATTTTATTTATTTTGCATATGTGCATTTTATTTATTTATTTTATTTACTTTAGGCTATCCTACAGGGAAAATTGCACTTTTTTGTATTGTTATTGCAAAGATGTTATTTACTTAATTTTATTTTATTGAATGTTGTTGTTATAGCATTGTTATGTCATGTGCTGAAGCTGAATAAATGTTTCATGATTCAAACATAAAGTGATTAATATTTAAGTTTGCCAGGTTTTGCCATAATCAGGTAGCTTTAAAACAAATGTACGGCAGTGACAGCAATTATACAAAAATTGCTTGGTGATAAAAATTCAGAATTTATATACATATTTATTGATCATATTCGGCTATTCGGTATTCGGTTATTCGGCCAAGTGTTTCTTATATTCGGTATTCGGTTTCGGCCAAGATTTTCCCATTCGGTCCATCCCTAGTTTCCAGACAACCAGAGATAGTCCTGTGTTTCTGCTGAGCCGTACAGACAGTGGACTGACACTTTTACTTTACAGTTTTGGGATGATTCAGGTCGGTTTAAGCTGTAAACTATATTAAAGCAGTGTTTATTGGAAAATGAACACTTCAATGAAAGGAAACAAACGCGACATATGCGAGAGTGATGCGTTCAGGGCAGCCTTGGATAAAAGAGTGCCGTATTTCATGCACAGATGTTCAGAGAACCTCGTTTGGAGAGCATGTAGAACATGTAATACTGTTGAGTTCAAATGTTTTTTTAGATTTTTCTAAGTGTATCTTATTCAATTTGCTTTGTTATTTACTTTTTATGTTAATAAAATGTTGAACTAATCTCTAGTTTTTTTAGTTTTTAGTATAGATGCTTTAAAACTGGCACTTTAAAAAAAAATTGTGATATTTATCGAGATCGGACGATATGACAAAATAAATCGTGATCATTTTTTGTGCCAAATCGCCCAGGCCTACAGTGAACTAAATATCCTGCTCCTGCTCTTCTCCCTGAGCCTCTTACTCTTCCTCATCCAGACATTACAGTATTTGTCTTTTTCTGTTTCCATCACTCCTCAAAGTCCTCCTTTTAACCCCTGACACTGAGTCTAAATCAGACTGGAATCAGCTGTGGTTGGCACCAATATATACCCAACATAAATAAGCTGTGTGTTGATTATTGATTTATAATTATTAGCCGAGATATATTGTTTTTGAACTGATATCATTGCAGAAGCAGAGGTTTTTATTCTGTATCTAAGGTTTGGAATATTGTTTTTGCTATTGAAGGATGTTGTGTGTTAACATTTGTAAATAATACAAAAATAATCCATCATTTTGTTGAGAGGTCTAGTTTGTCTGTTAAGAAAATGTAAGCATTGTGGAAATGTGTTCACTGACTGGATATTGTGTGAAAATGACATGAAATGTGTGAACGGTATGACCACAAAAGACCGATGCTGTGATCTTTGTGTTTAGAGTTTTGAAAATGCGACAAACGCTTGTGCGACAAAAACTGTATTGCCCTGATGATCAGGACCATCCAGTCCTGGTTTCTGTCTTTGTCCCCCTTTAGTACAAGGTTCTTCTGAATTTTTACCATCCAGACTCTTTTTGAATTTCAGTTTTATGTTTTTATTTTTTTTCTTGCAGATCCTCATAAGAGAGAAAAATGATGGCGATGATGATGAGGATGATGAAAGCAGTTTGGCGTACCGCACGCGTTCAAAGCTTCCCTTGGTTGATATCCCTCTGGGTCAGTTGGAGGCAAAGCTTCTGCCCCCTGACATCACAGAGGACATGTATGAGCGAAGCCCCGCCCAGCAAGAGGAAGACCGTCATTGGACGAGTTGGCTGCAAAGTCTGATGGCGCCTGATAATGAAGGTCACAGGTCAAGTTGATCAGGGTGTTTTACTTTAAAAAGGTTCCAGTCCACTGTAGTGACTTCCTGTTGTTGTTGTTGTGTGTCAGAGGAGGCTGATGATGAAGATGACCCAGAATACAACTTCCTGGAGGATCTGGATGAACCGGACATGGAGGACTACAGGACTGACCGGGCTGTGCAGATCACCAGTAAGTCCATCTGCTGAGTGCTGGTCAATGCCTGGAACTTTTTCCAGGACTTCCAGGACCTTGTTTAAGGTTAAACACTCACCGTGAAAATGCTTGTCCTTCCTCTGACAGAGCGAGAGGTGAACGAGCTGCTGGACGAACTCTTTGAGACGGTGAGTCTCTGAAATTAAAGTCCGATCAATTCAGTCATGTGACTTTATTTACACACTGACGTCTGCGACCTCTGCAGCTGCAGGAAGAGGAGAAAGAAGAGGAGGAGGAGCAAGAGGAGGAGGAGGAGGAGGAGGAGGTGACTCAGCCACAGACTGGAACCAAATTTAATGTTCCCAAAGCTTTAAGGTAACACAAAAGAACACATACACACACACACGCGCACCCAATTCCAGGTGTGTGTTTGTCCTTCTGTTGGGACAGAGCAGCAGAGCGGTGCTGTCTCTGTTTGGGTCAGGAGGAACAGGAAGTCCTCCACTGTGTCTTCTTCACACAGAACCCATGAAGAAGAGTTCAGTAGAAGGAGACATTGGCTGTGTCCAATTGAATCATTCAATCCCTAACTCCCATATGGGGTTTCACTATACAGTGCATCCGGAAAGTATTCATACCACTTCACTTTTTCCACATTTTGTTATGTTACATAACAATATGTTGCTGTGCTCTGATTGGCTCAGTAGTTCGGATTTCGGTTTATCCATTTTGCTAATGTGTGCTAAAGTAAGGTGCCTAGATGTCTGTAATGATATCCGGGGATATTCGGTGCGGTGGCGGGTGCAGGGGCTGCAGGGGCTGTGTGATCACAGACAAAGTCTCGGTACTATTTAGTAGCAGCGCATGCCCCTTGTAATAACCCCCGTAAGAACTGTTGTTCAGGACTGCTTACTTGTGCTTCCTACCTATTCGGCTACTGTAATAACCGTTGTTCGAGCCCACACGCAACATTTTTGTTCTCATTCATGAAACGCTTAAATCGGGGACATTTTCAGGGCTTTTGCCGGGGACAGGTCATCCATTACGGGGACTGTCCCCGGAAATCAGGGACGTCTGGTCACCTTATGCTAAAGGCTAAAAATGGCAGGTATTAAACCATATATTTTAGATCCCGAGTCCGAAGAGGAGGTGGAAGTTGAAGAAGAAGCCGGAGATCTCCAGCGGTGTTTTCATTCATTCTGCCCAGCTTTAAGTTCATTTTCCCGGCAGTGAACCCAGGGAAACACCGGTCGTTTGGAAGAGACCCAGAGCGGATACAGCGGTAGCTGCGTCTCGCTCTGGCTGGAGAGTGATGTTGTCTGTGAATCAGTACGAGAACGAGAGAGTGGGCGCGGCTCAACGAGGACGTGCTCGTGAATAATAATGAGCAAGGTCAGCGCGACGTCAGAGGGACCTGCTTTTTCAATTGGCCTGGTTTACCCGTTCCTTTATTTTAAACCTTTACAGAATGCAAACGACATAATGGTTTGTTTTCACATTTACAACATAAGACGAACATAATATGGACCTTATCTGACACAAAAAACACACAAAATTACATTTTGATGGCAGGTCCCCTTTAAAAATAAGAATCCTCAAATGTTGCCTATACATAAGTATTCACACCCTTTACTCAATACTTGTTCGAAGCACCTTTGGCAGCGATTACAGCCTCCAGTCTTCTTGTGTATGATGCAACAAGCTTGGCACACCTGGATTTGGGGAGTTTTTCCCATTCTTCTGTGCACATCCTCTCAAGCTCAGTGAGGTTGGATGGGCAGCATTGGTGCATAGCTACTTTCAGGTCTTTCCAAAGATGTTCAATCGGGTTCAAGTCTGGGCTCTGGCTGGGCCACTCAAGGACATTCAGAGACTTGTCCTGAAGCCACTCCTTTGTCTTCTTGGCCGTGTGCTTAGGGTCATTGTCATGCTGGAAGATGAAGTCACTCCAGTTGAAGGTCTCGAGCGCTCTGGAGCAGGTTTTCATCAAGGATTTCGATGTACTTAGCTGCATTCATTTCTCCCTCTATCCTGACAAGTCTCCCAGTTCCTGCCGCTGAAAAACATCCCCACAGCATGATGCTGCCACCACCATGTTTCACTGTAGGGATGGTATTGGCGAGGTGGTGAGCGGGGCCTGGTTTCCTCCGGACATGACGCTTGGCATTCAGGCCAGAGAGTTTGATCTTCGTTTCATCAGACCAGAGAATTTTGTTTCTCCGGAACTACTTGCGTCTGTCAGCAACAGACCTAAGTAGTTCAACTGTTTCGATGAATAAGGCGATGACGCTTTCAGTTATCTTATTTAAGTAACTATCGCTTCTAGCTTGAGTCTGAGATATGGACCTCCTGACCTCCACTCTTAATTTGCATTCATAAATATTGTGGCCAAGTTCACTCTATCCCCCCTGCTCTCCACTGGCAAGTCTGGAACAGTTGCAAATAAACAAAATGGGTTTGGTACCTGTTTGATTGTCCATTCTGAGCTTCCATAGAAAAACAACATGGCAACCTCCAGCCAATAAAATATAAAAGACTTTCCTCATTCTTAAGTAATAAAACCATGATGATATTCTATGCAATATAAACTCATTTAAACATATTCCGACATGAAACATTCCAGTTCTTTAGAGAAATGCAGCTAAAACCGACAGAATGTACCTTTAGGGATCAAAGCTTTCCACCACCCTCATATATATAATGTTTGACTTGACCTATAGCTTTAAAAAGTTTAATTAAATCACCTTCACAAAAATCATAAAATGTCCTCTCACTTAATCTGATTAAAAAAAATCACCACATGGACATAATCACCTCAGACCAAATGTTTGACATGAAGATAATGACAATATATTTGGCTTTGGCTATAATCAGCAACGTGACAACCAACCCCAGTCTCCCCTATTGATGTGTCAGCTCCTCCCTTTGTCCTAATACAGGTATATAGATAAGGTGTGGCTGTTGTTGAAGGCGTTTCCTTCATCGTTATGACTCCTTCGGTCTGTAAATGCGTCCCTCAGAGGAGCAGCTTCTGAATTTGACACACATGTATTATCCCTGTAAGTTATTTCAGGCTCTGCCTACTTTCAAGTCAGATATGTGCGACTACAAAACATGATAATTATCATGATAAACATATTCGATCCTCTTATGACCCTTCAGGAGGCGGAGTCTGTGCCAAGAACCAGCTGATTAGTGGAAAGAAGCTGCACTCAAACCCATCCTGGTCAGGTTCAGACTTTGTTTTTTGTCCCTCTTTGGTCTTCATAGATTTGAGGCGCCATTGGCTAGCATGTTAACAGAGCGGCGGCGGGCAGCGAGACAACAGTACGAAGCTCTGCAGCAGAAGAGGGCGCTGCAGGACACGACCAATCGGCAACGCAACAACACACTCCTGAGCAACACACCTGCTCCACATACCAACACCTGCATCCCCCTACTGCTGCTGAGCCACACCTGTAGACCCCTCCACCTGGACCACACCCAGAAACTACAGCTGCAGCAGCAGGTGCAGCAGGTAAGGAAAGCCCTGCCCCCCCCCCCCCCCCCCCACACACACACACACACACACACACACACACACACACACACACACACCTGTTATCTGTCTGTTCCTCTGTGGTTTTAGCTCACCTGGGACTCTCAGACTGACAGGTAATCTCCTGTTTTTCAGCATGTGCAGCTGCTGACTCAGATCCACCTGCTGGCTCGCCGCATTGACGCTCTGAAACATGAGGCGTTCACCACCAAACGTTACCTGGTCAGTCACAGACAAAACAAACACACCTGAGCTCCACCTCCGTCACCTGCTTCATGATCACCTGCTCTCTCTCCACAGGAGGAGCTGCAGCAGTTCTCCATGAGGAGGACCCAGGAGGTTCTCCTGCCCAGCAGTTTCAGAGCCTGTAACCTGAAGGGGGCACTGGATCTGGTGGAGGAGGTTGAGCAGAGGGTGGAGCCACCTTCTCCTCCTGCTGCTCCTTCTCCTCCTGCTGCCTCCAGGCGCTGGCTGCCCAGCATGACGCCAGCAACCAACAGTAAGAACCTCAACCAGAACCTCCATGGTCATTCTGTTAGAGTGCTCCTGGTTCTGGTTCTAAATCTGGTTCTTAAGCTGTATTGGGACAGGAAAAAGTGCCTAGAAAGTGAATCTCGTTTCACTTCAGTGGGGCAACATGAACTGTGATTCATAAAATTAGGCCTGCACGATATATCATTTGAACATCGTCATCGCGATGTACGTGTGTGCGATAGTCACATCGCAGAGCCTGCGATGTTGGAGGTGAATGAACTCAGTGAATTTCAAGGGTAACCGACTGAGATACACTGCTTGTGACTCTGCATGTGCTGTGCAGCGATCCACCAATCACCTTCGTTCTTTACTCAGTTGCCAATCAGACTCAGTTCTCAGTTGCCAATCAGACTACCCTGCCAGCTGTCAATCAAAATCAGAGAGGAGGAAACCCACCCCTGCACATGTTCTGCACATGGAGTGAGATGCTGGCTGCAGGTGTTAAGCCGAGAAACGCGTGTCCGCTGAGAATTACTTTCGGAACTTTACTCATGACTGTTAAGCCCAACAAATAAGAACTGTATGGGTTTTAAATTGTATATTTCCGTGGACCACTCTACTATAAGCGCGTTTTGCGAGGTGCATGCAATTCTCGGAGGACATGCGTTTCTCGGCACATTACCGCTAACAACAACAACAACAACAACGATCTCAAACTGAGCAACGAACAAGAGAAAACCACCAAAAATGAAGATTTGTTGCCAAAAACAAAAGGAAAGTCAGTTATCTGGAATTATTTCGGTTAAAAGAAGGATGATGTCGACCAAAACGCGTGCTGACAGACAGCGGAAATTAAAGTTTATCACTTTTGGCATGGTGTACTGGCATTATTATGCCATATATTATCATTTTCTATAATTTAAAAAACGGTGTCAATAATATCGTTTATCGGCAATAATTTGTAGCACAATTATCGTCCAGCAAAATTTGTTATCGTGACAGGCCTAATCAGGAACATTGTCAAAGTCGATATCAACTCAATGTTTATAAGTTTCTGCAAGGTCCTTTGTCTCACCCTGTAGAGAAAGCCACTTTCTAATACTAGTTCTGTAAGTTTCCCAACGTGTCCTTGTAAAGTCGAGAACGTCTTCACTCTGGACATGTGATAGATGCATATAGCATCGTTTCGTTCCTTTTTTATGCACTTTTGAAGGCTGTATTCTTTTTTTCCTTTTCTTTTCTTCCTCTCCGCTTGTCTCGCTGCTAGATCCGCTCGTCGCCATGTTTGTGTATTTCTGATACTACGGCAACGAGACTCGGCTCCTATTGGTCCATGTGACAAAAAGTCGCTTCACCCCCTGCATATTCGATTGCGCGTGTGCAAATATCACTACGCCGCAGAAGGGAAATAGTTCGACACCGAAACACTGATTACTAAAAATCGACAGGATGGCATGAGTAGATATTTTTTTTTAGTACTTACTATCAATAGAGCTATTTTATGAATCACAGTTTGTGTTGCCCCACTGAAGTGGAACGAACCAACACGATCTCATTCAGCCAATACAGCCTATCTGGTTCTGTTCAGGTCTGGCCTTCCCTCTGCTGCCCCCTGACATGGCGTGGCTTTTAGCGACTAGACCCGTCTTCCTCTACCCAGAACTACTTCCTGTCTGTAACCTGGACAGCAGCCGACAGCAGAGGAGTGTGTACACACCAGGAGAGGACGGGTACGCGCGCACGCACACACACACACACATCAATTTAAAAGTCCACTCAATGCAGTGTATACAGTAAACTAAACCTACTAGAAATTTACTTGCAGTGTAGAAATACAGTGATTTATCTTGTTAGTTATGTGGGACTGCTATTATCTTGAACACAACTTTAAGTCTCAGTGTGTCATATTTCCCATCATGCCTCTGTGCAGGCTGCTGGTTCTGGGTCTGAAGCACTTTGAGGGAACCGTGGAGCCGGATCAGCTGATCAGCTCGTACCTGGTCCGTAAGACTCGATGGAACCTGAAGAAGCACATCAGAGAGCTGAGCGGACCCAGGGCACCGCCCAGCAGCGTCATTAAGGTGACATCACTGTGACATCACACAGACTCAGCTGAGAGGTGGAGCAGGTGAAGTTCATCTGGTCGTTTGTCATCTTCAGGTGTTCGTGACGCAGAGAGTCGTTCCCCCGTTGCCCCTCTCCTGCAGCAGAGTTCAGCCGTCTGACCAGTGCCCCCCAGTGGACAGAAACCCCTCCTGCATGCCGAACTGGCTGAAGGTCAGATCAGAGCAGATCCACATTCAGGTTTTCAGGTTCCTCTAAGGTTCTTTCATCGCTCTTTAACGCCCCCTGATGGTTCTCACCCTCCAGAACAGTCAGCTGATCATCCAGAAGACTCGCCTCCACTCCCACTCTTACCCCCCCTCCCTCCCTCCTGGCTGCACCCTCAGGCTCCACCCCCAATGGCTCATCAAGTCCCGCTCCTCAATCACCGCTCACAGACGTATCTTCAAACTTGCCCACAATGCATCTCTGCCACCCCTCGCCAAAGCCCCAGGAGACCTACAGGCCGCTCCCCCTGCAGGTGTGACTGGACCGCTGGCCCCGCTCCAAACCTGTGAGCCTATCCCATTGGCTGCTGTCCAAACAGTTCCCACCCAGGCAGTGTGCACCAACATTATAAGCTCGGGCGTTCCTATTGGTCAGGTGCAGCAGAGCGTTTTAACAGAACAGCTGTGTAGCCCCGCCCCTCTGCTCCTCCCCCTTTCTGCCTCCACCACCTCTGACATCACAGCTCCCATAATGCCCGTCTCTGCTGCCGCTCTGACGCCGGGATACTTCATCCTGCAGATGGTGTGGACGCCTCAGACACAAGCTCCACCTCCTGCTTCGCCTTCTGCCCCGCCCATTGTCAGTGTCCAACGTGCTCCTCAGAAGACGCGACGTAAACAGAGTGAGAAGAAGAGACAGGAGGAGGACAGGAGACGGGAGGGGGAGGAGACTCAGGTAGAGGAGGCAGGACACATGGAGGAGCAATGCTCAGTGTCATCTTTGAGCCCAGCTTTTTTATTTTCAGAGCGAAAACTGGAGGGGGAAAAGAAAGAGGAGGAGAAGGAGGACAACGACATAAGGAAGGAAAAAGAAGAGGAGGTTCCAGGTGTAGTCAGTTTAAGTGGAGGAGAAAAAAACACCGGAGAGAAAGAGGAGGATAAAGGTGGAGGAGGAAGTGCTGGAGGAGCAGGTGAGGAGGATACAGGTGAGGGAGGTGGAGGGGAAGGGGGACAGGAAAGAGAGGAGGAGGAAGGACAGAGGGAGGATGGAGGAGGAAGAGAGAGGGAAGAGGATGGAGAGAAGGATAAAGATGAAGATCAGGATCAGCAGGGGGAGGAAGAGGAGGAGGAGGACTTCGATGACCTCACCCAGGATGAGGATGAGGAGGAAGTGATGTCATCTGCGTCAGAGGAGTCGGTGCTGTCTGTTCCAGAGTTACAGGTAACTAAATGACAGGTAAACAAAGTTCAAGTACAGGTAAACAACAGTTTTTGACCTTTGACCTCCTCAGGAAACCATGAAGCAGCTGACATGGCTGGCGGCGGAGCGGCGGCTCTGTGCGGACGCAGACTCTGAGGAGGATCACTCCCCCACCTCCCCAGGATCTCAGGAGGAAGAGGAGGAGGAGGAAGAGGAGGTGCCCAAAGGGGCGGAGTCAGGAGACAGGAGGCGAACAAAGGAGGGAGGAGACGAAGACACGCCGTCGGGGGAGGGGACTCCCAGAGGGGGAGGAGGTCGTCCAGGGCGAGGGAGAGGTGGGTGTCGGTGCTGAGGTCACAGCAGGTGTCATTTCACCTGGCGTGTTTTAAGTGTTTCCTGTCTCGCTGCAGGGAGGAGCCGACCTCTGCGTGGTCTGAGGAGGAGTCGTCAGGAGCGTCACAGCGTCGACGCCACCAGACTGTTACTGCTGTACGACGAGAACATCCTGGACAACGACCCACACAGAGAGAGCAAGGACGTGGCGTTCGCTCAGAGCTACCTCAACCGGGTCAGAAACAGAACCTCAGTAACGATCACATTAGACTCTGGTCAGCAGCTGTTTGATGTAGTTTGGAGTTTGATCCAACAGAGGGAGCTCTCCTCGAACCCTGATCCTAGCACAGAACTAAAGTGACCGGGGTTTATTTTGGGCCTGGTTCTGGGGTTCTGGATATGAAGCTGGACTGACTTAAATGGGACGGTTTTGGTCTCAGAAGGTCACACCTGTCCTGCATGCAGGATTTTTTTTCATAGAATGGTAGGGGAAGGTCCCGCCCTCCTTTACCTCTGATTGGCTAAAAGTGCTGGGCTCCGATTGGTTATTCCTTATGGCTGTGAAACGTCATCGTCTGTCGGGTTAGGGTTATGATATTCAGAGCAGACAGTCGCGCTCGGCTTGAGCGTGTGATGACGTTCCACAGCAAATCAGAGGCGAAGGAGGCGGGACCATCCCCTACCATCCTTGGAAAAAAAAATTGCGTCTTACATTGGTAGCAGTTTGGGGGTTTCCATAGCAACCATCACAGACAGTTAACCACGACTGTGACTTTGTTCCAGGTGCGGGAGGCACTGCAAGACACACCTGGTCAGGTGGGCGAGTTTGTGTCTCTGCTGCGTGAGTTTGAGCAGGTGGGAGATGGAGAGGAAGTGACCATTTTGTTCAGGAAGCTGCGGTGCATTCTGGGAGATCGCACTGACCTGCTCAGAGACTTCGCCGCGTTCCTGCACCCTGAACAGGCGCTGCAGTGCGGACTGGTGAGTGGCACAGGTGTCAGACAGGTGTGTATTTATCATCAAAGTCTCCGTCACATCCTCATCCTCGCTCTCTGACCTCTGCAGTTTGAGGAGCAGCAGGCGTTTGACCAAAGCCGCCGTTTCCTGCGACAGTTAGAGATCAGCTTTGGAGATAATCCGTCTCATTACCAGAAGATCATCAAAGCTCTGCAGACCGGTCCGGACTTGAGTCCCACCAGCATCCAGGAGGTAAAACCACTGAAACCAGTTCTCCTGACATCACAAACTGGAGGATTGATCTGGTCATATGATTGTTTATTTGATCAAATATACACACAGTACAATTTTAGTCAAGAAATTACCTGTTTGTTTTTTTGGAAATTAAAAAAAGAGTAGGTTGAAGCTGTTTAGTTTATATGTAGGGGAGACCAGGCCTGTTGTTACATGGGTAAGTTGTCACATTGCAATTATCTTTGCCACCAGAGGGCGCAACTAAAAACTGGAATACTAGTTCTCCTCCTTTACATGGTCAGGGGTCGTGTCCTGTCCTAGTTGAGATGAATGCCAATTAACCATTTCACACAACCCAAAGTAAAAAAAAATTAACTTTATATATTTTAAAATAAGTTTCTTCCAGATAAAAATCCTAGCAGTGAAACATGTGGACCTGTTAGAGGAGAGATTAAGACATCCTGTCATACCTCAGTCATTGTTCTGTTTTAAACTTACTTTAAGCTGGAGCTAAAATTAGCAAACGTGGTAATTTGGGTCAACATGTCTCAGTCATTTTGGGATTAGTTATCACATGTTTAAAAGGGATTAAAATTAACAGAGAGTCTGCTTATCAGTAGTTGTCATATTGAAATTTGACTTTGTTTTTACAGAGAACAGAGTGGTTTAAAGGAGAGGAGAAAGAGAGCGGACATGGTCAGGAATTACAAAAGAAAAACGGAACATGTCAGTGCAGTACCTAACGTGATGCTGAGGACAGTCAGGCAGGTGACCCTCACTGATAAATCAATCTGGAGTACAATGAAGGAATTTAATGTCAGCTACCATACCTTAGCTCAGTACTGCAAAACATTCACCCCAGTAGAAATACAGTCAGACAGATCTCCAAACTCCAGAGCATGTTGATAATATTTTAAATGTACGGTTTTTTCAAAGACTTATTCTTTAGCTCAATGATAAACATTTTCTGTGTCTGACTTTAATGTTCACTTTCAGGTAAAAAAAAAATTACAACAACAACAATTTTGTTTTATTAGCTGTAAAATACACTGACATCTTACCCCATGTAGAGAGACAGCTTACCCGATGGTGGGGCAACATGTCACATGTTCACACTCTCTATTTGATTGATTGTAACTCTGCACTGATACAAGATATGAAAATGACATGAATATGAAATATATACCTGAGACTTTGTTCTTTCATCTGGTACACATTTTGTTTATATATGATGAATTGATTCCAAGTATATATATAAATAACTCTAATATAAATATATAAGAGTGTGAAAAGTGTGACAACAAGCCCCGGTCTCCCCTACCTACCCTCATTCCCTACTATTTGTTACCCTTTACATGTCTCCAGAATTTCTGATGTCGCCAAAAAACAACCAAAGCTCCAAAGTGTAACATGAATATATAACTAATCATTAATACTAAAACAAAGACCTTATACACTATAGGCCAAAAGTTTGGAAGCAAGATCAGATTTGTATTTGTAATAACCTGCAAAACATCCCCATACCATGGAACTACCACCTCCATACTGAATTATGGGTGTAACACATGGTGCTTTCAGATGCAACAGTTTGTCTGCGGATATAGACTCTGCGTTTTGAACCAAATAGTGCAAACTTGTTTCTAGTCATCATAAGTCCAATTTTTGTGAACTTTTGCCCACACATATCTCTTTTTCTTGTTCTGTGGATGAAGTAGTGCTTTTTTGCAGACACACAACCCTTCAGACCAGCCTTTCTCAAATGTCATTTCACGGTTGTCAGAGATATGGGTTTCGACCTTGTCATGTTGATTTCCTCCCTTATTTGTGGTGCTGTTTTTCGCCGATCTCTCTCACTGGTGACAATGCTATTGTTACCAAACTTGAGCTTGCAGACCCTCGAACCGTAGTAGGTGGACCACTCTTGGACAGCTCTCTGTTTAACTCGTTGAGGTAACATAAAAATGATCGGGACCACGTTGGAAGAACTGCACTTTTATTTTCTAGCACTCCTCGCAGAAGGAAAACATAAAGTATCACACTTGTGGCTGCGGAGTCCGTCTCACAAACACAAGCTCCCTGCATCGCATCCCCTGCGAACACAAAAGAACACAGTTTCCCAGAATGCCCTACTGACATAGCCCTGTAAACTCTAACCCCTCCCACATAATAAAGTCACAGTCACATGCTGAGCCTGTAACACTATGTTTATCCTCTGCTTTTGTAGTAACTCTCTTTCATCCAGGTCTTTTTCTATCATCATAACTTCCAGGTTCCTCTAGTCTCTTCAGAGTGTAGTGGACTCCTTTGTTAAACACCTTTAGGTGTTTTGCAATTTCTCTTTCTGTGTATCCTTCTTTCCTCAATGTACAAATCTGTACTTTTGTTTCTTTACTCAGTTGCTTCTTTCTAGCCATTTTTGCGGTAGTTTGAACACAGTTGAGATTTATTAGGATTTTTGTATGCAGACTCTCAAAAACCCCAAAAGTTGAAGTGAATAATCCAACTGTGATTTGTTTTTTTTGCTTTTGCACTGAAGTTGTGACTCTTGCAAATGTTTTCAACCCTAAAACTAAGCCCTTATTATCTTTTGCTGACATATATTTAGCAATGGTCTGTTAACATCAATGTCTAAAGGTAAATGGAGTAAAATGGTGCATTTCCATGAAAGCAACATCTGATCATGGAGTAAATACATCCCAAAATACATAAAACTCATGCTGGATTAAAAAAAAAAGCATTGTGAACAAAAACTTGAAGTTACTCCCAACTGTTCGGCCTGTAATGGCCTTGCTTCCAAACTTTTGGCCTGTAGTGTATTTACATACACTCCTGATCAAAATCTTAAGACCAGTTAAAAAACTGCAAGACTTTATATTTAGCACTGTTGGACCTTAAGACGGTTCTTAGTAGAGCTTCAAAATGCAAAAAGAAGAAATGGGAACAAGAGACCAAAAGTTTTGAGTAGGCAATTTATTGAAAACAACAATTTAACTAAAATAGGCTGTTCATCAGCTGATCAAAAAAACCTAACCACCTCCAAAAACAGAAATTTAAGTGTCAAAAACTGACTCAGTAATGAGTAGCTCCATCATTATTGTTGATTACTTTAAAAATTCGTTTTGGCATGGTTGATACAAGTGTTTCTAAAAGGCTGGTGGGAATGTTGCTCCAAGTGGTGAAGATGGCTTCACAAAGGGGATCCACTGTCTGGAACTGATGTCCATTTTTATAAATTTCCCTTGCCATCTATCCCCAAATGTTCTCAATTGGATTTAGATCAGGGAAACATGCAGGATGGTCCAAAAGAGTGATGCTATTCTCCTGGAAAAAGTTCTTGGTCAGACGGGCCTTTTGAATTGTAGCATTGTCCTGCTGAAAAACCCAGTCATTGCCACACAGACGAGGGCCCTCAGTCATGAGGAATGCCCGCTGCAACATCTCCACACGCCAGCTGCTAGTTGACGCTCCTGCACAACCTGGAGCTCCATTGTTCCATTAAAGGAGAAAGCACCCCAGATCATGATGGTGCCCCCTCCACTGTGCCACGTAGAAAACATCTCAGGTGGCATCTCCTTGTCATGCCAGTAGTGTTGGAAGCCATCAGGACCATCAAGGTAAAAATATTCCTCATCAGAGAATAAAACTTTTTTCCACCTTTGAATGTCCCATGTTTGGTGCTCCCTTACAAAGCACAAATGGGCAATTTTGTGGCGTTGAAGGAGACGTGGCCTTTGAAGACGTGTTTTGTTTTTGAAGCCCTTCCTATGCAGATGTCGTCTGATTGTTATTGGGCTGCAGTCAGCACCTGTAATGGCCTTAATTTGGGATGAGGATCGTCCCACGTCTTGACAGACACACATTCGGATCCTCCGGCTCAGCAGTGGTGAGATTTTTTGGGGTCTACCACTTGATTTTTTTGTTCCATAACCCTCCAGATCTTTTAAGAAATGAAAAATGATGGTGTTATTGCGTCCAACCTCAGCAGCGATGGTATGTTGTGAGAGGCCTTGTTTATGCAGCTCAACAATCCTACCACGTTCAAAAGCAGTGAGCTTTTTTGCCTTTGCCATCAAGTGATATTGACAGTGTGACTGCTTGACAAGAAATGACATGGAATCCAAATTTTCGCACAGATTTTGGCTTTTTTAAGGCTGTGGTCTTAAACTTTTGATCAGCTGATGAACAGCCTATTCAGTCTAATAGTTGTTTACAATAAATTACCTGCTCAAAACTTTTGGTCTCTTGTTCCCATTTCTTCTTTTTGCATTTTGAAGCTCTACTAAGAACCGTCTTAAGGTCCAACAGTGCTAAATATAAATTCTTGCAATTTTTTAACTTGTCTTAAGATTTTGATCGAGTGTATATACATCCACACCTATATACATGTATATACACACAAATATACACTTCATATATGAATACCTAGAATACTTTAAATCTCTCATTTGTACCATTCCCATATACAATAGAATAAGTGTGACAAAACAAAAATCACTGTTGTTAGTATTTTTCAATCAAACTCTGCTTTAATTTACTTTAAAAAAGGCTGCATGATATATCGTTTGATCATCGTCATGAACGTGTGCGCGGTAGTCACATTGCAGAGCCTGCGATGTTGGAAGCAAATGAACTCATCTAATTTCAAGGGTAACTGACTGAGATACACTGCATGTGACTGCATGTGCTGTGCAGCAATCCACCAATCACATTCATTCTTTACTCAGTTGCCAATCAGACTACGCTGCCAGCCGTCAATCAAAATCAGAGAGGAGGAAACCACGCCCCTGCACATGGAGTGAGTCGCTGGCGCTGCCGGTGTTGTGCCGAGAAACGAGTGTCTGCTGAGAATTACTTTGGGAACAACACAAAAATAAGAACTGTATGGGTTTGAAATTGTACATTTCCGTGGACCACTCTACTGTAAGCGGTGCGCGTTTCTGCGAGGTGCATGCAAATCTCGGCACAACACTGGTACCAACAGCAACGATTGTAAAATGAGCAACGAACAAGAGAAAACCACCGAAAATGAAGACTTGTTGGCAAAAAGAAAAGGAAAGTCAGTTATCTGGAATTATTTTGGTTACAAGAGGGATGATGTCGACTAAAACATGTGTTCTGTGTTCATCTGTTTCTACAATAATGTCCCAGCACAGTAAAAGCTAAAACATCTCTAAGACAGACAGAAGCCATTCTACTGACATTCACTTAAAGAGGTAAGATCAGTGCAGGTTAACTGTCCTCAAGATTCAGCAGAAAGTGATATTCAGGTCATCCGCTGGAAAATTTCTGTAGTTTTCTCATATTGCAGTATATATCGTAGGGTTGAAAAAAACTGCAATGCTAGTTTTTTTCCAATATCGTGCAGCCCTACTTTTAAACTGTGCTTTAATTTTACTTTGTTTAAGATCATCGGTCAAGTTGTTCCACATCTTCACCCCCACAATAAAAAGAAGCCTGCTTTTTAGTGTCTTAAGAACGCCTGGTTGTTTTAAATTGTGTTCCCCTCTTAATACAAACCTGCCCTCTCTTCCAATAAACATTTTCTGTATATTACTCAGGAGTACATTGTTATTAGCTCTACACATCGTCTGTGCAGTTCTAAATTCAACAGATTGGCAATTTTTAATACTCTTAATTTCAGAAACAGTTCATTAGCATGATGGAAGAATCCTACCTCTTTAACAATCCTTATTGCTCTCTTTTGCATAATATTTATAGGTTGTAAATTAGTTTTGTATGTTTTTCCCCAGACTTCTATACAGTAAGTCAGATATGGTTATATTTGCGTATTGTATAATAAGTATAAAGTTTTATGGTTTCATGTGTGTCTTGTCCTACCCAAAATGCCAATACTCCTAGCCAGCTCTGACCTAACAAAGATTATTTGGAGTTTCCAGCTGAGGTTATGGTCCATTTTTACCCCTAAAAAAATACACTCATACACCCTTTCTATCTTAATATTATCAATACTCACTTCAACATCTGTATTTGGTTCAATTGGTCTCTTTCCAAACACTATGAACTTTGTCTCCGTCATGATTATTATCAAACCATAATTTAGCTGGTTTAGATTCTCCTGTACAAAAAATATGAGTATTATCAGCAAAAATAACAAATTTTAATACACTAGAAACTTTACATACATCATTTCTATATAGGCCTGTCGCGATAATCAATAAATCGCCTTATCGCTCGGTAAATAAAAACGAGGTAGGTCATTTTGCCAACCTGGATAATTAACGTTCGTTTGTTTTCCTCCTCTCTCGCTACCAAACACGCTGGATGAGAGAAGAGGTCTCACTCTGCACATTTTTGTCAACCCCTGGGGGCGTTGGCTCTATAGGGGAATGAACGGAGTTAGTGAACCCTCCTGTCAGTCATTCAGTCTCTTTGTCGGGGGGGGGAGAGCTGGCGCGCACAGGCACACAGACACAGACTTTTGGATACAGTGCTACAAGTGAACGTCGTGAGTGAAAAGCAAGCTAACAGAATGAACACGACAGCTTTGGTGTCTAAACCGAATGCAACAGCCCAAGTGTGGGAATATTTCAGCTTTAAACCAAATGAAAGAGGTGAGCCCACAAATACGGACGAGCCGATATGTCGTATTTGTTCCAAAGTTGTGATGACAAAGAAGGGGAATACGACGAACGTGCACGCGCACCTCAAGCACAATCATCCTCTCCATTTTTCCCAACTGAGCAAAAAAAGTACCGCCGAAGGTGCTGCGGAGCCATCGTCCCGACAGGTACCGCTTACTGAAGCGTTTGGTAAGCAAAGCAAATATAAACAAAACACCGCAAAATGGTGCGCGCTGACAGACAGCGGAAATTAAAGTTTATCACTTTTGACATGGTGTACTCGCATTATTATGCCATATGTTATCATTTTCTATAATTTAAAAAACGGTGTCAATAATATCTTTTATCGGCAATAATTTGTAGCACAATTATCGTCCAGCAAAATTTGTTATCGTGACAGGCCTATTTCTATATAATATGAGTAATAATTGGTCCCAATATTGAAGCCTGTGGCACTCCACAGGTTATATCCAGATATGTCAGCTCTGTGGTCCGTATCTTTCAGCTGCTTCTTGTGTTTCAGCTCAAATCTCAGATGGCCACACTGCTCAAAGGCCACACCCATCTGCAGAATGAGTTCTGGGTATTTTTTGACGAGCTCCGGCCTCCCCCTGCCCACCCTGGACAGTTCGAGGAAGCTCATTGGCCAGAGGACGGAGGAGGCATGTCAGAAGGAGCAGAGGGACTGGGGCAGGTACTGTCAGGGGGCGGAGTCAGCAGTGGATTTGAGGAGGTAACGCTACCAGAGCTGGAGGAGGAAGAGGAGGGGCAAAAGATCCCGACAGTGACGAGCCGCCGCCAGAGAAGAAAGATGGACGCCCACAGGACCTACAAGGTCTGTCCTTCTGTTGGACCCTCCTTCTCTCACCTGTTACCTGTCTAACTCTGATTGGTCAAATGAATCTTGATTTATGTTTCCAGGACTGTGATTGGTCGGATAAGAATTGGTCCTGCCTCTGCCTGGACTCAAAGATCCGTAGACACAGGAGGAAAGGATGCCCTCGCTGCCATGGCAACAAGGTCTGTCTGTCCTCCACGTGTCCACATGAGTGCAGAGGTTTTCAAACACCTGACCAGTGACTGTTAATCCCACCGCAGGCAGCAGGGGGCGTGTCCAGAGCCATAAAGAGTTTGAACCCGCTGTACTCTCAGATAAGCTCTGCCCACGATCAACCTGGCGATAAAGACCTCGAACTGAAGAGGGACGATGACAGTCCACAACCAGGTATGTAACCAGGTCACCTGTACGAGATTTAAACAGAGACATCAACATAGGCCTGTCACGATAACAAATTTTGCTGGACGATAATTGTGCTACAAATTATTGCCGATAAAAGATATTATTGACACCGTTTTTTAAATTATAGAAAATGATAATATATGGCATAATAATGCGAGTACACCATGTCAAAAGTGATAAACTTTAATTTCCGCTGTCTGTCAGCGCGCACCATTTTGCGGTGTTTTGTTTATATTTGCTTTGCTTACCAAACGCTTCAGTAAGCGGTACCTGTCGGGACGATGGCTCCGCAGCACCTCCGGCGGTACTTTTTTTGCTCAGTTGGGAAAAATGGAGAGGATGATTGTGCTTGAGGTGCGCGTGCATGTTCGTCGTATTCCCCTTCTTTGTCACCACAACTTTGGAACAAATACGACATATCGGCTCGTCCGTATTTGTGGGCTCACCTCTTTCATTTGGTTTAAAGCCGAAATATTCCCACACTTGGGCTGTTGCGTTCGGTTTAGACACCAAAGCTGTCGTGTTCATTCTGTTTGCTTGCTTTTCACTCACGACGCTCACTTGCAGCACTGTATCCAAAAGTCTGTGTCTGTGTGCCTGTGCGCGCCAGCTCTCCCCCCCCCGACAAAGACACTGAATGACTGACAGGAGGGTTCACTAACTCCGTTCATTCCCCTATAGAGCCAACGCCCCCAGGTGTCGACAAAAATGCGCAGAGTGAGACCTCTTCTCTCATACAGCGTGTTTGGTAGCGAGAGAGGAGGAAAACAAACGCACGTTAATTATCGAGGCTGGCAAAATGACCGACCTCGTTTTTATTTACCGAGCGATAAGGCGATTTATTGATTATCGCGACAGGCCTACATCTACACTTTATGCACAATTATTAGGCAAGTTGTATTTTTGAGGTTTAATTTTATTTTTGAACAACTACAGTGCTCTCGGTCAATCCAAAATGTTAATAAACCTCAAACCTGAATATTTAAGAGAGTAAAAGTGAGGTTTTGGCTTTCTTAGAAGAATATCTATGTGTGAAGAACTATTGGGCAACTATTAGTATGCAGAATTATTATGCAAAAAAAAAAATTCCTATCTAACTTGTTTATTTTCATTTGTTAAAGTGAGAATAATAAACAAACAAGTCAAAATTTACAAATAAAAATGTTTGACATAAAAAAAAATTATAAAAAAAAACAGTGACCAATACAGCCACCCTTCTTTTCAAAAACAGTCATAAGACTTCCATTCATGGAGTCTGTCAGTTTCTTGATCTTTTGATGATCAACTTTTTGTGCAGCAGCAACCACAGCCTCCCAGACCCTTCACCGTAAACCTCCCGTTTAAGAAGGGCCTACAAGTTCTCTGTAGGGTTTAGGTCAGGTGAGGAAGGGGGCCACATCATTATTCGTTCATTTTTAAGGCCTTTACCGGCGAGCCACACAGTGGAGGACCTTGATGCATGCGATGGAGAATTGTCATGCATAAAAATCATGGTCTTATTTAAAGATGCAGACTTTTTCCTGAAAAAAAAGTGTCTTTTAAAAACTGGCAGTAGGTTTAGGAGTTAATTTTAAGTCCATCTTCAACCCGAAATGGTCCAGCTAGCTCATCTTTAATAATACCAGCCCATACCAGAACTCCACCCTGCTGGCGTCTGATTTGAAGTGGAGCTCTGTGACCGTCTCACCAGTCCATAAAACCTTTAAAAAATTGGTCCTCAGATGTTTCTTGGCCCAGTCTTGACATTTTAACTTGTGTGTCTTGATCAGTAGTGGTCGGGTTTCAGCCGTCCTTACCTTGGCCATGCCTCTTAAAACTGAACTCCTTGTTCTTCTGGGTAGTCCAGGTAGGTTGGAGTTCTGGTATATTCAAGAGGATAACGGGTTCCTGGTATCTTCACGTTTGAGTCTCAAATCTCTGGCAGTTAATTTGTGTCTTTTTTTCTCAACATGTTTCTTGCCTATTTGCAATAAAATATTTGATAGTTCTGTGAGCAATATCTTAGCAATTTCAAGAGTGCTGCATCCCTCTGAAAGACTCTGTACAAATTTTGACTTTTCAGATTCACTTCAATCTCTTTTTTGGCCCATTTTTCCTGAGGAAAAGAAGCTGTCTAATAATTATGCACATCTTGATATAGGATGTTGATCTCCTTAGGCCCATCCATCCCTCATTACACAAATACACATCACCTAATATTCTTATATCCAATAAGCATTCCAGTTTATACAGCTTGGAGTTGGAAAATATGCATAAAAATGATGATATGGTGCCTAATAATTGTGCACACAGTGTATGTGTCACAGCCATAAAGAGAAGAGGGTCCACCAAATCCAAATCCAGCATCACTGATGGTCTGGGGATCATCAGAGTCCATGTCATCTTTGAAGGCTCCAATAATGTAGAATAATATCTCCAGGTTTAGGAGCTACAGAGTCCTGTTGCTCGGAAATCTGGAGATATTGTTCAGATATTGTTAAACCCATGCGGTGACTCCAACTACACCACATGGGTTTAATATCACTTGTCCATGAACTGTCCTGAGGTCTACTGTTGTGTTGTTCACGAACAATTCGTTCAAAAGAACCGAATCTTTTAAGTGAACGTACTGAACCGAATCACATCCTCAAGTGATTCGTTCGTTTCTCTCTTCAGTTGAGCTGAAGTGAGAAACAGCATTGCCAGTCGAGCAGCCAACAAACGAGGGACCACATGCACCAACACCTGAATCACTTGGTGAACGAATCACGCATTGAACTACACTCTCTGGGTTCATTTTTATCGGACAAAAGTACCTTTTTTCACAGCTAAATTGCCACCACAACAACTTGCGTACAATAGGACACAGCATGTAACAAGTGGTGCGTTACACCCGCAGCATCCTAATCATTGCAGCGGTTTGCGAGGGTGTGTTCTTCTAAAAATTCAGTGAACGAATCACTTACTAAGCCCAATTTTACTGAGCAGACCTGATAAATAGCATACCACAGGACAGTACACTTTAAACATCATGACTTATAAACAAGTTCATTTTTACAAACCTGTTTGCCAAAGCAACACAGCCAAACACTCTTGTCTCCTGGTCCCAGAAGCTATGAATTGAACTGAATCCTGAACCGTTCAGCCGTGAATCAGTTCAGGAGGTCCCGCTAAATGATTTGGTGATTTGGTGAATGAATCTTTTGAACGCATCTTTTTAGTGAACTGATTCTAGTGATTCAGTACATCTGAAAGAACTGTCGTGCCCATCACTACTGAGGTCTGAAGGTCTAGAGCGAAACGTCTCAACGAAGTCCAGTTGTCCTTTCAACATAGATCTGGAAGTCATAGATGCTGCATCCTCAGTTTTAAGCATAATATCTAACATCAAGACCTCAAAACCAGGACCAAGAGGATCCTGGTCTTCTTGAAACCTCTCATTCAAATGATGCGCTTGAACCCAGAGGTTGCTGCAAGTCTGGTCTCTCTGTATTATCTGTAATTTTTGCTAGATTTTTTTCATATTTTTGTGGTAATTTTGTTGGCTGCTGATGAATACTTCTGCTGGGCTAAGAGTTTACTCAAGAGAAGAGCTCCTTTCATTGAGGAAAAGCAAATCTGGGCAAGAACATACAATTCCAGAGGACATCAGGAGGTGTTATTGTGGTTGCTGTGCTGGTCTAAAGGTGAAGGCAAAGCTGAATGCTAGGAGGTGGCGATATAAACCCTTTCTTGAATCAATCATCATGGGAAACGTCAACTTTCTGCCCAACAAAAGCGATGAGCTGGAGATCTTGGTGAAGACTGAGAAAGCATACCGTGAGTGCAGTTTCCTGTGTTTTACTGAAACCTGGTTGAATCAAAACAACTCAGACTCCAATGTGGATCTACCTGGCTTCACTCTCATAAGGTCAGACAGAGATTCTCAAGCTTGTGGCAAGAAGAAAGGAGGAGGTCTGACTTTATTTGTCAACCAGAGATGGTGTAACCCTTCACACATAACTGTCAAGGAGAAGTTGTGTTGTCCAGATATTGAACTGTTGGCAGTTTCTCTTCTGCCATATTATGTTCCAAGAGAATTTAGTCATATCATAACAGTAGTTGTTTACATTCCACCCAAATCAACTGAAGAATGTTGCAATGTTTTGCAAAACAGTGTTGCCAGGCTACAGACTCAACACCCTGAGGCACTAATAATAATATCGGGAGACTTCAACCATGTCACCCTCTCCTCTCACCTGACTGGATTCACAGTTTGTAAACTGTCCTACCAGAGAAAACAAAACCCTAAATCTGCTGTATGCCAATGTCAAAGAAGCCTACAGAGCCACTGCCTTACCACCACTCGGCAAGTCAGATCATAACTTGGTCTATCTACAAACCTGTTACAGACCTTGTGTGCTGAGGCAACCTGTGACCAAAGTCAAAATCAGAAGATGGACGCCTCAAGCCAGTGAAGCTCTAAGAGACTGTTTTAAATCAACAGACTGGAATGTGCTGCTGGAAACAGATGTGGATAGTAGTGCTGCAACTAACGATAATTTTTTTGTCGACTAATCTATCGACTAGTCGTCCGATTAATCACGATTAATCACCATCTTCTTTATTTATAAACACCTATTTCCGGGGTGTCGGCGTTTCAGGTGCTCATGCATCGCCGTGGTGCTGCCATGGTAGGAAAGCTGAGCTTTGATCAACGTGTTTTTTTGGTTTGTTCTCCGTAAAATGTTCCCAAACTTTTGAAGTTTTGGGTCGGAGTTTTGGAGCGTCTTTTTCAGTTTGTTCTGCCATAATGTGTGCACTCTTCTTCTGTGTTTGCTCGCGGGATGTAAACAGGGAGCACTATTGCCCCCAGCACATCCTGTAGTGCACTGCAGTTATAGATGAGCATGAGGCGCCGGCATGTGATTCTTAACAACAATAACACGATGCGTCGACGCTTCGTTTTCGTGTCGATGAATTTGTCGTGTCGACGTAATCGATTACGTCGACTAATCATTGCAGCCCTAGTGGATAGTATGAACATTGATAAACAGGTTGACTGCTTTACTGATTATGTCAACTTCTGTAGAGACACAGTTATACCCACAAAGACTGTTCGCTGTTTCCTCAACAACAAACCCTGGATCACAAGAGACATAAAAGCAATCCTTAACCAGAAAAAGAAAGCTTTTAAAGATGGTGACAAAGAATGACTCAAACAAGTGCAACAAGAGTTGAAGAGGAGACTGAAGATGGCAAAGCTGGAGTACAAAAGAGAAGATAGAGAAGAATCTACAACACAGCAACATCCGTGAAGTGTGGAGAGGAATCAGTACCATCTCTGGACACAGCAATAAAAAGAAAATACAGCCAGTGGTGGGTGATGTGAAAAGAGCTGATGAACTCAACCTGTTCTTCAACAGATTTGACACTGCTGTCACTCCCACTTCCACTGCTACTCCACCTTCCTCTCGGCAACAAATCTCCACTACAACTTCTCCCCTTCCTCCTCAATCTTGTTCAAATGTCTCAACCACTTCAACTGCCTCCCTCCGAGAACACCAGTCCTTGTCTGTCACTGAAACAGGGGTGAGGATGGAGCTCGGAAGACTTTGTCCTGGGAAGGCAGCTGGTCCAGATGGCGTGTGTCCAAGGCTGCTTAGAGACTGTGCTGCAGAACTGTGTCAACCTCTCCACAAGATCTTCAACCTGAGTCTACAGCTGGTGTGGGTACCTGCTCTGTGGAAAACATCCTGCATTGTGCCAGTACCAAAAACAAAATGTCCTGCTGAACTCAATGACTAAAGAACAGTGGCCCTCACTTCACACATCATGAAAACCCTGGAGCGGCTGATTCTACGCCTTCTAAGGTCTGAGGTCAAAGACAAACTGGACTCCCTGCAGTTTGCATACAAAGAACACATTGGAGTGGATGATGCTGTCCTTAACATGCTTCACCGTGCCCTGTCTCATCTGGAGAAACCTGGGGTTTATGTGAGGATCATGTTCTTCGACTTTTCAAGTGCTTTCAACACCATCCAACCCACCATACTCAAAGACAAGCTCACAGAGATGGGAGTGGATCCTGTGTTTCCTGGGTCACAGATTACCTGACGGGAAGGCCACAGTTTTTCAGGCTGGGGAACTGTGTTTCTGGGACATTAATGAGCAGTACAGGGGCTCAACAAGGGACAGTGCCGGCGCCATTCCTGTTCACACTGTAAACATCAAACTTCAAATACAGTACTAAGTCCTGCCACATTCAGAAATACTCAGATGACACCGCTATTGTGGCATGTATCAGAAATGGACAATTGGACTGAATACAAAGATCTAATAAGAGCCTTCAGTGACTGGAGTCACAAAAACTGTCTCCTTCTCAACACCTCAAAGACAAAGGAGATGGTCATAGACTTCCGCAGATCCAAACCCCCTCTTCAGCCAGTGAACACCTGTGGAGTGGACATCGAAGTGGTGACATCATATAAATACCTAGGTGTACATCTGGATAATAAGTTGGATTGGTCTAAGAATATGGACTACATCTACAGAAAGGGGCAGAGCAGCTTCTTTTGCCTGAGAAGACTCTGATCAATAGACATCTGTAGTAAGATGCTGCAGATGTTTTATCAGTCTTTGGTGGCAAGTGTGCTGTTCTATGCTGCAGTCTGCTGGGGAGGAAGCATCAAACACAAAGATGCAAGATGTCTTAACAAACTGGTGAAAAAGGCTGGCTCTGTGGTAGGACTCAAGCTGGACTCAGTGGAGGATGTGGTGGAGAGATCTACACTGAGGAAGGTGGAGTCTATTCTAAAGAACATGGATCACCCACTTCACAACACCTTGATGGACCAAAGGGCCAATGGTGGTGGACAGCTCCTCTCTTTACTGCAGGACAGAAAGATTTAGAAGATTTTTTGTACCAACAGCCATCAGGCTTTATAACTCTTATGTAAATAATAGATAACTTTTATAGACATATTACATGAGACAACAGACAATTGAATGTCCCTTCGGGGATCAATAAAGTTCTTCTTGTTCTTTTTCCTCTTCTTCTTCTTTATATGTGTTTCAAATATTTGTGTTGACAGTCCGCAGCAGTGCATCATGGGAAAGCTCGTTCCGTCTGACGAGGGAGAAAGAGGAGGAGGAGGAGGAGGAGATGGATGATGAGGAGGATGATGAGGATGAAGAGGAGAGGAAGAGCAGCGAGAAGGAGCAGAGTCCAGCTGTGAAGAGGAGCAGGAGAGAGGAGACATCACAGCTCCCCCCCTCCTCCTCCATTATAACCACCTCCTCTCTCACTCTGACCTCCTCCCCGTCCTCCTCCTGTCCCTCTATCACCACCTCCCTCACCTTACATCCCACAGCCACCTCCTCCTCTGTCACACCTCTTTTATCCAGCTCCTCCTTTGTGTCTTCCCTCCCCTCAACCACCTCCTCCACCTCCACCTTTCCTTCTACATCTGTAACCATCTCTGTCTCCTCTAGCTCCTCCTCAGTTGTCTCATCCCCCACCTCCTCCTCTCTACCCTCCATCTCTCCTCCTGTCTGTACTTCATCTACCCCCTCTTCCTCCTCTGCTCCTCCTCGGCCCAGTCCTCCTCCTGACCCACCTGTTTGTGCCAAGAACATTTCTCTAACGGCGAGTGGAGAGAAAGTCATTCTCTGGACCAGGTATGCCTCCTGCTGATGGAGCACATTCTGTTATCTATTGTCATCTCTTTGTTTCTCCTCCTCTCTGCATCTTCATTCTCCTCCTTTCTTCTCCTCTTTTCTCTACTCTTTAGCTCCCTATTTCTCCTTCCATCACCTCCTATCCCCCTTTCTCCTCCTCTTTTATGCCCTCTGTTCTCCTCTTTGCTTTTGTCTCCTTGCTCCACCTTCCTGTATCATCATCAGTTCTCTTCCTTTTGCTCCTCTTTCCGTCTTTTTTCTCCTCCTTTCTTTCTCATGCCCCTCTCTCCTTCCCGCCCCTCTTGTCCCCCTCCTGTTTGAGAAGCGGCGAATTTTAAAGTTCTTTTATTTTTATTTATTTTCTTCAGAGAAGCTGATCGGGTCATTTTGACGACATGTCAGCAGGAAGGAGCCAATCAGAACACGTTTCAGGCCATCTCTACTCTGCTCGGCAACAAGACTCCAAGTGAGGTGATTGGCCGCTCAGTCTTCAGGTACTCTGTGATTGGTTGTTTTTTATGAAATGTTTGTTAACTCATCCTTCCCCCTCCAGGTCTCACGCAGGTTTCGGGATTTGATGCGTTTGTTTCGGACAGCAGCACGCCACACTAGCTCTGAGGACGAAGCTCTGCCCACTGAGCCATCAGCAGCCAATGGGAAAGAAGACTGATACAGACCGACCAGCGGCGCCATAGCTGAGACGGTGGGAGGACACTCTCTAACAACATTCCAAAGACTTTTATTGTGAAATGGTTTATTAGAGGTTACTGTTGATGTAAATATTTGAAGAATAAATTATTTAATATTTTTGTCAAATGTGTTTTTATATATTTTTTTAGATTTTTTAGAATATATTTTATATCAGACCACATCAGACCTGGTCGGAGTTTCAGTGTTTGAAGTGAAGCTGTCGAGTTCAGGACAGAACACAAAGAGCTGGAAAGTTCCTCCTGAGTCGATTTCTGTGTGGGTGACCCCTTAAAGGTGGGGTAGTCAGGATCTGAGGAAGTTCCAGCTTTTAGGAGTAATCTTGAATGTAAACTCTACTCCTCCCAACCAGTTTTCCCCTCAGCTCCTCTTCTCCCCTCCCTCTCTGCTCCTGCAAGCCCTGCCCACAAACAGATGCTTCCACTAGCTCGTATCTTTGAAATTCAGATATAATGCAGATAATTACAAATGGGGCCCAGTCAACGTGAAAGTAAAAAGGATTGGTGCTACTGTAGATGCCAACAGACTACAAGCAAACACAATGTTTGCAGGACTTCTACAACTAGGATTAAGTGACATAGTCCAGGACCAGAGGTCAACAGTTTAGCAGCGCTACAACACGCTACAGCAGGCCCCGTTTGACAAGAACCACTTTTGTTACAGACACTTGGCTTACTTTGTTAAAGCAGTTTACCTGTCCAGCAGAAAGGTTACAGGGTCACCAAGATCCCGAAGCGTCCACCATCGTTTATGTTGACCCGGCTTCTTAGCTCTTGTCCGGTCTACCTCCGTTTTAAGCGCCCGTTTTTTCGCCAGAGTTTCCGGTATTTACTTCGTTTTCTTGCTTGTGTTGGCAGTCGTGGCCAAAGGAGGATTCAGACAATTTTCCGGACTTTCTGGTTGGTTTACTTACTGTCCGATATTGTAGCACGCTAACTTTGTGTGGGTTCGTGAACGACACGGCGTCTGCCTCACAACCAATCAAGTCGGGGAGGTGGAGAACAGCTTTGTTTACAGTCAGAAAGAGCGGACCGCTCAAAAATGGTAAAATGTTGACTACACAGACATAAGAGAACACAGCGATATTGTTATATTACCCAATGTCATCAATAACTAATAACTATTGACTGATATTGAAAGCTATTTTGGTAAATACACCACAAAAAAAGATGCCTCTTTAACGGATTCCTGCCTACCCCACATCTAAATGAATCTGATTTTACCCCTGCTGAGATTTTAGTTTGCGGTTTATATGAGTTACAGTCTCAGCTTCTTTCTGCAGAAGTGCCAAACTACGAAAAATTTTGTTTCAATGAAAACAGCAAATAGCAGGTTTTTAGTTCAGCACCACTCAGACACAACCATGTTAAAGACTGCTGACCTGATAGGACTGGACTGAGGATGGAGTCAGAACCTCCACACACAGACAAGTCCAAGACATGGACTACAAGTGTTCCTGCTGTCCTGAACCAGAGTCAACGTCATCAGAATCTCACCTGGACTAAGAAGAACAAGACTTGGACTGTTGCTCAGAGGCCCAGAATTCAAGGAGCTTCAAGTCCATGGAGTCGTTGAGATGCTGAGTTTCTTCTTCAGCTGGATACCTGCCCACGGTGCCCAAACTCCGCCCCCAAACTCCACTCCCCTGGTTTACAGACATGAGAGAGCGGACTTTCAAATCAACAGCCCTGTCTCACTCTCACTTCGCTGTAGATCTCGTAGATTTACAAACTGTGTTGGAGGATAAGCTGTGAAAGGATCTAGTGTTTAATTAACAACTGATCCTTCAAATTAAAAGTACAAAACAAACTTTTATTTTGAAACAGGAAGAGAAGTCAGAGAAAAGCAACATCCAGATTTGATTCTTGAGTTTTTATTCAAGCTGTGACAGAACTGATGTGGATATTTTCATTCAATGAAATGAACGATGAAATGATAGAAACACATACTTAAAAAATACATCTGATGATCATAAAACTGATTTTACTAAATACAAAATATAAAACAGGAAGTTCACAGAGAGTAAACACGAAGAAAGTAAACTAAATATCTCCACCCAAACTAGTAAAAATAAGAGAGATAAATGTGTTTATTTTGTTTATTTTTTTACTGTTTCAGTTTTATTTTGAAGTTTTTTCTGTTCAGCAGAAATATTGAAGCCAGATCGTTTTTGCTCTTCGATGAGCTCTTAACCCCAGAACCTCTGCCGCCCGGGTGGAGTTAACGTCTCCTCGGGAGGAGCTGGAAGGCTGAAGATTGACCCTGACGCCTCCACCGTGAAAATGAAGTAGATGTTGGCGACCATCATGGCGACGCTTGGCAGGAAGGACAAGCCAAAGCCAAAACCACGAATGCTACTGCCGAACGCCACCGCCACCCAGTAGACCAACCTGCAACGAAACAAATACACCTTTCAGATTCATGATGCTGTTACTGACTGGACTGAACCTTTATTGAAACGTGGTTCTACATTTTTAAAGTTCACCATTCTCACCGTCCGAGGGCGAAGACGATGGTGAGCAGGGGGACGAGCTTTAACTGCTCCTGGCTCAGGTACATCGCCATGACAACCAGCTGCAAGAAGTAGACCAGGAACAGGGAGGTGGAGTCCGAAATGAAGCGCAGGTGGACAGTGACATCTTCAAGCTCAGGCTCATCTTCGTCACGATGAAGAGGTCGAATGGCACCTGATCTGAGCCGACTGGCGCCCAAAACCAGCCAACCTGAGGGACAGACAGGTGAGACAAAAGAGAGACAGGTGAGAGAGTAAGGGACAAAGAGAGGGTCGAATAAGAGCAAGAGGAAGACGAGAGAAAGAGACAGGTGACAAAGAATGAGGCAAAGACAAGACAGAAGAACAGGTAAAGGAGACAGGTACGAGAGAGAGACAGGTGTCTTTATGCCATTCTCACCTAGGATGATGGGAAGAGCTGCGAACACGGAGCAGCGCAGCGTGTAAACAAGTCTTAGAGGGGCGCTGTCGAGGAGGGGGGCGTCAAACGGCAGGAAGATAAACCCCCCCCACACCAGAAAGGGGAAGAAGAGCGCTGATGTGATCAAGGACACGCCCACTTTTAGGGTATCCCTGCTGGGGCATGCTCCTTTACCTGAGACATGGAGACAGGTAAATACATAGCCCATCTGAGAGAAAGGTAGAATAATCAAACAGCTGAAACCCCACCCACACAGGTGAGATAATCAGACAGCTGAAACCCCGCCCGCACAGGTGAGATAATTAAACAGCTGAAACCCTGCCGAAACAAGTGAAGATCAAATAGCCAAGGCCCCGCTCACATAAAGTCACAGGTGAGATAATCTAAAGCTGAAACCCCGCCCTCATAAAATCACGGGTAAGGTAACCAAACAACTGACCCCCCCACACAGGTAAGGTAACCAGACAGCTGAAACCCCGCCCACACAGGTAAGATAATCAAAAAGCTGAAACCCCACCCACACAGGTGAGATAATCAGATAGCCAAGGCCAACCCCACCCTCATAAGATCACATGTTAGGTAATTAGAATGCTGAAACCCCACACCCCCTGAGAAGCAGGTAAGAAATAGAAAAAGAAGAAACCCCGCCTACCTGAGATGACAGAAAAGGAAATAGATAGTTAAGAGAGAAAGCATGACCCTGGTCCAACCCCCTAACCTAAGAGACACAGACAGGTGAGAAAGGTAGTCAGGTGAAAGCCCCACACATAGAAAAGATGTTCTTAATAAGATGAGTTACAGAAAGGTGAGACAGGTGTATTCACATGTTTTACAGGGCGGGTCCTTGGTCCACTCGTTCTGGTAACCATGGGGATCGTAATCCTGAGGGACTCCTCTGGGGGACAGGAAGTGGCCGTTCTCTGACTCCATTTCCCAGAATGCCTCACTATCTCTGGGTGAGGATGGTTGGAGGACAGTCACTGCAGGGCTGAACACCTGAGCTGCTTTCTCCGGCAGTTGGTTCTCTGTTAGCTTCTCTTCTAGGTGTGTAGTTGCCCCCTGACCCACCCCCTTTCCAACCCCCTCTCCCTCCCCCTTCCTCTTTCCCTCTACCATCAGCTCTCTCTCACTCTCTGTCCAACTAGCTGCCTCAGGATGGGAAATATCTGACCTAACACTCTTTCTGTCCCCTTTACCCGTCTGTCTGTCCTTGGGCCATGGCATGGTGCTTGGCTCCATACTGGCTGACTCCACCCCTTCGTCCGTCTTCATATTTTCAGGTGGAGTTTGGACATCTACAAGTACAGACATCTCTGTCTGCTTGTCCTCGTCCCGCCTGTCAGAGAGAAGACGAGAATAAAGCATTCTTCTTAACGGCTCCTGGATTATATATATATATATATATATATATATAGAGAGAGAGAGAGAGAGAGAAGAAGAGAAACACTAAAGAAAGAAAAAAAAGAGGTTTTTTGACTCAAATTCCTGATTCTAATCTCAGAATTTATTTTTTATCTATTTATTTATTTTTAACATATTTAGTTTTATTTTCATGTGATCAAACATGAATCATATTAACACAAACACATAAATTCAGGACAGAGCAGAAAAAAGAGAAAGGAGAAAAAAATTTAAAAAGTAAATAAGCACATAAATAAATAAAACACAAAGTGTATCATAGTGCAGCAGGGGGGTATTCCACGGAGCTGGCTTAAGAAGGCTGGGCTATCGCCGGTAAGCGTGGCATGAATAAGCGGCCACTTAAATCTTAGCTGCGACTCGTTCCACTAACGAGGCTCGGCTGTTTTTCAGAGACGCTTATTCTAGCCAGGCTGATCCAAGCCACGGCTATACGCGCCTCCGCGGTACATAAAAAGCCCCGACGTATCGATTGTCGAAATGACGAGATCATGGGAAAAAAAGGGCAGAGCGGAGTCTTGCTCAGCGGCGGAGCAAACACTCCTCATGGAGTTGTACGAAGAGTACAGGGGAAAAATTCAAAAGAAAGGCAACACTGTTGCCATTGTGAAAGCCAGGGAGATGGCGTGGCAAAGTATCGCGGACTGATTCGTAAGTTGTAGCCGACAAATATTTTACAACGCATGTCTCGATGCAGTCAGCCTGTTTGGCTGTCTAATGTTATTCCTCACTTCTGTGTATGTACTGTAAACACTTTTTTAAAAACTTTTCATCTCATGTATGTGCAGCTCACTCATACAGTCTGTCAGCCTCTGTGCAGCACCTTCGCAGCAAGCAGGGGCGCCTACAGCAGCAGGGGGCGCCAATTTGACAAGAGTTAATACAAAACCGCTTTGCGGTGCAGATTTATTATTATTATTATTATTATTGTCTTTTTTCTTTCTTTTTCGGAAGTGCTCATGCCGCACCCCACGAGTCATGACACAAATGCCACCCCAGCGGCTGCCCTGTTCGCCCGTGCCAAGAACCGCTACTGCACTGTAGGCATAATTCATGTTCTTGATTTGACAAATAGATATCCATAATGGATTAGTATAGCAGCTACAGGTAAGACCTAAAACCAAAGTAGACAAACTTTGACAAAAAGTGAAGAAAAACATGTACCTGGAGATGTCTTTTTTTATTTTAAATTTTTTTTTGTTAGGGATGATAGTCGCACAGCACCCTTCATTTAAATAAGGGAGAAGACACAAATGAGCTTGTACACAGAGTAGTCATGTCATCATTTGCCATCACCTTTACATTATCATCATCATAATCAGAATGGACCACTGGTGAAAGGAAGGTTTTTTTAATGGGAAATTGTTGCTGTTGTCGCCTTCAGTGTTTTGGATGAGATCATTTGTGTCTTTATTCTGTTATGTGTTGACAGTACATTGAGAGTCACAGAATAAAAGAAAGAAAATCAGATATTTCCAAATAATTACAGCTGACGGGAACCCACAGAGCAGTGAAAAACACATTTTACCGGCACTTCTCTTTACCCACTCAGCTACTTAATTTCTCTTTCTCTGTGAGGTTGGCGTAGTATTGGGCATGTCCGGATTCACGAATTCCTATGTCGTTTTAAAAAGCTCTCAATTTATTTTTCCGAACAAGAACATAATTTATTACAGATAAAGATGAAATTACTGTGTGACATGCGGTTCATAAAGCGTCTTCTGGAAGCCCCTCGGACCTTCTCTGAGACGCAGCTAAGGTTAGCTTGACCGTAAGCCTGCCTGGAACCAGGCTTGTCGCGCTGGCTGAGTTACCATGGTTACCAAGCCACGCTAGCCCTAAGCCTCATTTGTGGAATCGAACTCTCACTAAAACTAGCCAGCGAACCGAAATAAGCCCGGCTTTGAGCTAAGCCAGCTTCGTGGAATACCCCCCTGGTTAGTCAGTCTGTTCAGTATCAAAATCATATTTATACATTTTTTTCTTATCTGTATCTCGAGAAAGAGTAACACCAAACAAATTATTTATACAGTAGTTGATTTGGCCTTTGGTAGTAAAACAAACATAGGAAGAAAAAGAGAAAAAAAACATGCACATAAATACAGAACAAAAAGAAAAATGTTTATGATGATGTTAATACAATGCATACAATAATAAAATTGGTATTATACTAGAATTCAACAGAATTTTGATTTTAAATTCAGAACACTGATTTTTTTTTTCTTAGGAGCTCTGAGATTAACAGCAGAATTCAGTTTTTGTTCTCTTTTTCAAACTCAGAGTTCTGAAGATAAAATCAGAATTCAGGGATTAAAGAGAATCCAGTATTATATTCAGGATTCTGTGTTAAATCTCAGATTTCTGAGTCAGAGTTAAGGGGTTTTTTTTCTTGAATTTGGAGATTTAGGTCGCTTTCACACCAGAGCCGCTTTAAACGGACCAGAGTATGTTTCCTCGGATAGTCTGCGTCGTTTGGGCAGGTGTGAAAGCTCATCCGAACCCTGGTGCAGACCAATCAAGCGAACTCTGGTCCGCCTGAAAACGTGGGTCTCAGTTCGCTTGCAAGTGAACCCTGATTCAGTTTGTATGCAGTGTGAAAGCTCACCAGACCAAACACAGGACCAAATGTACGTAATGACGCTATACACAGTGCATACGCAGTGCATCTTTGTTGCTATGGCAACAAGTGACCGCTGACATTAGCAGTTGCTAGCTAGCTTCGCTCAATTGTCTGAACAACAATAACCCATAAATTGGCATATTTAAACAAAATCAAATCACAATTACCAACAGTCACAGTCCTTAAACTCTGAGCTCATATGTTGTCACATGTTAGATCGTCAAAGTTAGAAAAATAACAGGATCAATCCCTGACAAGCTACAATAGCATTATAGGAACAGTTGTGTTCACTAACGTTGTAGCATTCCATAAATTAATGTGACAAATCACGATACAAGACAGCTAGTCCACCCCTGTTTGTAATCCGTGAGGTTACATACCCCTCCTACTTTGTCCAATAGACGAGCGCCCCTTTCAACCAAGTGATGCTGCTCGGAAAGTTCGGTGCGCTGTAGAAATCACAGTGTGAAAGCAGAACTGAAACAAGTGATAAATGCAACAATGTTGCAGCTCCCCAATCGAACCGAGTCCGCTTGGTCAGGTGTGAAAGCGACCTAAAACTAGAACTCTTCAGTCGAGTCTTCGGTCAGATTCAGGCTTTTTTTTTTTTTTTTTTTTCAGACTTAAATCTCTAAATTCTATTTTTTTCTAAGATTCTTCTATTTTCTGAATTCTGAATTCTGAGATTGAAAACATTGTTTTTATAAAGCCTGTGGAAACAGAAAAACTGCTATCAATCTTTAAATTATGAATGTAACCAGAAAAATATTATGCTTAGTCAAATACGTCCACAGGAACTTCTGAGTTTCTGTCTGAAATTATCAAAATTAAAACATAAATAATCCCAAAAAGCAAAATTTAAAACAGAAATTCTGTTTAACTTCAGGATTCTATTTTCTGTCACTATGGATGAAAACGCTTATTAATATTTAGAAAAGATGACTGAGATCAGCTCTGAGTGCAGAACACTTCAAACAACCAATATTCGACCAAACTAATCAGCTGATCGATTAATCAGTTGATCTCTCGTCCTAATCCCTCATCTATATGTGTTCTTTATGTGGTCATTACAAACACCCTCAGACTGTCACAGTCCTAGAAGTCTATTAAATTATTCTCCTCTTCAGTTAATTAAACAACACTAAAACGAGAACCTCCCCCTGGACCGGAACCTCAGGACAGTCTGGTTCCTGCTCTTTTTGTTCCGACTTGAAGCCTCTGAGTTTTTACTTTTACTTACTAAGACAGTAAAACATAAGGAGGCCTTCAGCACTCGGTCTCACTTGACATGCTGTGTTTATGTGAATAAGTTTGGTTTTTTTATTCATTATTCCAGTAAAATTAACAAAAAAACTATTGAGTGAAATATTCACGCTCTCTGTGGACTTCATCTTAATCTTTAAAACATCGATTACGGGCGGTTAACGATTAATAATTTCATAACAATCGAGTTTTAACGTTTTATCATAGGCCCCGCCCACTGCCCGTGACGTCGGACTGTCTTTGACATGACGGCCGTAACGTCTTTTACATTACAGAATTCAAAACAAAATCGACTAGTTGACTAATCGATTACTCATTTATCGGTTTTTCCAAGGCCCTCGCCGCTGATCGGTGATCAGAAATTGACCAATCAGAAACCACAAAACGTAAAACTAGCGACATGCTTACAAGCTAAGAGCTAACATGCTAACAGAGGTGGACACAGGTCGACTACAGACCGACGCTCACCTGAGATCAGAGTTTAACTCTCACCTGTCCAACCTTTCCTCTTCTTCTTCTTCTTCTTCTTCTTCTTCTTCTTCTTCTTCTTCTGTTGTTGTTGTTTAGAAATTGTCGAATGTCAGAAGTTCAGCTCAGGTGTGGTCACGTCAGGTGAATTAAAGGGAAGTTCTCTTAAAGGCAAAGCGACTGGTCGGTTAAACGTCGAGGAAACATTTAAAGGAGCAGTGTGAAGTTTTTTAAGCAGCATTTGTAAAAACAGATTCGGTAGAGATGGAATAAAGCTAATCACAGTCTGTGGGTATAAAATGGTTTTGTTTTTGTTCACTGAGAGTGATTCTTCTTTATCTGCAACGTTTTATTATTTTATTATTATTATTATTAGTAGTAGTAGTAGTAGTAATAATAATAGTATTATTATATAATATAAACTTATAATATAAATTGTGACATGGGGCTCATATTTTAGTACAGATCATAGAGAGGACCTCAAGGTTTTGTAGAAAGTCAAAGTTTGAGTCTCTTTCTTATTTGTAAGTCCAGTCAGTGTTTTAAAATATATCTTCATTTTATTTTTAAACTGGTGGATATTTGGTTTCTGTTTAGACTATTTACGTTCATGTTTATAAAATCCTCCATACAGAGTAAAAAGGTTTAACAAAATAAAAATATAACTTTGGTCCATGTTCTACTTCATCCACACAGTTGAATAAGTCCTCCTTCACAACCATCATTTTGTAGCACCACCTTTCTACAGCAGCTGAAAGTGGACAAACTAGTAAAAAAACAGGTCAGAAGAGAAAGCAGAAGAACAGAGTCGTTGAGTAGACGAGTTTGTACTAATTGATGATTTGATGGTAAAAACTTGACAAATGAGGGACTGAACTCATCACAACACTTGTTAGTCTTCAAAGGCCACCATCACCTCACCGACAAGAGGGGTGATCAATGGAGCATTTCAAACTGATTCCCATTTTGACACACTGTCCCTTTAAACTCTGAGTTTCTTTAACACTGTTTAAAATGAAGAATAAATAAACATTCATCTGAACGCTGCGCCCTGAGCGTGCTGCAGTTTATCAAAGAGAGAAAAAGATCGATCCAGATCTTCAGAGAGTTTAAAGAGTTCATTCATAAACAGCTGAGGAGACACTGCTGTCTTTGTGTGTGTGTGTCAGTCAGCACCAGCCTTCACTCTCTCTCTCTCTCTCTCTCTCTCTCTCTCTCTCTCTCTCTCTCTCTCTCTCTCTCTCTCTCTCTCTCTCTCTCTCTCTCTCTCTGTGTGTGTTTCACCTCCAGTCTCCATGTTTGGTCTGTAATTGGTGAGTTTCATCTTCAGTATTCACTCTGATTGATTTGTAATTAATAACCAATACTACTAATAATCTTTTCAGCACTGGTGTGTAATTTGTTGTTTTTGATTTTAATTAATATTGATTTTTCTTTACATGTTTAATGATGAATATGTAGTTTGAGCTTTTGGCTTGTGTTTGAATATTTTCAGGTGAGTTTGTCCAGGTGTGTTTTTGAGATGAAAACAGGGAGTCTCCTGCTGTGTGGGATGGTTTCTCACAGACTGGTGAGTTGATGACATCACACCAACGAAAACACGTCTGATTGGCTTGACAGTGACCCCAGTTTAAAAACACTGATGTACAATCAGGATTTACAAAAGTAGAACGGCTTTATAAAAAATGATTAAATTTGAATTTGATTAGTCTAATGAAGTTCTTCAAAAAAAGAAAAAAAGACCAAAAAATTATGAAAAATCTGCTCATTTCAAATTTAATACCAGCAACATGCTTTTAAAAAGTTAATACAGAGGAAAAACAAACAGGTCAAAGTTGTAACCCTAAATAAACATCTAGAGGAACATCTCCAACTAATTAAGTAAATGTCCAAAAGGTTAGTCACATGACTGGGTCTAAGATGGACATTCAGAGAGGCTGAGTCTCTCAGAGTTTCAGGACTCTGTGAGAGACTGCGTGAGCGAACAGTTCAACAGTTAATGCTGGACAACATCTCCAGGTTTAGGAGGAACATCTGCATCTGTCCAGACAAATAGTTTTTCAGGGAGAACCTTCAGATGATCCAGAAACAGATTCAGACAACAGCATGGCTCTGTAGGAGAAGAGTCCTGGACTGATGCGGTCCTGACTTGTCCCTGATTAAAACATTCGGAGCATCAGGACCTCAAAAACAGGACCGAGGAGACCCTGGGGTCTCACAATAAATAACTGCAGTTTATCGTTCTGCCAGCAGGTAGAGCTGTCCTCTTTTAATATTTCTGAGCAAACAAAATGACATCACTCCCCGTGTGTGTGTGTGTGTGTGTGTGTGTGTGTGTGTGTGTGTGTGTGTGTGTGTGTGTGTGTGTGTGTGTGTGTGTGTGTGTGTGTGTGTGTGTGTGCATGTGTGTGTGTGCGTGTGTTTGTATCCGGTTGCCATGGTTACCATGGAGCCTCTCTGTACCAGGAGCAGAACTCCACAGATGTTTGATTCAGAACAGTCAGTACTCCCAAGAGAAGGCAGAACTGTGTTTATACTGCAGAGCTCTAAAAAGTACTACTGCTACTCCTAAATACAGGTACTAAAATACTCCTAAAAATACAACAGTACTCTTTTAAAAACACATTAACTCTAAAAGTACTACATCACTCAGAGAATAAGAAGAACTTTATTGATCCCCGAAGGGAAATTCAATTGTCTGTTGTCTCACGTAATATGACTATAAAAGTTATCTATTATTTACATAAGAGTTATAAAGCCTGATGGCTGTTGGTACAAAAGATCTTCTAAATCTCTCTGTCCTGCAGCGAAGAGAGAGGAGCCGTCCACCACCATTTGCCCTTTGGTCCATCAAGGTGTTATGAAGTGGGTGATCCATAGATGATCCACTATATTAGATAAAAAGTACTTATGAAATAGTACTCGCTGTTCGAGTACTTTGTGCCATAAAAACTACAGAACTTAAAATCAGGTTGTAAATAGTACTCAGTTTTAAAATACAGCAGTAGTTTAAATAAATACTGTAGTATTTTACATTTTTACTCTCTTTATATTAACTAACACTATGATCTCAATAATACATCAACAAAAACACTGAACTACAGTACTCTGATATTAATAGATCAACTAAAATACCACAGCATCCCTTAAAATATTATTGTACTGACAAAAATATACTACAATGCTCAAAAAACAGTACTGTACAATAGTATGACCATTGTTTTTTTTAAATGCAGGACTTACAGTATATGGTAAAGTACATCTCAATCACTTCAGTACTCTAAAAATACAACAGCACTATAAGCAGTCAATAACTTTCCAAGTTAAATACTACAAAACATTTTATATACTGAGGTTCAGAATACAATGATACAATGGTTCTCAACTGGTGGATCCCGACCCAAAAGTGGGTCATGGACACGTTCAGGGTGGGTCGCACACAGCTGGTCAAAAAAGTCAAAATTTAATGCACATCTTGAAAAATGGCTTATTTTGAAAGGCATGTGTTATGTTGTGGTCCTTCCATATCAATGTGGCCTGAATGCAGTAAAAATACATGTTCTTTTTTTGTCTTTATTTTATGCAATTTGACATGTCTTTTATTTTGAAAAATAGCATATTTTGAAAGGCACGCATTATGTCACGGTCCTCCTCGGTTTCTTATTAATGTGGCCTGAATGCAGTAAAATTACATTGTCTTTTTTTTTTTTTTTTTTTTTTGGTCTTTATTTGTGCAATTTTATATTTTTTCACTTTTGTCCTCCTCAGGTTCTTCTGAATATGCTCTGAATGCAGAGATGCAAATAAGTAAAAAATTTTCATTTTGCTGGTCTCCATTCTGTTTCATTTGATATTTGCTGTACATGCAACTTCAGTAGTTGTCCTCCTCAGTTCATGTGCTCTGAAATGCACTTTACTTGATAAAAACTGTGTACTGATGTTAAAGATTTGAGTCTTTAAAGGTTTTTATATATAAAAAATAAGTTTTCTTGGTTTGAATTTTATAAAAGTGGGTCGCGACTTGAGGACTATGAGAAAATGTGGGTCCCAGAGTGAGACCAGTTGAGAACCACTGTTGTAATTGATAGATAAATAGTAATTGAATTACTACAAGTACAGTACAACCCCCCCCCCACACACACACACACACACACACACACTGAAACAGGGAACAGGGCTGTGAATAATACTGCAGTTATTTTATACTTCAGTGCTCAAAGTAGATACAGTTTCTTGCATTTCTGCAGTTTTGTTGTAGTACTACTGCACATACTGCAAAAAACACAACTGCACTGAAAATACTGTTGAACTCTATTAGTTACCTAGAAAATATTACAATACCTCTAACCATACTTAAGTTCTCTAAAAAATGATCTATTCTGCTGATAAAAACAGAATTACTGTAAAAAAAAAAAAAAAAAAAAAAAAAACCGCACATGTATAAATACTGTCACACTTTAAAAAGATCATCAGTATTTGTTGAATTTATTGTTTTATTGTTTGACTGTTTTTAAATTCTGGTGTAGAATTGAGGACTTTGGTGAAATATTAATAAATTAAAATAATCATTCAGAAAAGAAAAAGTAGGTGAAAGGTCAAATAAGGAAATTATTTCATCTCTGCACCAAAAATAAATAGAAGAATGAAATTAAATTAATAGAAATAGATATATATACACGAACTGAATAAACTGGTCCTCTGTCGGAGTTTGGTTCTAATTCTGGTTTCGGTTCTTCCTCCGCTTGTTCTTCTTCTTTGTGTTTTTGTTGGAGAGAGTTCCCTTTTGTAACCCGAACAGTCCGGGTGGGCGGGGTCCGTGCGTGGCGCTTCCACGTCATACAGCAGAGTGTTGTACACTGCTGCGGGGAGGGGACGTGGTCAACGGGTCCTGCTCTGGTAATTGATTTTCAACTCCCACGTGACTGCCTTGGTGGTCTAATTGGGTTTTGAACGTCACGTGACACAATGACACGTTGTCATAGAGACCGTCCCCGCCCGCGTATCCACGCGAATGCCCCAGTGATCAAAAGAAGCGCCCCCTAACATCTGGTGGGCTAAGCTGAAAAAGCGTGCGGGGAGCTGATTGGCTGTAGGAAACAACAGCGGGCTGAGCTCTGATTGGTCAGAAGTAGAGAGCCGAGCTGTCAGTCAGGAAAGGAAGCCCCCCCCCCCCCCCCCCCCCCCGGCTCAGACTGCGGACTGCTCCGGGACCAGAAGCAAACACTCCGGAGGATTATCAGTGATTAATAACCGATCAGAGGGCGGATAATCGATCAGGAGGTTCGGTCGTTTGGAGGGGATGTCCCGGCTGCTGGAGAGCAGGAGACAGGACAGGATGAAGGAAATCAACCTGAAGGTGAGTCATGAGGAGGAAAAGAAAGAAAGAAACGACCTGGGCACGTGAGGGGCACACTTTTCTCATCTCTAATGATCGGTTCTGATGAGCTCCGATCGATAGAAATGTCCGGATATGATCGATCAGTCTAAGTGAAGAACTCCGCCTCACTTTTTTTCCGCTCACATCTGTTCCGGTTTGTTCCGTTAGTGCTGATGTTGTAAAGCTGGTCAATAGTTCTGATCGGCGATTGATCGATGATCGGTGTTTGGTGGATTGGTTTGAGTTTGATCAGAGAAGAAGTACAGAGTCTAGAAACGGAAAACACTTTTTTTCAGCTCAGACCGAAACCTCTTTATTTTTACAGTGTGTGTGTGTGTGTGTGTGTGTGTGTGTGTGTGTGTGTGTGTGTGTGTGTGTGTGTGTGTGTGTGTGTGTTCAGCGTGTATTATTGTGTGTTTGTGTCTATATTAATGTGTGTTTGTGAGTGTGATGATGTCTAAAGTGACTTTCTGTGTGTTTCGGTGTCTGTCCGTTAACGGCAGCAGCGTGGCTGCTTTGTCCTGCAGGAGGAAAGGAGAGGGGGAGGGGAGACTGTGTGTGTGTGTGTGTGTGTGTGTGTGTGTGTGTGTGTGTGTGTGTGTGTGTGTTTTCTCATACAGGAAGTGTCTGTAAGGAGTGACCTCTGACCTGACTTGGGGGGGGGGGGGGGGGTTCAGCACGTTTTTGTCATTTTAAATAAAGTCTGAAACAGAAACAGACTCACAGTCATTTCTCCTCAAACCTCATCAAACACAGACAGAGAGAAACTGACATGACTGACTTCTGAACAGTTTAAATCTTGTTCATTTCTTCTGAATATTTCTGCAGTTTTTAAGAGGAAACAAAAACAGAATGAATGAATTGATCGAAGTTCACTCTTTCAAACTGATCTGTTACTTTTCCTCATATTTATTTTAAATAAGATTTTTCTAGAAGAGCGTCCAGAGCTCTGTTTACATTAAAGGGATATTCCGGCATAAAATTAATTCAGGGTCAAACACACGATTACACCATATTAGACACCCCCTCCAGAGATGAATGTTGCCGACCGCTTGCTTCTCTAGTTATACCAAAGGAAGAACATTTATGTTCATTACTTTATCAATCAATCAATCTGGTGACATTTTACACTGTTGATGATCAAGAGTGTAAAAAATCTTGAGTCTGATGACTAAAACCTTTTGTCCAGTAAAGGCAAAAAGATAAAAGTAATCCTTTGCTCAAGGCACAAAGTATTAAAAGCGATCAGAACCTTTTAAAGCTGGATAAAAGCGGCAGCTTGCAGGAACTTGTACTCTTGCTCTCTGCTACAACAGATTAGATAAAAACCTATACACGGTAAAAGTTAAACTTAAAAGTCAGCAAACTCTAAAGATGCAGCCTTAAAAGGTGTTATCCAGTTAAAATGGGTTAAAAAGTTGCTCACAACAGAGAGAAATGGTTGGGTGCCTTACAACGCAGACACATGCGCACTTTAGCTCATGGATTTCATGGAAATACAATCAGACCGAGACACTAAGGCAGAAGAACTACCACGTCTGCAGTGCAGAATGATTAATATTAGAGATGCACCGATCCATTTTTTCTGACTCAATCCAATACTGATGCCTGGGCCGATATCCGGGACCAATCCAATACTACTGTTGAATGAATGAACTGTAACCTTACCCTGTGAGTGAAGGCAGCAGGCTTGACATTAGCCTTAATAAAAAAGGTAACAAATTAACACAGATATAAATTTACGGAATATTATTTATTGACAAATAAAACATGAGCACACAGCAAAAAGAAGTAAGACTTCCATGTATTAAAAGAAAAAAAAGACTGTATCGGAACGCTGGATCGGCATCATCCATCGGATATCCAATCCAGTCAATTTGTCAATATCGGAGCCAATATCTGGTCCAAATATCAGATAAGTGCATCCCTAATTAATATGATGATTATTACTTCAAGGAAATTATTAAAAAATTGTCATAAATGTTCCTCCTTGAGCTGCATCACCCCGCTGTAGTCTGTAATGGACTGGCCTGAGGTCTCACTATAAACAAGCAGCTGCTGGAAGAGAGTAGGTGAGTTGCGTTTAGTCTCTTTGCTAAAGAAATTAGTCAAAGTTAAAAAGATGTTACTCAGTATTGCCAACCAAGCTACTTTGTCATTAGATTTAGCATGATGTTACTCTTCTCAACAGGCAAAACACAGACACTCAGACACCCCTCGGAAGACTCCTCCTCCTTCTGGGGATTGGGGGGGGGGGGGGGGGTGGTGACAGTGGATTTGACAGAGAATTTATGCAAATTAGGCGATCTAGAGACTTTCACAACAGCCACTAGCAACTTTTCTTACTAAGGAGTTGGCAACACTAATCACTTCTTTATCATGTCCTTGAAGTAGTAATCACCATATTAATAATTTTATCATTGCAGACACAGTAGTTCTTCTGCTTTAGCGTCTTGGTCTGATTGTATTTCCATGAAGAAACGATCATAAATGTTCTTCCTTGAGCTGTGTCACCCCGCTGTAGTCCGTAATGGACTGCCCTGAGGTCTCGCTACAAACAAGCGACTACTGGAAGAGAGTAGGTGAGTTGTGTTTAGTCTCTTTGCTAAAGAAATTAGTCAAAGTAAAAAAGATGTTTGGTGGCTAGTACTATGGCTGGGACCATGTACAACATGGTGTAGTTCCGTTTAGTAACAGAACCTCATTGGAAAATTAGCGGATTTACCTTAACTGTGCTCTTGTTTAAAAATACCTTTTCCTTTTACTACAGTAGAAGTTTCTTGGCCCAGCTTATAGTCTACAAAAGTGAAGAAACGCCCCCCGCTTAAGTTTATGTTTTCTTAGGAGTTAGAACAACTCAGAATATAGTACTATGGCTGGGACCCTATATGTACTGTTGATGAAGTTAAGTGCTGTTCTGAACATTATTTGTGGCTATAGAGTGGCGTTTTTGGTTGAGGTTTGTTTATGGCTCCTCAGACTGCTGTGTATTCCTATCCTGCAGTCGTTACTAAAGTTGGTATAACTAGAGAAGCAAGTGGTCGGCAACATTCATCTCTAGAGGGGGGGGGGTCTAAAACTCAGTGTTACAATGTGTTTGACCCTTAATTAATTTTACGCCGGAATATCACCTTGACTTTACTGACAGGGGCTTCAATTGGCGCTGTGAGTGTTTTAAATGTTATTTTCATGTTTATTATGGTGAACAACTATCCAGAAGACACTTTTTGAGATGATTTCTACTTTTTGAATCTTAAATAAACTGGACAGACATTCAGACGTCGTGTTGAAGCTCCTGAAGTGTTTTTTTTGTATTTTCCACAGAGAAGAAACCAGAGTTGGTTCCTCACAGAGTTTCTCAGACTCCACTGTTCGCTAACCGGTAATTTTGGTGTCAGATATCAAGTTTGACAACCCTTGACTGTTCAGTCTCTTAGACATTCACATTCCTGGAAGCCTGCTGCACAGACCCGGACTGGTATAGGACTCCAAAGGGGAGGTCCCTGATGAGCTTTACCATTTAGAGAGGCTTTAGGTCTGATGAGCAGGTCTGCTTTTATATGAGCTGCTGTCTGACTAAGAGGAGCTTTAGAGAAGTTTGTAAAGGAGGCTGGAGTAGAGCTGCTAAAACAGGACCACTGTGCTTTCTTCTCCTGGTTCTGGTCTGTTCTGGAGCTGCAGTGTTTTGGACCGGCTGAAGAGTCCTTAAAGACTCATTAGGACAGCCATAAAATAGTCCAGTCTGGAGGTCACTGATGCTTCGGCAAGTATTCTGTGTCTGATTTTTGGAATATTGCATAAGTGCACAGACTCAGCAGTTCTTGGAATTTGTTGGTTGTGAGAGCTGAGGACTAAGTCCTGAACAAACTGGACTCCCAGATCCCTAACGGTGGGTCTGGATGCCTGGCTGATGCCATCTAAGGCGGTTACATCATTTCAAAATGACTCAGAGGGATTTGGAGCCAAAAACAACAAGAACTTCAGTTTTATTTTAGACCAGAACAGAAAACTAAAACGCTTGGCCTGCTGGTCGAGGAGGTCACAGATTCTGCTGTAGTGGCTGCAGGCTGAAGGATCGATTCCCGATCCTGGCAGGGTTTGGTACACGTCAATCTCCCTCTCTCTTTCTCCCAGTGTGCCTCAGGCTGTCCAGTCAGATAAAGAGAATAAAAAACAGATAAATAAGGAAAACAAAAGAAAGGAGTCTTTGTCCTGCAGGGTTTGAGACTGATCAAGTTTATATGTCGACACTGAGTTTGATCTTCGTCCTCAAAAACAACCAGAAAAGCTGAAGTTTGAACGCCGGGTCAGGAGTTGGAGATATAACTTAGTGATGAACCATGTAGGGCTGGGTGATATGGGAAAAAGTTTATCACAATATATTTTTTTCATATCAGTTGATATCGATATATATCAGGATATAATAAAATTGAAGTGTTTATTGGTCGCATGTGTTTTCCAATACAATAATCTACTGTATCTGTGAGGTCTTCGTGTCTCTTTGACATTTTGTCGTAAGGCGTTGCTCTAAAGAAAGCGGCCTGAATGGTCGGCTGTTTAGGCTGCACAGGCACCATGGGCTCCTTGCTCCTCTCGGGGTTTGTAACCTATTACATTGCACATGCTCTGCCGCGTGGTGCTGCTTCAGGTGGTGAAAAAGATTTGAGGTATTCCCCGACCTTGTGAGAACATGTACTCGACATAATTTTCAGTACACATTACTCTGCTTCATGTCCGACTTCAAAAAACCAAAATACCTCCACACCACTGACATTTTTGTGCCAGGGTTGTCGACGATGTCATCATCTGTTGAGCCTTCATTGTCATTTCTGTCGAGAGTAGCACTCATTTTCTTTTTTTCTCACCAACATTGCTGTCGGCTTCACCTGTTAAAGTGCTATGGTTGGGTGTAGCACAGTTGTTTGATACTCGGTTCTGATTCAGCACATGATTGGTTCAGGTGAAGTGGACCAGGAGAAACTCCCCTTTTCATTGGCTATTCGTATGGTCTACCAAAACATGGTAGAATGCCGACTATTGAAAAAGCACATTGACCATGATTTATATTGAGATTGAGGGAAATTAATTTTCGATATATATTGTCATTGTTTTATCACCCAGCCCTAGGACCATCGAAGGACACCTTCAGATAGACAAGATGAGGGGGTGTCAGGGTCACATTAAGGTCAAACAAAGGGCAAGTTTTGGAGGATAACGTCTTCTTGCAGGAAAATGAGTTTATTATCAACAACCTGAATTTTACAGAAAACTGCAGGTCCCTTATTTTAGTTCAGGCAGCGTTCAGTGAGACCTAAAACTGCACAGAAAATTTGGAGATTGAAAAGGAGTAGGTTAAAGTTATTTACCTTATACGTACCGGCACGTATTCCTTCCTATTCGTTTACTCTTTACAAGTCTTTAGAATTTCTGACGTTTTTAAAAAGAAACCAGAGCTCCCAAGTCTAACATGAATATATAACTAATCATTAATACTAAAACAAAGACCTTATGTATACATATATACACCCATACCTATATACATGCATATACACACAAATATACACTTTATATATATACCTAAAATACTTTAAATCTCTCATGTGTACCATTCCCATATACAATGTAATAGGTGTTGCCAAACAAAAATCACTTTTTTCAGTATTTTTCAATCAAACTCTGCTTTAATTTACTTTTAAACTGTGCAATAGTAGTAAAGAAACATTATTTTTAGTGTTGTACGAATGCCTGGTTGTTTTAAAGTGCATTCCCCTCTTAAGACAAACCTTCCCTCGCTTCCATTAAACATTTTCTGTATATTACTCAGGAGTAGATTCTTATCAGCTATATACACTGTCTGTGCAGTTCTAAATTCAACAAGATCGGCAAATTTTGATACTCTTGATTTCTAAAACATCATCATCATCAGTTTGTAGTAAAACATTTTAAATCGTAAATAAGAAACTTTGAGTCTGATAGTAAACAGCTGTTTTCAGAGGTCACATGACTCTGAGCTGAATGAAGTTAGATCAGTTTCCTATCTCACCTGATTCCCCTTTTAAAAATCAGCTGCTGTATTGCCCCCCCTCCCCCCCACTCCTTTATATCCATCCCATGACCCCCCTCTCCCTCGGCTCACAGAGTGTCTTTATGTCCTCTCTCACTGAGGTCTTTATTTATTGATCAGCTGATCGCTGTCAGCAGATCAGTTTACAACATTAAGCTGAATAAATCAGAGACACCTCATTAAATAATTCACTCAACATATAAAACCAGCGTTTAAGACAAACTGGGACACAGTGAGAAAAGTGAACACAGACAGAGGTCAGTGTTTTTAACATCATTTAGATCTGTGAGCGTCTCAAAGACGACAAATGTGTCGCTCAGTTAAAGAGAGAGAACAAACATTTGTTGATTTTTTTTTATGCGCACATGTGACCCTAAATACATTTTACAATTCGAACACATCTATTTTTAGCCGCAAATGCGAGTGAAACGGTCGCACTGTTGAGCCCTGCTTCAGTACAGAGATATTTCCAGATCCTCTGAATGATATGTTTTACTGTAGACAATGAAATCCAATCGTGAACTTTATTCTGAAACTGTTGAACTGTTCGTTAATGCAGTCTCTCACAGAGTGGTACAGAAATGTTTCACATAGATTCGTTGTCTTTTCACTAACGTCACCGTCCAGATCTGTTTTTATCCAGCGGACATTTGAGCGTCTTATCTGTGATTAAATAAAAATTTCTTTGAAGTTTAATTTTATTGATTTAATCAAAGATCAAATCTGAAAAAAACATTTCCAACTCTCCTCCGCTGTCCGACTCTGTATGACAGACCGAAAGTGACAACATCGCACTCGGCCTGGAAACACAAGGCGGCTTTAAGTACTGAAAACTTCCCCCAGAGTAAATTAGATCAGAATAGATCAGAATAGCACCTTTATTCCCAACCACACATACATGTGTTAATTACACAATATTGTATTTTACAATTATGAAGTTTTGGATTTATTGAGCGTGGTTAGTGCTGTGGGATAGGAGCTGTCTCTGAAGCAACTGTGCAGCTGACGCACCATACACACACACACACACACACGTTTATATGTATATGTGTATATATATATATATATATATGTATATATATGTATATATGTGTATGTACGTATGTGTGTATATATGTATGTATGTATATATAAATGTATATATGTAAATAAATGAATATATGTATATATATGTATGTACGTATGTATATATATATGTATATATATATCTGTATGTATGTATATATGTATGTACGTATGTATATATATATATATATATATATATATATGTATATGTATATATCTGTATGTATATATAAATGTATATATGTATATATGTGTATATATATATATATGTATATGGGTCAATGACGTGACGCCTCAATATTCTGTCCGGCTGTATTTTCTTTATGTTACAAAGAGTTTTAAATTTAAAAAAATATACTATCTATTTGTAGTATCTCTCTAATATATGGTGCCACTTCAACTTTTCAAAAATCTGGAGTTTTTTGTAATTTTTCTGAACTTCAAAGGGTCAAAATATCATGTGGTGCGACCGTCCGGCCATGACTTCTATTTTGAAAACTTCTTTGAAATTACTCTAAATCTATTACAATTTAGTTTCTGCAATATTCGGCATAATTTTGAAAGTGTTTTTTATTCCTGTACAAAATTGCAAAGCTTTTGCAGTTATATTTTTTCATAATATACAAACGAATTGTGTCCGATCGTGTCCATTTCATTAAATATCATGTGGTGCAACCATCAAAAAATGACCATTTTTGACACTTTTATGCTGAAATCTACTCAAAGACAGGATGTTGGATCATTCACCATTTTGTCGTAGAGCTATGGAAGCAGAAAGAGGGTTGGTGGTTCTCTCATTTCTTTAAAAAAAAAGACCTTTTCAACTGCTGTAATAGTGTTGACACTTTTCGATGTCGTGGTATGACCTAAAAAAAAAACAATTAATTTAAGTTATTTCCACAAATAAGTATTTTAATTATAAATTTCATAGTGACCTTTTGTGGGAAGCTAGTGAGCTTTGTTTATGTGACTAATCCTGTATCAGTAAGATTTGACTGAATTTGAAATGTCATGCGGTGCGACCAATTATCATGTGGTGCGTCCACTGCAGATTGTTTTCCATCATAAATATATGCCCTCGATTGGCAGTATTTACGCTTTTTATATTCAATTGATGATTGATAAACACTAAGTACTTAATTTTTACGGATGGTGAGAGGAGCGCTTCGCCGAGAGCGTTATATTCATGATCGTTCAAATCCGTTTGATTTACCTGATGACGTTCTCTATGAACGTTACAGGTTTTCCTCGGACGGCCTCAATAGTCAGGTAACATGAAGTCGAAGCAATACACTAATATTTGCCAAGCTCCAAGTTCAAGTTTCATGCGGCATATCAGTCATCATTCAGAATTTATTGAAGCAGATTAGAAAACTCCTCTTAACCCCAAATGTGTCTGCAGATGACATGTGACCATCAGATGATGGAGAAAAAAGAAAAAAAGGCAGTGTGAGGAAATCACTGTTAATGCGTTGAAATGTGTACAAATAAAATCTTCCAATAAACCAGCTAACCACTTTGATGGATGTTTTTAGATTTATTTTTATTTGCTCCCACGTACTCTTTTCCCCACTGCTGTTGTGTCTGAAATAATGAGGTCAATGATGGAGGTTATCACACACGCTGCATGACAACATATTAGGGGGCCATAAATTTATGAACGCACAAATGTAACTTACACAGTCGATGATTTTTTTGCCAGCAGTCCCTCCGGCTTTCAGCGGCTGCAGCTGTCCTGCTCCTCTCTGATATAATGTTGCGGTACTCCTTGTATTAGCGTAAAACGATGCTCTGTTCCTCGGCTGTGAAATATGACGTGCAGCCTTCTTCATTGTGGAGATTGGTCCGGTGGCACTGACCCCGCCCCCTTTACGTGTGCGCGCACAGATCTAGATTGACCACAACTGAATTTAGTTAGCGAGTTGATATCCTGCCTCGTAGTACAGCTGATCGTGGTTACGGAGATCTGGTGAAGTTTAGCGAGTTGTGAGTTATCCTGGGTGTGTTAATCCAGCTTCATAGTGCAGGCCTCTGGACCACATACACAAAAACACACAGAGTTAAATTTTTGTAAAAAAGGGAAATAAAATGTTCGCGTTCATGTTTGAAATGTTAATAAAATTCTGTTTTAATATAAAATTTGCATTAAATTTATTCTTCATAGGTCTCTTTAAACTGATTTTTAATGATACAAGGTCTTCAAGTCATTTGGCGCGACCACCAATCATGTGGTGCGACCAATAATAACATTAATTATATCAAATACAAACTAAAATATCTCATTTCTGTAACTGAGACATTAATACCTGATACAATATGCTTACATGAAAGGTAGTTTCAAAACATTTTTATCAGTATTATGTAATTTAAAGAAAAAAATAGTCAGTGAACTACATTTGATATAGCGACTGTGACATTATAGAGCTAAAATATGAAATCATTATTTACAAAAACTCAAATAAAATGCAAACGCTTTGTTCCTATGTACTTGATATTACTGACAATTTGTAAAAAACTATGGAGTATGTTGAAAAAATGTAATAATTTTGAGATAAATGATGGTCGCACCACATGACATTTTTTAAGGCCACAGGCAATTCATCTATATGAAAAACACTAAAATTGCCTAATTTAAAAATTAAACTTTAATTTTTGTATACATAACATCCTTAGTGTTTGAACTGTTGCAAAAGATATTCTTATTTTTGGTAATTTAAAATTGGCATGTTGAAAAACCTTATACGTCATTGACCCATATGTATATATGTATATATATACAGTATATTAATGTATGTATATATGTATGTATGTATGTGTATGTATGTATATATGTTTGTATATATATTTATATGTATATATGTATGTATATAGTATGTTTATATATGTATTTATATATGTATATATTTGTGTGTATGTATATATGTGTATATATGTATATATATATGTATGTTTATATATATGTATGTATATATGTATATATGTGTGTGTGTGTGTGTGTGTGTGTGTGTGTGTGTGTGTGTGTGTGTGTGTGTGTGTGTGTATTTTAACAGCAGTTTAACTCTAAGTGAATATTAGAGACTGAAACTCAGAATGAGCTGAACTGTTGCACTCAGATACATTCTGCTGAGAGCTGCTTGAAAGTCCTTAGAGCTCACACACACACACACACACACACACACACACACACACACACACACAAACACACACACACACACACACACACTTCCCTTTCCTGCCCCTCCCTGCTCTGAGTGGAAGTATATGAGAAAAACATTCACAAGAAAAGAGAAGTTAGAAGGACGGACAGACAGGACAAAAGACAGACACACAAACAAAGACACACAGACAAAGACACTGTCACAGAGACACACACACACACAGACACATACACACAGATGCACACAGACAGTGTTGTTTCCTAAAAGACCACTGTTTATCCATTTTGTCGTTGGATTTCTTTTCCCTCCCTCAGACCCACGGAGGCCTCTGATTGGTGGATTGTGGTTTTAGTTCCTGTTCAGGATGACAGAGTCCTTTCCTGCCTGACTGTCCAGCCCGTATAGGAGTGTACTTTTCTCAAGATTACTGATATTGTTTTCTCACTCAGGATCAGACCATGATCACCTCACAGGTCTCGTTTTCAGGGATTTGACTAAAACATGTGATCTGGTTAGACAAACTAAACTCTCCTGTAGTTCACTTCAGCAGCGTGGTGAGCCCCAAGGTTCAACTCTGGGTCCTCTACTTTTGTTAATGACCTCTTTCTTAATTAGCTTGGAGCACTGTGTTCAGCTGTATGACAACAAAACAAGATTACAAATATAATTGACATAATTCTGTTCATAGAATTATTATAACAAACATGTATAACAAACTCTGCAGATTTATTCTTCTTCACCACTGCATCATATTTGAAGACTTTAACTCTCTCTTTCATAAAGAGGCCACTGCGGTGGTTACAGTTTATTTATACATGTGTACACTATAATTACCCTCTTTTTTAACATAATCTTTAACAGTTCATGGTTTCTTTTCCCTCGAGTACACCACAGCTGTTTTTTCTGCTCAGAAAGCCTCTGTAGAAACACAATAATCGACCTGCTAACATTCAACCGTTCATCCATTCATGTTTATTTAACTTCATGTTCATTTTTTCATGTATGTCGTTGTCCTTTTTCATTTGGTCCTGTCCATGTTTAACTCTGTGACGCATACGTACAGCTGTTTTGGTAACACTTTACAATAATCATAACTTATAAATGGTAAGCAGATAGTTTATTAATGTTTAACCATCATTTATAAATAGCATATAGACCATTAATGAATTGTAAATTTTACAATTTTAAAAACCTTACTTTACAATAACCAACTAGGTAATGTTTAAAGGTGGTTTAAAAACCTAATATTAATCATTTACAAAGTGCTACTGACACACTTTTCAATTTAGAGGTTTTACAACCAATATTTAAACCCTATATCAACCTTTAATGAATAGTCCATTAATAATTAATGAAAATTATTAATCGTAATTTCATTGCTTGTTAATGGTAAAGTAACTATTAACTTACATTAATAAACTGTCTATTCGCCATTTTTAATTGGTCTATATGCTGTTTTTAGGTGATGATTAAACATTAATAAAATATTGATTTACCATGAATAAAATACGGTTATTGTAAAGTGTTACCATGTTTTTGCTGTTTCAGACTGGATAAATCTGAAGGGAGTTACGGTCTCCTGTCTCACCATGAAACCTGATTTCTTTCTTGGCTGTCTGTGTGATTGATTGAGAATCTGCTTCATCTCCCTCTTTTGTTTTTCTGATATTCAGGTTTCAGAGTTTGTTTGTGTAGAACTGTTGTTGTTGTATTTTCATTTACTTTCTCAGAGGCTGAACTCACCAGAGTATTTAGGTTATCAACAGAACAGTACAGTTTTATCATCTGCAAAAAGCATGTAATCAAGAACACATGGTGGATTACACAGGTCATTTACAAAAACTAAAAAGAGTCCTGATATAGATCCCTGTGGCACCCCTATTATAAATATCTATGTCAGCTGTACACACTGTTGATGTAGGAGTTTCCTTTGCTGCCATATTTACATATTTTGGAGATTATAATGATTTATGAGCTCAAATACTGAACAGTCAGACTGAGTGTCTCTTTTTTTCTATAGCGTATAGAGTTTATCTGGTCTTACTCTGTGTAAATATTTCTGAGCCAGTTCCTGTTTTCAATATTATCTCTATAACACCTGGTAATCATGACAGACATGTATACACACACACACACACACACACACACACACAGGTTTCTATGTAGGCCTCATGTGTGCGTATTTGTATATGGGTGTGTATGCATGGTGTATACTTCCACTTTGTTTACGTGTGTGTGTATTTGTGTACTATTTGTGTATATTTGTGTTTATAGTGTTCAAAAAATCTCTGAGCAGCAAACATCAGGACTTCCTCAAACATGAGAACCCGTTCTCCTCCTCGTCCTCCTCGTTGTTGTCGTGAGCGTTAAGCTTGTTAATGAGTTTTCTTTAGTTATTGATGACAGTTGTTGTCCTGTTGCCCTGGTTACATATTGCAGAATGTGTGCAGAGCAAAGAACAGATAGTCCAACAACAAATACTGATCACGTTTTTATGATCAGGAATCAGTGGAGACACTGCAGCCAATCAGCATCAAGTATTCTCCTGCCCAAGATCACTTTATTAAATAAAAAAACATTAGAAAAAAGTTCAGTAAGTACAGAGACAAACAAAAATAACTCTCTTTCCTGTCCCTCAGAGTTTGTTCTCTGATTGTGCGTGTGTGTGTGTGTGTGTGTGTGTGTGTGTGTGTGTGTGTGTGTGTGAGAGAGAGAGTGTGAGAGAGAGAGTGTGTGTTTGAACACACTCGCTCTACTTTCACAGTGTGTCAATCATTGACAGATATTGAGGGTTTATGGCAGTGATTTTAATTACCTGGACAGGTTAGTGTTTAACCGCCATCACGGCTGACTTCATTACCATTTCTGAGGCTGTGATTGGCTGATCTGTTTGAGTCCAGGTTTAATGATGTCTCAGGAGGTCAAAGGTCATGTCTGAATCCTTGTAAGATTAAAATGAAATCTTCTGCTGTTTCTAATTGCACATATTTCTAAACAGAGAGACTTAATCTTCGAACAGAGGTTTACAGAGATTTGTTTTATTATTACTAAAAGGCTCCTAAATAACTGACCAGTCCTAAAGTTTAATAGTTTTGATTATAATGTTAACCCTGATTGTTATTTTCATCCTGATCCAGTTCAGAGGAAATGAGTCCTCTCCTGTCTCTCCTCGTTCGTCTTTGGTGACTCAGGTGGTCTTGGGAAACTCTTAGTTAGACCGGTTCCTGGTCTGCATTTTCTGTTTCAGATATAGAATTAAGTCTGTCTGATTCTTTAAGCCTCTGACTCTGAACAAACTTTACAGCAGACTGTGGTTTTGTTTGTTACACCAAAGTCAGATGAGACCAACCCTCCACTCAGATCTATGTGATCTTTGTCTGTACAGGAAGTACATGAGGACGGAGGGAATGTAGAATTTCATTTTCTAGATTTGATCATTTATTTGGTTATTAAATCATCAGAGGAGAGACATCTATTCATGAACCCGTGTTCAGGGTTCTGGAGTGGTCCAATCCTGTAACTCCATCATGCACATGTCATACTGTAGTCTATCCTGTAGGGGGCGTCTGTCTTCAGTTCTGTCTCAGCACAGTTAGCAGAGACTCACCTCCTTACCCTCTTTTCTCTCCTGGTTCTGAGCCTTTCCTGGGACTGGACTCTGCAGCATTGGGGTTTTACTCTCAGTTCTGAGGAAGCAGACCAGGTCTGGGTCCAGTATAAAGTACTGACAAACAAACTGGACTTTTGGGATAAGGGGGTGTTCCTGAGCATGGTCCAGACGGTCTGGTGTGAGAGCACCCTCTATGTGGACTCTGAGCCGACAGTTTCAGGATGTGAACTAATGGGTCGATAACAGAACCAGAGAGACGACTGGGTCATTAAAGATCACATGACTAAAAACTGATCGACACGTTTTTTGTTTGTTTTTTTTTAACTTAATTTTAACCACAATAATACAGTGTGTACATCTTAATACATTTCTTTTCCTTTTTTTAGCTGTATGTATTTTTACAACATCCACAGATAATGTTAATAATCATCGTAATCATCACAAATAAACAATTTCCACTCCAAAATACAGATTTATAGACACAAAATTTAGTCAGAGGCAGGATGACAGTATTTTGATATGGATAGGAAGTTCTTACACCATGAACATAAACTGTTATTGCATTAACAAAGGTCCCACAAGTTTCCATCTTTCAATAAAGGAGGCCCTCCGAAGCTTTAGTGAAAATGGGATCTGCTCCATTTAATAAATATCCAAGACTGTTAGAGTCCAGATATTGTACGAGGAGGTTCTGATGGTTCTAGACTCAATAATATGTTTAATTTTTCTAACCTCCTGCCAAACCTTCAGGCATTACTCCCAGTATTGAGACCTTGAAGTCCTGTGGGATCTTCATTTTAAAAACCTCCTTCAGATACAAAAGTATACAAGTATTGTTGTTTTATATCTCGGTAAAACCCCAGAAACAGTCCTACATAAGAACAGGTACCTGTTAAAGATTCTTTTGGCAAGTGGTAGGAAAGCCATAACAAGAAGGTGGTTGCAACCAGATTCTCCAACATTGAACCAGTGGCACAGGATTGTCCGAGAAATTCACTGTATGGAGAGACTTACTTTTGTTTAAAGACTCCAGTTGGAGAAATGTTTGGAACGCTGGGAAAAAAGGACCGGGTATGCACCTTGAATAGTGTGACATTTGTCTATGATTTATGTGTGTGTGTATATATGTATTTATGGGTAAAAGAATATTTCCATTTCAACTGTATCACCCATGATGACCTCATGTTCCATAAATAAATAAAAAGTAAAAAAAAAAAAAAAGGAAAACTTTCTTTAGGGTGTTGAAAAACTCCATCCCAAACACTCTTAATTCAGGGCGGAGCCAAAACAGCCAAAATCTCTGCTTTTCTGAGATATCTAGTCATTATTTTACATTTGAATTCCCTCCATTAGTTTGTAAACCTGATGTGCTTCAGTACAGACACTGTGTTAATCCCATACAGTCTATGGTTAATCCTCCAGAGAAATGTCTGTGTTGACCTCCACCTCCCATCTCCCCTTTGTTTGTTAAGAGTTATTTGATCCACAGATAATAAGAGGATGTTGTATATATTTTAGAAATCGTTTTATTTTCTCCCTCTCCATTTTGTATTCCCATCAGGTACTTTTCTAGAGGTGTAAGTTTTATAAATTTATCCCAGTCCTTGTGAGTTGTCAGAAAGGTTCAATATTGCAAGTATCTAAAAAAAATTTAACATTAGGGAGATCAAAATTGTTTTTTAGCTGCTCAAATGTTTTCAGAATAGTACCATCAAACAGTTGATGGAGATAGATTAATCCCTTTTCGGCCCATATTTTAAAACTGTTATCCAAATTAGGGTGCAAAAGTCCAAATATAACCAATACTTATGAGAGGCAAGATTAACTTTGGTAATTTGAGAGCATACTCTTATTCCATATTTTGAAAGTGACCTTCGTCCATTCTGACATCCCTGTAGTGAGAGCGTCTAGAAAGGGCGTGTTTTGTAAGGGATCCTGACATATTTTTTTCCTATGTTTGATCAATTTGTTTTGACATCTTTATATTGATTAAGCCTCACATAAACCTGTCAATCATCTCATTGCAGAATAAGGAGAAGGAGCGTCTGAAGGAGAGAGAGAAGGAGGCGCGGGAGAGAGAGGCCAGGTACAGTAATGGTCACCTGTTCACCTCCCTGACCGTCTCCTCCACCACCCTCTGCTCCTCCTGCAACAGGAGCATCACGGCCAAGGAGGCGCTCAGCTGTCCGGGTAAGACCTGCACATGAACACTTGAGCTAGTCTGGGAGCTAGTCCAGGCAGGCTGTCTAGTTCACATCATCCCCACGCTCACCTGACCCTGATGTTCTCCTCGTCAGAGGAGGTTCAGTTTTTGTCTCAAATATCCCAGCATGCACCTGCAGGATTGGGGGGGTTCAAGATATTATATTTTCATCACTCTGTGAGGAGAGGTCAGGTCCTGGTCAATAATTTCTTTAGCAAAGAGACTAAACACAACTCACCTACTCTCTTCCAGCAGCCGCTTGTTTGTAGCAAGACCTCAGGCCAGTCCATTACGGACTACAGCGGGGTGACGCAGCTCAAGGAAGAACATTTATGATCATTTCTTCATGGAAATACAATCAGACCGAGAAACTAACCCGGGATTTCCACCGCATCCGGAACGGCTGCGATTTTCGCTGTCCGCCAATTCCTACTGGATCCGTTTGTGAGGCGAATTTCGTGGCGGATTAATGTAACCAATACTTATGAGAGCCGAGATTAACTTTTGTAATTTGAGAGCATACTTTATCTTAATCACTGTAATCGCAAGAACTCACAAGAACCCGCGGATTCACATGTAAATGTGCGATAACAAGTAGTCTCTATAAAGACAGACACATAAGCAGTAGATTGTGTCCTTCCAGAGGAGGAAATCTACTTCTAGACTTAAAGAATCAGCATCTCCTCATCCATGGTGTCATTGGGGTGAAATGATGTCTATAAACCTTTCACTTGCTTGTCTCTGCCCGTTTGCATGGTGTGAAATACGATCCTCCTGAAACACGGAGTGTTTATTTTGAAAAGAAGCTGGATGTTTTATTTTGTGTCTGTGCACGACTTCCTTTCCAGCACGGGTTAATCTGTGCTGAATTTATCCGACATGCTCCGGCGTCCGGAAAAAATAGAACTCTTGCGATCAGCTGCAGAGTCCGGTGATCCACAGGGGAATGGAAAGAAGTTAGTGGAAATTGACATGTTAACTTAAATGTTTACGATCAGCTACGATCAGAGGATACGACCTTTTAGTAGAATAATTTAGAATAATTCTCATCAGCATTTATCACAGCCTCCTCACTCCTATATAATTAGTCTTTTATAAACCTTAATTAATTAATTATATATTGTCTTAATTCTCTGACATCATTTCCTGTTTGAACATGTTTCTGTCGTCTAAAGCGTCTCTAAAGCGTGAACAATTTCAGATTTGAATGTGTGTAAGATAGAGACAGATGGTGTTTAATCCTCCTGCACAATGAACAGATGTACATGTGAAGATTAACATGCACGCACGCACACACACACACACACACACACATGCATGCACAGAGTCAGTAGGAACAACAGTAGACTGATCCATTTATGTTTCCAGTCTAAGGTGAGGGTTTCTGGAATCCTGTCTGAATGTCTTAGAGGTGTGATGCGGGGGCAGAGTCTCCCTGGGGGGCCCATTGGGGGCCCGGGGGGGGGGGGGCATTGAGAACCTACAGAAAGGAACTTGGCTGTTTATGTGTGTGTGTGTGTGTGTGTGTCCTATATTGTGACCAGCTGCTCTCGATGAACCTTGAGAATTAGGTCATGGGGACACATGTGCCACAGAGTGTGTGTGTGTGTGTGTTTGTGTGATGGTAACACACTGTGTTTCTTTAGGTTTTTAAAGAGGTGAAGAAGAGTCAAGTCCATCATCACCACCTGATTACACATCAAGATTTCCCAGCATGCACTTGGACAGACAGGGCTCACCTGAACAGGTGTATGTCAGGGGTCATGTGACTTAGGTGTTAGCACAAGTTTGCTTAGCTTCGTACTAACGTTAATCACTAATTAAACACTGATTGGTTGTTAGTTCAGATGAACAGCTCATAGCAGCACTAAGCCCCTCCCCCTTTAAACACCTGTATGTGTCTGTCTCACCCAGAGGCAGGGTTTTTTTGTAGGATGATAGGGGAAGGTCCCACCCTCCTTCGCCTCTGATTGGCTCGAAGTGCTGGGCTCTGACTGTTATTCCTTATGGCTGTGAAACCTCATCGTTTGTCGGATTTGGGTTAGGTTCGATGTACAGAGCTGACAGCCCGCGCTCGGCTTGAGGGTGTGATGACGTTTCACAGCCAATCAGAGTTGAAGGAGGCGGGACCATCCCCTACTATCCTACGAAAAAAATATCGCCACCTGGAGGATGAGTCACTTGAGCAGAATCATCTACATCACTAACAGCATCAGACCGCCTCACTAAAGTTAGCGAATAGAGACAGTGTCCATGTCAGATGTGCTCACTCAGGTGGACAGGTGAGTCACTGAGGTTAAAATAATAAATAAAACTAAATCTTTACCTCTTTTTCTCTTCAGCCTGTAATGTCACCATCCACAACCGCTGCAGAGACAGTCTGGCCAGCTGCACTAAGATGAAGCAGAGGGTAAGACCTGAGCGTCTATCTGTCTGTTTGACTTCCTGTCTGTCCATATTTTTCTGTCTCACTTCCTGTTGGTCGATCTCTCGTCACTTAGCAACAGAAGCTGTCGATGGTCAGGAACAGCACAGCCCTACAGAGCGTGGCTATGCGCAACAAAAGTGAGTAAACAAAATGCAGCCAAAAACCTGGAGCTCTAAGAAATGAGGTTAAAGTGATGGTCTCAAAAACTGCAGTTCCTCGAGTGTCCACTAGAGGCCGTCTACCAAAGTGAGTCAGTGCCCATAGCCCCCCATAGAAAAAAGTCGTATTTTTTTATTATTATTATTATAATTATTATTATTATTATGTAATTTTTTATTGTTATTAATATATTATAATAAGTATAATAATAATAATAATAATAATAATAATTATTATTATTATTATTATCATTATTATTATCATTATTATTATTATTATCATTATTATTATTATTATAAGCCTAATTTGGTGGTTTAATGATCTAGACCTCCATGTCTGACCTCATGATGGTCGTTAGGTGGTGCACAGTCAAGGTCAAAAAGGGGTCAGAGGAAGTCGGAGTATCAGCAATTTTTCTTCTTCTCTGGTTCCACATTTTGTTTCTTCTTCTGGGGTTTTCAGCTCCAATGATGAAGGAGCGCCCGAGCTCGGCGATCTATCCCTCAGACAGTCTGCGTCAGTCTCTCCTGGGGTCCAGGCGAGTTCGATCTGGTCTCTCGCTCGCCAAGAGTGTCTCCACGAATAACATTGCAGGGTGAGAGCGGATGGCAGCTGATTGGTTCTCTAATTCAACACAGCAACAAAAACTTACCTGTATCCCTCTCTGTCTCTCTGTCTCAGGGGGTCTGAGGACTCGGTGGGTCTCAGGAGGATCCTGTCTCAGTCCACCGAGTCTCTGAACTTCAGGAGCAGAACTCTGTCCATGGAGTCTCTGACCGACGACAGTAAGTCCTCCTCTGATCAGACGATTGGTGACGATACCTTTTTGTTGTGTTGTGTATTGATGTGTTGTTGTTGTTGTTGTTGTTGTTGTTGTTGTTGTTGTGGTGGTGGTGCAGGTGAGTGGTGGTGGAGCCCCCTGCTGGAGGAGCTGCAGGTGGAGGGGAGCTGTGTGCAGGCCGACAGCTGGAGTCTCGCTGTGGAGCCGAACTTCCTGCAGACGCTCCATAAAGATGTTATCAAACAGCAGGACGTCATCTACGGTAAACACACATGTACACACACACGCACACACACACACACACACACTCGGTCTCTCTTTGACCTCACTCTCTCTCTCTCTCTCTCTCTCTCTCTCTCGCTTTCTCTCTCTCTGTTTGACCTCTCAGAGCTGATCCAGACTGAGTTCCACCACGTGCGGACTCTGAGGATCATGGAGGGCGTGTTCCGTCGGGGGATGCAGGAGGAGGTGCTGCTGGAGGCAGGCGTGGTCCACTCCGTCTTCCCATGTCTCGACCAGCTGCTGGAGTGGCACACACACTTCCTGTCTGAGCTGATGAAGAAGAGAAAGGAGGGGCTCGCTGAGGGTAGCTCCACCAACTTCACCGTCCTCAGGATTGGAGACCTGCTGCAGCGTCAGGTGAAGGCATCAGGTGGTGTGTGCTGGTCCCAATGACAGGTTTATCCTATAATAAAAATAATAATAATGATAATCATATGTAAATAATAATAATGATAATCATAATAATAATATTAATAATAATAATAATAATAATAATAATAATAATAATAATAATAATAATAATAAAAGTAATAATAGTAATAATAAAAACAGAGACAATGATAATAATAGTAGTAATTATTTTAAGAACAACAACAATAATAAAAGTGATAATAATAGTTATAATAAAATATTAAATATTTAAAAAATGAATAATAATTATTATCATCATTTTAATTATTGTGATTATTAATATTATTGTTATTATTATTTTTTATTACTATTTTTGATATTTTCATTTTTTTTACTATTATTCTTATTCTCATTATTTTCATTATTATTATTATTATTATTATCATCATTGTTTTTATTTTATTATTATTATTATTTTCATTGTTAATATCATTATTCTTATTTTATTATATTATTACAATTATTATTATGATTATTTTTATGAACATTATTTTTTTACTGTAACTATTATTATCATTGTCATACTCCTTCCTGTTTTTCTACTTCTAATTATAATAACAATAATGATAACAATTATTATTATCATTTTCATTATTATTACTATTATTACTATTTGGGATCATTAGGACTGTCAAAGGTTTTATTTCAGTAACCCCTATTTAGTGTGAAAAAAATGAAAACAATTATTGTTTATTGACAGTCCCTGAATTGGATGATCTGTCCCCGGCTAAAGCTGTCCCCGAAAATGTCCCCGATTTAAGCGTTTTATGAATGAGAACAAAAATGTTGCATGTGGGCAAGAACAACGGTTGTTACAGTGGGTAGGAAGCACAAGTAAGCAGTCCTGAACAACAGTATTTACGGGGGTTATTAAAACGGGGCGTGCGCTGCTACTAAATAGTACCGAGATTTTGTCTGTGATCACACAGCCCATGCAGCTCATGCCCATTTATTTCCAAGATGAATTCATTCATTTGTTCATTCCTATCCTGTTTACATGTTTTGTGTGATATGTCGGCCATATGAGTCTTCCATAAAAGTGGTCATCCGGAGAAGTAAGTGGGTCCGTGCAGTCCCTGAAAACTCTCGCGAGCCGGAGTGCTCCTCCTCGGACTATGCGAGCACCGAGGTCTATAGGATCCTCCAAGAACGGACAAGCCGTTTTTCGAGAGAGCTCATTGGTCAGTGGGCAGGTTTTTATACTCAGTGAGTTCAATCTGGAACTTAACCTGCCCCGGAGCAGGTTAGCCGTTCAGCGTATGTTGCCATGGAGACTCGCCTCGCTAAGAAGTGAACCCGCGTCGTAGAACAGGAAACCCGAACTTATCCTCGAAGTTTCCTCGCTAAGCAGTAATCCTGCTTCGTAGAACAGGCCCCCGGAGCAGGTGCGCCGTTCAGCGTACGTTGCCATGGAGACTCACCTCGCTAAGAAGTGAACCCGCGTCGTAGAACAGGAAACCCCGAACTTACCCTAAAAGTTACCTCGCTAAGTAGTAATCCTGCTTCATAGAACAGGCCCCAGGTCAGTGAGGGAGATCAGAAACACTTTTATACTGACTCTGTGTGTGTGTGTGTGTGTGTGTGTGTGTGTGTGTGTGTGTGTGCAGTTCTCAGGCCAGTCTGCAGACGACATGAAGAAGATGTACTCAGAGTTCTGCAGTCGACACCCTAAAGCCGTCAAACTCTACAAAGAAGTTTTGACTCGAGACCGAAGACTGCAGCAGTTCATCCGTGTAAGGACCAGTTTAGACCGGCTCAAACCAGTTTGTTCTGATACCATCCCAATCATATTCACTGTAAGCCTTTTCTCCATCCTATAATGCTCAGCGTGTCGGTCGGGGTCCTCTTCTGCGTCGCCATGGCGTTCAAGAGTGTATTCTGCTGGTGACACAACGGATCACAAAATACCCTGTCCTCCTCCAACGAATCATCGACAACACCAAAGGTACAAACAATTGTGGATGACTTCTGACCTCTGATGACCTTTACATTTTAATACCTCTGACCTTTATTAACCCCTGACCCCTGGCTTTACCTGTGTGACCTTTAACCTGTGCTCTTACAGGAAGTGAGGAGGAGACAGAGTCCTTGAGCTGGGCCCTGCTTCTCCTGAAGGAGCTGCTCAGCGGCGTGGATCAGGAGGTCCTGGAGCTGGACCGGACCAGGAGGCTGCAGGAGGTTCAGGCTCGTCTGGACCCACGGGCTCAAGCGGAGGTGAGGGGAGGAGGCGTGTTTAGAGGAGGCGAGCTGATGAGAAGGAGGCTCCTCCACCAGGGGACGCTGCTTTGGAAGGTGCAGGGCTCCAGAATGAAAGGTAAACCACACCGTCTCACCTGTTCACCTGAAGTGACATCACAGCTGCTTACTCGCCTCTCTGTGATTGGCTGCAGATGTCCAGGTGCTGCTGATGTCGGACATCTTGGTTTTTCTCCAGGAGAAAGATCAAAAGTTCACCTTCGCATCCCTGGTGAGTCACAAATGATGAATGTACTTATTTATTCTATTTATGTTGTATTTTTTAATTGTTAATATTATTTAATTTTGCTTATTGAGTAAAGGTTTAAAGAATAGTATAATGCTTCATCCTACTCATTTTCAGACATGTTGAGTTCGCATCATTATTATCTTTTTTGCTTTGATTATTGTTTTTGTTGTTTTGAATATTTTGTTTGTTTGTTTTTATTTTACTTTTGGTGTTGCACGCACATGTTCGACAAAAATAATAATATGAAAACAAAATTAAAAAGAAATGAAAGTCACACCTGTTCACACCTGGCCACCTGACCGCCTGTACACAACCCCAGAACTGTGTCACTTACCTGTAACTCACCTGTGTCTCACCTGGATCACTCACCTGTGTCGCTCTGCCTCAGGACAAGTCACCTGTCGTCTCCCTGAACAACCTTATCGTCAGGGACATAGCCAACCAGGAGCGAGGGATCTACCTGCTCAGTCACTCCACCCCCCCTGAGATGTACGAACTGTACGCCGCCTCAAAAGACGATCGCAAAGCCTGGATCACCCGGATCCAACAGGCCGCTCAGAGGTAAGAGGTTACTCCTCCCAGTTTAGTGTGTATTGCTGTGTAGTATTGTGTATTATTGTGTAGTATTGTTGTGTAGTACTTTGTAGTATTGTGTAGTTCTCAGTACTTCCTCTTCTGTTCTCAGCTGTCCGTCCAGAGAGGAGTTCCCGCTCATCGAGACTGAAGACAAAGCTTTACTGAGGAGGCTCAGAGGTACAGCACCTCCTTCATCACCTCCTCCTTCTGCTTTCCACTTTGTCCTTTTAATCATCCACACCTCCTTCTTTTCTCTTCTGTCCTCCTACAAATTTGTCCCTCCTCCTCCTCCAAAGCTGTAGACACCTCCCGAACCTCCCTCTGAACTGTTTTGCTATTGCACCTCCTGTCCCTTCTCCTTTTTACTGAGGACATTGTTTCTGTCTCCTCTAAACAGCAGCTCCTCCTTTTTCTTCATCTTTATTATCAGCACCTACCGTCTGTGTCTGTGTCCCTCTCTGCACCTCCTCTCTGTGCTCCTTGACCACCTGCACCTGCTTTTGAGCTCCAGTTTCTGTGGTCAGAATAAATTTCATATTTATTGAGTATTTCACCTCCTCGACTTCACTCCTCCCTCCTTCTTCAGCTGACATCCAGCAAAAGGACAGGGAGGTGCTGGAGCTCCTGCAGGAGCGGGTCACTCTGTTTTCAGACCTGGTGGAGGCGATGGGCAGAGGCTCCACAGAAGAAGATGAAGGAGAAGGTTTGGACCTCCGCACCTCCTCCTCCACCTCCTCTTCCTCTCGCAGGAACCTGTTCAGAGCGAACACTCCTCAGGCTCTTCAGGCCGAGCCGCTCCTCAGCGCCTCCATCGCTGACGGTGAGTTTGAGTTCTCGGTCTGCGGTGAGTTTAAAATCAGAGACGCTCTGAACCAAACCTCTGTGTGTTTTTGACGGTTTTAGTTGACCAGCTGACGGAGCTGCTGCTCAACTCCAACACTCAGAAAACCACCGTAACCAACGGCAACCAGGAGCTTAACAGTGAGTCACCTATCAGTGTATCAGAATCTGTTCGTGGTGTTAAAGGTGTGTGGTCAGCAGACAGTTGTCAGTCTGGAGCGATGCTGCCCTCTAGTGTTCTTCGGTGAACAGAGTCCCTCACCTGTCTCTCTCTGTCTCTCTCTTAGGTGGTGATTCGAACTCTCTGAACGGCTCTGAGGAGACAAACGGCTCCTCCAAGGTAAAGCCTCACCTTTGATCTTTGACCTGTTTGTTAGTTTATAAGCACAGATCATCAGCAGGTGAACATGTGTGTGTAAACACTGAGGAGGAGGCTGATTAATGAGTCTCTCTATTTTTGCTGAAATTTCAGGATAAAAACGGGAACCAGCTGCAGGAAGGAATGATCTACCCGGTAACAACCACTTCCTCTTTTCTGTCATGTGACCTGAACATAGAGGAAGCATGGTCGTTAACTGACAGTATTGATCAATCTGCTCTGAGTTTGATCGCAGTGAACCTCTGATAGATTTTATAATGGATCATCTTTGTATATAATTAAACAGAAAAAAACAACAAAGTCACGCGGCAAACATCTTTTTCTTTTTGACTTTATGATAAGTGCACATGCAACGCTCCTGAATATCAGATAATTATTCTGATTTCTGTCTCAGTTTTCTTTTTTTTGCATCGGTAACTTCCGTTGTGACTTCTTTATTTTGCATTTTTTTAATATGCAGCAGTGGCAGTTCTCAGCCACCATATTTTTCTGAGTGTGTATAATTCAAAGAAAAAACAGGATTTTGTTTTTGCATGACTGGACACTAATTGTAGGATTTAGCGATAGTCTACAGATCAGTATTTGTTGGACTAAACCCTGAATTTTAATCTCAGTTTTTGGTACATACTTGTGCTCAGTTTTATTGACTAACCACCAAATCAAACCTCCTCAGGTAAAATTAAGTTCATTTGGGTAAAGAATTTAAGGAAATATGTGGGGTGGTCTCATATTTTGTTGACAAACTTGTTCAGCTTCTTTCCAATCAGAGCTGAGGATTCTCACTAACTTAGCCACTCCTCCTCTCAGCAGATCCGTCAGCGATTGGTCAGCCTGAGCACACACCTTCACGCCCTGCAGGTACGACAAATGTTTTCCTCGAGTAACCCAACAGTAACTGTCAGCTGTTCAACCACATCCTCAAAACACTTTAACTCCGCCCTCAGGCTGCTGTGATTCGTCAGGACTCAATTTTGGAGCTGTCAGTCACAGGACCCTCCCCCTCTACTACCTCTTTCCTCCCCTCCCAACCGCGCCTCAATCGGTCGATGTCAAAGGATGCAGGATTGGACTCCAACGGGGAAGCGGAGCTTCTTCGACTGAAGGTGGAGTTTCTACAGGAAGAGCTGGCACAGTTACGACTAAAGGGGGAGGGGCCTCAGGGAGAGGGGGTGGAGCCATGCAGCAGAAAGCGAAGCAACGGAGATATCAGTAATGTCATCAAGAAAGAACAGGTGAGTCAGGTGAACTAATCCACGACAGCAGGATTAACTAAACCAGGACTAAACTTAATTCCCTTAAACTAAACCAGAATAAACTTAACCAGGGGCCTGTTCTATGAAGCAGGATTACTGCTTAGCGAGATAACTTCGAGGATAAGTTCGGGGTTTCCTGTTCTACGACGCGGGTTCACTTCTTAGCGAGGCGAGTCTCCATAGCAATATACGCTGAACGGCTAACCTGCTCCGTGGCAGGTTAAGTTCCAGATTGAACTCACCGAGTATAAAAACCCCGCCCACTGACCAATGAGCTCTCTCGAAAAACGGCTTGTCCGTTCTTGGAGGATCCTGTAGACCTCGGTGCTCGCATCGTCCGAGGAGCACTCCGGCTCGCAAGAGTTTTCAGGGAGAGTTTTCTCCGGATGACCACCTCTATGAAAGGCTCATATAGCCGACATATTACACAAAACATGTAAACATGATAGGAATGAACAAATGAATGATTCATCTTGGGAATGAATGGGCATCACAGACAACATCTCGGTACTATTTGGTAGCAGCGCACGCCCCTTATAATAACCCCGTAAATACTGTTGTTCAGGACTGCTTACTTGTGCTTCCTACCCACTGTAACAACCGTTGTTCTTGCCCACATGCAACATTTTTGTTCTCATTCATGAAACGCTTAAATCAGGGACATTTTCGGGGACAGCTTTAGCCGGGGACAGATCATCCAATTCGGGGACTGTCACCTTAGTTAAAAGCGCATGTTGAACAGTGCTATTTCAGGGTGATAATGGCATCAAAGATTACTTTTCTGCCAGCGTTCCCTCTGTGCTTTTGCAGCGGCGACGGTGTTGCTTTTGAGGTTTGTGATAGCTTTGAATTCTTCATACTTTCTCATGATCGTCTCCTGTTCCTCGTTTGTAAAGTCCGCGGTCCTTCACTCTCCAGCCTGCTGCTCTGACGCTCCAGACTGATCCATGTTCGCGATTGGTCAGATGCGGCGAGCTCCACCTTATATGTGTGCATGCGCTCATAGCAAAGCTGGATCTACTTATGAGGTTGATAACCAGCGTCGTAAAACCGCTTAGCGAGACCGCTGGCTACTGCGCTAAGTTGAGCGAGGTAGCTCCAAGGCTACCTCGCTAAGTTGAACTTGCTTCGTAGAACAGGCCCCAGGACTAAACATAATGCCCTCAAACTAAATCAGGATAAACTAAACCAGGACCAAACTTAACCCCCTTAAACTAAACCAGGATTAACTAAACTGGGGTAAACTAAACCAGGATTAACTAAACTAGGATCAACTAAACCAGGATGAAACTTAACTCCCTTAAACAAAACCAGGATTAGCTAAACCAGGGTAAACTAAACCAGGATTAACTAAACCAGGACTAAACTTAACCCCTTAAACTAAACCAGGATAAACTAAACCAGGACTAAACTTAACCCCTTTAATTAAACCAGGATAAACTAAACCAGGACTAAACTTAACCCCCTTAAAGTAAACCAGGATAAACCAAACGTGATAAACTAAACCAGGACTAAGCTTAACCCCCTTAAAATAAGACAGGATAAAGTCCATGTAGGTTCTCATTCATCCAGGTCATGGTTTTCTTGAAGACTCCAAAAACAGGCAACTGGACTGTGTAGACTTGAGAAGACGTTTCGCCTCTTATCCAAGAAGCTTCTTCAGTTCTAAATATTGCTAGTGTGAGGAGCAGATATTTAGAACTGGAAAAGGGGACAGACAAAGACTCGGAGGAGTTGGAAAGAATGGGTTGTAGAAACCCATCCCCGGGTGTTGACCCTGAGGGTCGTTAACGACCCCTATCATGTGACTACATGACTCATGCCACCTGGGTCATTTGGTCCCAGGTGTGAATGTTTGTGGAGCTTCCTGGGGAGAGAGCTGAGAACTGCATTGTGAGTGCCGGAGAGATTGTGCCTGAGTCCACTCCCTCTGTTCAGAGAAGGTTCCTCCAGTCTGGTAAAGATGGCTTCTTTAACTCCTCTTTCAAACCATCTGTCTTCTCTAGCCAACACCTGTACATTGCTGTCCTCAAAAGAGTGACCTGTGTCCTTTAAGTGAAGGTGGACAGCTGAGTCCTGACCTGAGGAAGTAGCTCTCCTGTGTTGAGCCATGCGATTGTGAAGCGGTTGTTTAGTTTCCCCAATGTACAGATCCGAGCATTTCTCGCTGCACTGGACAGCAAACGGGTCATTCCATGTCAATTCTTTTAAATCCCACATCAGCCTTACCACTCGCACTGCCTATTTCCACCTCCGCCACATCAATCGTCTCCGCCCCTCCCTCTCCCCCAACACCACCTCCATCCTCGTCCTCAGTCTCGTCACCTCCCGTCTGGATTACTGCAACTCCCTCCTCTTCGGTCTCCCTTACACGTCTCTCCATAAACTTCAACTGGTCCACAACTCCGCTGCCCGTATCATCACCAAAACCCCTTCGTCCCACCACATCACCCCCATCCTTCAGCAGCTTCACTGGCTCCCGGTCCCTCTACGAATCCAGTTCAAAATCCTCCTGTATACCTTCAAAGCCATCCACAACCTCGCCCCTCCTTACCTATCTGACCTCCTCCACATCGCCACTCCAACACGCCACCTCCGTTCCTCTTCCTCTCTCCACCTCTCTGTGCCCCCTGTTCACCTCAGCACTATGGGGGGCAGAGCTTTCAGTCGCTCTGCCCCCCGACTCTGGAACTCTTTACCATCACACATCCGCAACATAGACTCCCTCCCCCTCTTCAAGTCCAAACTCAAAACACCTGTTTAAACTGGCATATCCCTCCCACCACCCCTAACCCACTTTTTTAAATTAAATTTCAATTGGTATTATTAATTTCTTTATTTATTCCTTTGCTGTTGTTCATGTTTAATGTTGCTTTGTTGATTTTAACTGTTTGATGATTAATGATTTTAATTGTTAATAGTGTTTTATTATTGTTTTTATATGTTCTGTAAAGTGTCCTTGAGTGACGTGAAAGGCGCTTCAAATAAAATGTATTATTATTATTATTATTAATTCAACCAAGGATCTCCACTCACGTCACAGATTTTGATGAAATTTGGTGGAGTGATTGGCCTTCAGGAGAAACTGTTAGATCTCAGATATTTTTGTTCAAAGCCATCTAATTAGTGAGATAGGGGCTAATGAATTTTTGGCTAATTAGCATGACATGCGTTACAAAAGTGTTCATATCTCTGGAAGTATGGCACCTAGAGAGCTGATTCAGTTGTCGTTTTAAAGCTCTCTTCAAGTCCTATCTTTTTCTTCATAACCTTTTTTCCCAAATTGGACCAGAAAAAATTATTAAAGACCAAAAACTTAAATTGGAAATAGCAAAAAACGCGCGTCGACTAGCATCTCTGCAAGTTTCAGGATGGGCATTCCATAACTTTTTGAGTAATCAGTCAAAATGCGTGGTACATTAGGTCAAAAATCGCCATATTCGGCACATTATACAGTCCTGACCTCATCTGGAGTCAGCCCCACTTGCCTGCTTGTGTAAAATATTACTTCCTCATAGTGCAAAATGCTTTTTTTGAGTGTTTTCATTTTTGTATGTTATCCCATATTTATATGAAAAATGGCTAGAATAGCTTATTTTTGCTCAGTTTTCCATCGCATTTCTTTTCTATTTGCACCTATATCCAGAATATGAATGATCTTAGCTTCATGGGAGAATCATTTGGACATAACTGCATGTCCTGGATCCTAGGGTTGACAAATAACTTCTACCTATGCACCCTGAAATTTTGTTGCTGGTTTCCCTGTGAAGTATTCCAGGCTATTTATCCTGAGCCCTTTCAACGTTTGCTTTATACTTCAAAAGTACTTTTAGCATGGTAATCAAGCTTTGTGCAGCTTTTCGATATTGTTAGTTTGTTTACAAATAGGAAAGAATGTATGAACTACAAAGAGTTTGATAGTGTCAGTGTAAGGAGTGATGGTTCCCCAGTCGTCTAGGTCTTCTGGCTTTCAGTACATGCAAATCTGCAAAACATGCACATTTTTTTTTTTAGTTCAACCACATTGACATGATCATTGGGTCCTATTGTTTTTTCTCATAATGCGATTTCATCCAACATTTGTATACAAGGCCTGTCCTCAGGTGAAGAGGTCACACAACCTCCATTTTTTTGATCGAGCAACATCCCTTCGATTTACTGGACTGGATTCATCTGATTCAAGTAAGTAAAATGCTTTAAATATTTTTTTTGTGTTTATTACAATGTGTATAACATGAACATATGTAGGTATTGTGGAAAATATGCCTTACATTTTATTTAGAGCTTGTTTTATAATTGTTGCAATATTACAACGTTGGGTCAAAGTGGTAGCCAAAACAGCCCTGTCTTGAGAGGAATGTCTTTAGATGAAATTTTTACTTTAAAGTTATATTTTTACAATATAATTTTAAACTACACATGATTTACAAATTCTAGCCTTAGCCTTATATTACATTACATATTTTATTGTATTAGAAACTATATATTAAGATATATTGCTGTATCTAAACATTTTCATTTACTTAAAATGATTTCTAACCACCTTCAACACTCTCAGTATTTTCTCCTTATCACAGAATGCAGGACTTTCTAACAAAGAAATTCTGTTTGTGCATGTCTGCCCTTTGTCTTAGTCTTTATTGATAAGAAAATGCTCCTATCAATTCTTAGTCAAAGCAGTTGTGGGGGATGTTCCTGGTGCATTTGTGGCATGGTTCTGGAACAGGTGTTAAGGCGGCAGTAGCTCAGGAGGTAGAGCGGTCGTCCAATGACCGGAAGGTTGGCGGTTCGATTCCCCCCTAATCCAAGTCTGTCGGTTGTGTCCTTGGGCAAGACACTTAACCCACCTTGCTCCCAGTGTGTGTCCTCCACTGGTGTATGATTGTGAGTGTTGTGTGGTGGTGGTCGGAGAGGCCGTAGGCGCAGAATGGCAGCCACGTTTCCACCACCACCAAAGTGTGACTGTGTGAGCGAATGAATGATGTATCCAATGTAAAGCGCTTTGAGGGTCTCTGATAAAGCGCTATATGAAATCTGATGCATTATTATTAATGTTCATGGATATAAGGTGTGGTTGTAAGCTGGAGGCTACATGCATTCTCATTACGATGATAATCACAGTCTCCAATAGGTCAATAGGTCAGTATTGTGTGACCAGTGAAATGTGTGAACAGGCTACTTCAGTGCAAAGTGTAAACACTTCATAATGAAATCAGTCTCCCCACCACCCCATCCTTTCTGTTGGCCATCTCGAATCTAGTAGGCATGTGTGTTATTTGTATATACATTTATTTCAATTTAATTTTTTCCATTTCAGAATGCCACTTGCAAGGGGAGATCCTTGGTACAGTGTGCAGGATGTAACTGCCATAATCCAAAACGGAGAGAGTGATGTGGACATGGATTTCGACAACACTGATGCAAGTGACGAAGAATCAGATAGCGATGCCAAGAACTGCTTCAAGGACTATCACTGCAAATAAATGTGGATGTGCACACAGACTTTACTCGACATTTTCCACTGAAGACGAAGAGAGGACACTGCAGACATTGCAGTAAAGGCAAAGCAAGTGTGATGCTGTGAGACTGGGTTGGATATCTGCCTCTGCTTTTCAGAGGACAAGAACTGCTTATAATGTAAATAATGTAAATTAATTTCAAAGTTCTTGCTGGAATAAATTACTCTTTATAACAACATGACTGAGATTATTATTCATGTTATATACTGATTTGGGAACAGCAAAACCCTGCAAATGATCCTTAGTTCTGTATTGCTGTTCAGACAAGGAGTGGAAATACAGGAGATCCTGCTCCCCATTAAGCCCAACGTTGCAATATTACAACATTTCCATAAAAACTTACTATAACATAATTGTTTGAAAACACTCCATTTTCACCCCCAAAGGCCTCCTACAACAACATCTGAATGGTGGAAATTTTTTTTTTTTGCGTTTTTCTATATTTGGGTTTTACAGGGTTAACTGAGATGAATTCAACCAGAGACTAGTTAACCAGGATTAAATGAACCAAGACAAACTAAACCAGGGTTAAGTGAACCAGGTTTAAGTAAATCTGGTTTGACCTGATAAAGTTTGTTTGTGTCAGCAGGTTAGCCGGAGGCGTGGCAGCAGAGACTCATTGGTCAGTAAGGATTCTGCCGACCAATTAGACGGCGTTCAGGAAGGAAATGAGGAGGAAGGAGAGGAAGTGAGGATCTCTCCTCGCTCCGACAGTCCCAGAGGTGGGTACGATCAGGAACGATAAGTTTTATTCATGATGATTTATTTAACCCTTCAAGTTCAATAACCTAAGTAGGTAAACATAAAGATCTGTCATTAAAACAGAATTTAAATATTCGTGGGATTTTAGCTTTTATTGTTTGTGAGTTTTGTAACCATGGTTACTTGTGACCTCTGACCTTTCAGACCTACAGGACATCCCAGAGGAAAGCGAGTGTGGGGCTGATCCTAGTTAACATCCCACCTCCACCTGTCCACCTCAGGGACCTCTGACGTCACTGTGATGTCACACTGATGTCACTGAAAGGGGCTCAGACTTTTATTTTGAAAGTTGGATGCTGGAGTCAAAGTCGTTTCCTGAAACAGAGGTTTTCCTCGTTTCCAATGTGTTTTTTAAATGTTGCTGTAAATTAGAAACATGTGACCCGATTACAACATCATTTCAGCTGGAGCCCCGCCCACACTACCTTGGTCAGGTGACTGTATTGGGCGGGGCAAGACTTGTGGCCACACTACATTTCCCAGAATGCCTTTGGATCTACACAGCTGTAGCAGTGACAGCTGTGTTTAGTTGCTGTGGGGAAGGGTGGGGTGGGCTGGGGTGGGGGGATCTGTAACCATGTGTGTGACAGGCGGACTTTAAACTGTATTTATGTCGTTTTTTACTGTTTTTAACTTTAAACTAGTGAAACATTAGCTGGATGAGATTATGTCGGATTTAAAACATCAAACTCTCAGATTGACTGAAAATGTTTTAAAATTCAACAAAAAAACAAAAACAAATCCAGAATCAAAGTCTTGTAACACGTCTGAATCTTGAAACCAGTTTAAAACTAAATTGGGATGAAAATAATAATAACTACAATTATCTGATTAATAATGATGTTTAAAATCCTGTAATCTAGTAATTAATCCAATGAATGCCCTGATAATCTGATGGCATGACCAATAATCAATGAGAGTATTTTTTTAAAAATCCAGAGACTTCGAGAGAAAAGTCTGAATTCTAAAAGAATAATGTTGTAAAGTCGATTTTAGGAGGATCAAGTTTTTAAAGTCGTCATAGAGAGAAAGTCGTGACAGCGTGAGAATAAAGTCGTCATGTTACATCTTGATCGAGTTTTTCAGCAGGGTTGCTGATGTGTGCGTGCATCACTGTGCAGTAAAAATCAAATCAGCTGGAACCTGCAGAGCTCTGACGTGCAGACAGCAGGGAGACAGGGAAGTGTAGGAACACCGAAAAATAGAGGAAAAACTTTATTTTTCTTTTTACTCTGCTTTTGAAGGACAAACATTTACTGGTCACTCAGTGCGTAGCTCTTTGGAAAATCCACCTGCATTCGTGATAATCCTGGGGCTGCTCAATTTTAGTGAAAATCACGAGTTAATTTGTATGGTGATTATTGAAAACAAATATTCTGGTCGGACAGCTGCATCACACTCATTTTTAAAACCTCTGAATCCTCATAAAAACACAGTTATTGGGGAAAAGTGAAGTCTACCTGATTGTTCACTAAAGAATATCTGTCTGTTTAACTGGAAGATTAAATTCAGTTTAAAAAAATCATACATTGGACAAACGTAAGGGACTGCGCTTCATTTCCTCACTTTCTCATGACATAATCCACATTTAATCCTCTCAGCATCAAAACAACTTAATTCTGGTGATATTTCCACTTTATACTCTCAACACTGACTTTGTTCTTGTGATATTTCGACTTCACTTCTTAACATGGCCCTAATCTCCTCTCTGTTGTCATAATCTGATCAGATGGATGGGGGGGTTGTTAGTGTTGTTAGCATATGTGCATGTTAGCATGTTTCTGAGAGACTTGTATAAAATCTAAGCACCAGGGTTAGTTCAGCCGATCAGTGCGTCTGAGGATGTTTATTTTTGTTTTTTTGTTTATTTTTTTTTAATGATAATGATTAACCAAAACACTTTGATATCTGCAGAGCAGATCTTTATTGATGATGTTGAACAGCAGCTGTCTGTGCGGAGCAGGAAGACACATGTTTTTAAAAAAGTTTTAGCTTCTCTTCAGCGCTGACTTTTTGTTCGCTAAACTTTTTACACTTTTAATCTGAAAGAAATGCCATTAAGCTGTTGCCATGGTGACAGACAACCACGGACATTTCTGTGTCTTCACTGTGACTCTAAAAAAATGCTGGATAAAATTAAAAAAAAAAAAGGAGTTTAAACATCACCTCAAGTGAGCAACACAAAGATCCTCTATTCAGACAGATGCCCAGGTGGTGCTCAGGTGCTTGACAGCAGTCTGACCCTCAGACTGATCCAGAATCCATGCAGCTTTGATTTTAATGTATTTCATCTCTGAGAAGTGAAAATTGAAGTACTTTACTCTGAGGAGTAAAAACTGAAGTACTTTACTCTGAGAAGTAAAAACTGAAGTACTTTTACAGTCTGAGTGGAAAAAAAGAAGTGTTCTTACCATCTGAAGTGAAGTGTTTGTAATTTGGGAAGTGAGAGCTGAAGTATTTTTACTCTCTGGATGGCGAAATACGACTAATTGTACTTTCTGAACAGGATTATTTTTACTGTAGAAACATTAGACTGAATTAGTTTGTGTATAAATTTGATCAGAAACTGTAAATGAAGTTTGTTGTTCGTGTTTCTATGCTCTGACTATATGTCTGTGTGTTAATATAAATCTAATCAGCTGCTCAGTGTCCTGTTGTTTTTATTTATGACCTTTAATAACCCTTTCAGTTTGAAACATCTACAGTTTGAGTTTTTGTGAGGCTCTTCAGCAACGTCTTTACATTTTACAACTTGTCGTTTGTTAAAGATTTATCAAGTTATTACTGGAGTCATTTCACAAAAGTTGTAAACAGAGCATCTGTTTACAAACCCACACCTATCTTTTTTTAACTATATAAAATGTTCTCAGTGGTCTTTAAGTTGTGATAATGAAGTTATTAGCCAAAATTGCAAAATCTGTGTCATTTTCAAGGTTTTTCCTGGCAGAGCTGGGGTAGCTCATTAACAATTCACCTCTGAGTCATGGGCGGAGACAGCACTGCTCTGCACCCTCCCCCTTTGCTGTTTGTTTTCACTGTTGGTTTTTGTCTGTGTCTTGTACAGTAAAATTATAGTCTGTATATACTCTGGACAACTTGGTTCCACCTCCCACCAGTATACAGATTTGAAGCTGAAAAGCTCTCTGTAATTCTGTGTTTTTTCTCCATTTCCTGTAACCAACATTGTGCAGTAGCGTTGTATGCATTCGGCGGAAGAGTTGCCGAGAGTCGCTGTGTTGAAGCTCAGCTTAAACAGCATGTCTCTTGGGTGAGCTACGCAATCTTCATACTCCCATACGCTGTATCAAGTGTCAATCAAAGAAAACCCCCTAATAACTTTTAAAAGTGGAGCTGTACAGAAAAAGAGGAATTGAGCACAAACCAGTCTGACAGTAACTACATGTCAACATTACAACCAGGGGGGGAGAAACATTTATATTCTGTTATTAATTTATAAAGTTTGTCCACAGCTCCATAAAAAGGCAGGATTTGTGACCTATACTGCAGCCCATCACCAGAGGGTGCTGTTCTCAGAGTGGCTTCACCCAGAGAGGAGGCAGACAGCGTCCATTCTATATATAGTCTGTGGTGCTGAACAGAGGACCCAACTGTGTCCCCCCAACATCCTCAGAGCGGTTCTGATGACTTTGAAATTTGTAGGAAGGTTCGGTAACGTCACAGATGTTCCCGGACTGTTCCGGTATGCTTCCAAAATTCCAAAATTTTCTCAAACGCTCCAGAATGTAATTGATCTTTTAGAATGTCTTTGATGTAACGGAATGTTATTGGTCTTTCAGAGTGTCCTTAATCTTCCGGAATGTTCAGTGATATTCTAGAATGTTCTACATCCTCCAGAGCGTCACCACCATAGACTGTATATCCTATGGACAACTTGGTTGCGCCCTCCGCCAGTACATGGGTATTGAAGCCAAAAAGCTCTTGGTAATTCCGCGTTTTTTCTCCACTTCCTGAAACCAACATTGTACGCATTCGGCGGGAGAGTTGCCGAGAGTCGCTGTGTTGAAGCTCGGCTAAAACAGCATGTCTCTTGGGTGAGCTATGCAATCTTCATACTCCCATAGGCTGTATCAACTGTCAATCAAAGAAAACATGAATCCCCTAATCACTTTTAAAAATGGAGCTGTACAGAAAAACGAGGAATTGAGCACGAACCAGTCTGACAGTAACTACATGTCAACATCACAAGCAGGGGGGAGAAACATTTATATTCTGTGTCATTAATTTATAAAGTTTGTCCACAGCTCCATGAGAAGAAGGGATTTATGACCTATACTGCAGCCCGTCACCAGAGGGTGCTGTCACTAGAGTGGCTTTACCATAGACTGTATATAATATGGACAACTTAGTTCCGCCCTCTGCCAGTATATGGGTATTGAAGCCAAAAAGCTCTCGGTATTTCTGGGATTTTATCCTCATTTCCTGAAACCAGCGCTGCGCAGTAGCGATGCGCACATTCGGCCGTGCAGTCGCCGAGAGTCGCTGTGATGATGCTCGGCTCAAACAGCGTATCCCCTGGGAGAGCTATGCAATCCCTTAACGCCCACAGGCTGTATCAGGTGTCAATCATAGAAAGCATGAACCCCCTAATAACTTTTAAAAACTGAGCTGCACAGAAAAAATAGGACTTGAGCACAAACCAGTCTTATGTCTCATGTAACTACATGTCAACATCACAAGCAGGGGGGTGGAACATTTATATTCTGTGTAATAAATTTTTGAAGTTTGTCCACAGCCCTATAAGCTTTGCTGGCGGAGGTGGGATTTATGACCAATACTGCAGCCCATCAGCTGAGGGTGCTGTTCTTGGAGTGGCTTCACCCAGTGAGGAGGCAGACTCTGTCCATTCTTAATACAGTCTATGGGCTTCACCCATAGGAGGCAGACAGCGTCCATTATAGATAGTCTATGGGTAAAATGTAATAATATTATTATTAACAGTCCAAGACAGTCTGTAGGTTTTACATCTTTCCCCACATAAGGCACCGAAATCAACAACTAAATGAATTTTTTTATAGTAGCTTTAATCGTAGTGTTGTTGTTTCTGTGTTTAATGAGAAAACATGGATGAGGTGAAGAACTTTTGGTAATTCGTCTTAAATTTGTCAGTTAACTGTCTGTTTTCCTAAAACGGTTGAGCTGTTTTGTTTAATTTTGTTTCTTAGAGGATTTTTTGAAGTTTGATATTTTGATCGTTTGAATCCTTTTAATTTGGTAACGTTTATGCTGTACGTCACTTCCTGTGGAGGGAATTTAACCCGGAAGTGGGTGTAGTCTTTTAAGGGTGTAGTCTGTTTGAGGAAACAACGGAGAACCGAACCAGAACCAACCAGAGTCCGAAACCGGACCAGACCAGGCCGCAACAGACCTCCGGGTCAGAGTGAAGAACCAGACCGAGACGAAGCGTCAGTTTTCCCGCTTTGTTTAGAATCATCGACCGGTTAGCTGCGAACGGCTAATTAACGGGAAAGCTAACGGGGAAGTTCCGGCGCAGGTGAATTCAGGCTCGAGGCGCAGGTGTGTTTTCTTCCCGGGAATCAAACAGGTGAGGAAAAACCTCGTCCAGGTTCAGCGTTACTAACTGAATGAGCTCTAAACTGTGTTAACATGTTGAAGAGGAGGGCGGTGGTCCGGAGTTAGCATCAGGAGCTAACATGAAGAAAACGAGAGAAAAACAAACAAATCAGGTCAAAATGTTTAATTAACGAACTAATTAACTAACAGATTTAATAACAATTAAATCTAATGTCTGACACATGCGCAGAAAGAGTCCTACTTTATCTGTACAGAGGAGGATCTGACACTTTTAAAAGAGATTATTGATTATTTTAGTCAAACTGCGTCATGATCATTAAACCTATATTTCTAATATTAAATCATTAATTAACTCCTTTAATAAAGAGACAGCAGGGCTCGAGCTCTTATTGATTGTTCCTCTTATATAACCTCTTCAGAAAAAGCTGCTCTGTTCCTGGAAGATGATTTAAATAAAGATCTAACCGGGAAATAACCGCTTTCTAAGGGAACAACTCCACATATTCGAGAGATTTAATTCACACAAAACAAACTTTAACTCTTTCTTACAGTCATGATACATTAAGAGACAGTGTTTCTCAACTGGTCTCACCCTGGGACCCACATTTTCCCATGGTCCTTAAGTCGCGACCCACTTTTATAGAATTCCATCCAAGCAAATTTATTTTTTATTTAAAGAAAAACCTTTAAAGACTCAAATCTTTAACATAAATCCACTTGTTTTATTGAATAAATTGCCTTTCAGAGCACATGAAGGCAACAACATGAGGACGACAACTACTGAAGTTGCTTATACAGAAAATATTGAATATCTAATAAATCTCGCATTAAATATTTACTTTTTTGACCAGCTGTTTTTGACCCATCCAGAACATGTCCGTGACCCACTTTTGGGTCGGGACCCACCAGTTAAGAACCACTGCATTAGGAGACATGTCTAAATGTATTTATTTTTGTTTTTATATAAAGGATTTTACCTGATGGATGTACCTGCACCAACATGACCAGCCTGTAAACAGCATCATTTCCCTGAAAACTGAGATTTATTTAACACCGTCTGTTCTGAGCCCTGTGTTTCTGTTGTGTGTCTGTCAGAGGACACCTTAGACAGCCTACTGCTGAGTTTAACTAACTATAATTAGGGCTGGGCGATAAAACGATAACAATATATATCTAAAATTAATTTCCCACGATATCAATACAGGGCTCGACAGTGCAACCGTTTCACTTGCATTAGCAAATAAAAATAAATGTGTGCGAATTGTAAAATGTATTTAGGGTCACGTGCGAATAAAAAAATCAGCCAAGGTAACAAATGTTTTTTTTTTCCTGTAAATATGCCGGTGAAGTTAGTTTTAGGTTGGATATCTGACGGACATTCACTGAGGATCTAACGGTGTCTTCTCACTCTCCATAACCGGGAATAACAACAGCAGCGCAGTTAAATCTACTCAGCACCCTCGCTGTCAATGTCGGGGGTTGAATAAGTGACCATCAATAAATTACCAGTTGATGTTCTCAGAAACGGCTGTTTTCCTTCAATAGCTTCCATGTCATGTGACCAGTTGACCTAAAATTGATTTCAAATAATAATGTCGACTAATAAGACATACCTCTTATGTCCCTAATTTGTTCTCATAAATTTTAAATGTTGAATTTTAAAGGCAAATTTTGAACATTTTCTTCAGTCTTCCATGTCACGTGACCAGTTGACCTAATTGATTTGAAATAATAGTACTATGGTCGGACAATAAGACAAACATTATTTGATCAATTTTCATTGAGCCCCTAAAGTCCTTTGTGTGCTCCTTACTTTTATAAGTTAGGCGAACATGTGAAAAAATGTTGTGTCAAGCCCTGTAGTATAATACATGGTCAATATGATTTTCAAAAATCGTCATTCTGCCATGTTTTGGTAGACTATGCTAATAGCCAATGAAAAGGGAAGTTGCTCCGGGTCCGCTTCCTGCTAAACCAATCATGTGCTGAATAAGAACCTAGTATCAAACAACTGCGTAGTAGCAGACAGCAGCTAGAAAATGAGTGCTACCCCCCGACAGAAATTATGATGAAGGCTCAACAGATGATGACATCGTTGACAACACTGGCACGATAACGTTGGTGGTGTGGAGGTATTTTGGTTTTTTGAGGTCGGACATGAAGCAGAGTAATGTGGACTGTAAATTATGTTGAGTACATGTTCTCACAAAGTTGGGGAATACCTCAAATCTTTTTTCACCACCTGAAGCAGCGCCACACCGCAGAGCATGCGCAATGCAAAAGGTTACAAACCCAGAGAGGAGCAAGGAGCCCATGGCGCCTGTGCAGCCGAAATAGCTGACCATTCAATCCGCTTTCTCTAGAGCAACGCCTTATGATAAAACGTCAAAGAGACACAAAGACCTCACAGATACAGTAGATATTGTACGTGAAAAGACATGCGACCAATAAACACTTACATTTCATTTTTTATATCCTGATATATATCTATATTGACTGATATGAAAAAAACTTTGTCCCATATCACCCAGCCCTACTTATAACTGCAGACTTGAATATGAGTTGTGGGTTATAAACAGTCTCTCAGATCACAGACTCCAGTAAAGTGTACAAAAATCACCCACCAAGCTTCTGTGAACCAACATGTAAGAGGGTTGTGTGTGAGATTTAAAATCAGCCGACCTACTTCTTTTCTTTCAGTAGAACAAGAAAAGATGAGTGGAGGACTGAACAGCATCGAGGCAGTGAAGAAGAAGATCAAAGTCCTGCAGGAGCAGGCGGAGGAGGCAGATGAGAGGGCAGAGAGGCTGCAGAAGGAGGTGGAGAGGGAGAAGAGAAGCAGAGAGGAGGTACACAAACACACACACATGTACAGGTTACACAGGGAGGGACACACACCTGAATCCTCATTTATAAATATACACAACTAATGCTGTTTGAAGACATTTTACTAACGACTCTAGCCAAGATATTCACACCTGAGAGAACCGACTCTAAAATCCTGCTGCTGGTCTATAAAGTCCTGAATGGTTCTGGTCCAAAATACATCAATAATCTACTCGGTCAGTATGAACCATCCAGACCGCTCAGCCAGTGGCGGTTCTAGACCAAATTACTCCCCGGGCGAGCACCTCTCCAAGTGCCCCCCCCCCCCCAACAAAAATAATATATTTCTCAATTGCAGAAATCCTTTAATAGAAAAAAACAAAATTCTGAGGGCCATTTTCAGAAGGGCCCCCAGATCCTGAGGTTTTCTGACGTGCTAAGGTTTACAAAACAGCTGCTATCTCGGCCTCTGTAGTAGATAGAAAAAAAATTCAAAAAGTATTTGAGAGCTTAAACATGTGGCTTTCAAGAAAGCTCTCTTTCAGTTTTGCGAACCTTCATCACATTTTGAAAACCTTGAACAAACAAACTTAAATGAAATAAAGCGGCTGTATAAATAAAAGTAATGGCTCTGCACTGGAGAATGACAAATAATTTGCTTTCTGTAAAACAAGTGGCAGTCATGATAAAGTGTCCATTCAATACAAATGTAAATATAGAAAATAAGGTGTTGAAAGGGTATACAGCTGCCCCAGTATAGTGCCAGTACAAAAGCAGAACTAAACACTATAAAATGAATAAATAAATACGTGGCTGACAGTGTGTTCATCTCTGTTCTCACCCAAAGTCATGCAACACTCAGAGAAAACGCTGATAGTGTGAGCCAAAGCACTCCATATGAAGAGGTTGTTCACACTGCTGGATGTTTCTCCTCTGAAGCTGCTCTCTGCCTCCGTCATTGTTTACTTTACTCATGAAGCTCATCAAGCACGTAGCAAGATCCGAGCATGAACCCGAGCGCTTTATTCGCCTATCAAAGGCAGACGGGTACGGTGATTTCATTCACCGCGACTCCAGAAATGATTAAAAAACTACAATATGACGTGTCCGCGCTCCCGCTGATATGCTGACATGCGTACACAGAGCAGAGCTGTCCCCCCGCGACTCTCTCCCCGCCTCGTCTCCTACAGTCTGTAAGCCTCTGTGCAGCACCTTCGGAGCAAGCAGGGGCGCCTACAGCAGCGGGGGGCGCCAATTTGACAACAAGAGTTAATACAAAACCGCTGTGCGGTTAAGCTTTATTATTATTATCTTTTATTTTATTTTTTTGGAAGTGCTCGTGCCGCCCCCCATGAGTCATGACACAAATGCCGCCCCGGGCGGCTGCCCTGTTCGCCCGTGCCTAGAACCGCTACTGCGCTCAGCCCATCTGTCGCAGGTTTGCTTCCTGTCCTCAGGGTCAGAACCAGACATGGGAAAGCAGTGTTCAGTTTTAGTGCTCCTAATATCCGAACAGAAGACCTGAAAATGTCTGAGTCCTCTTAGACCGAGGTTTAACACTGACCTGTTTACAGCCGCTCAGAGTTTGATCACTTCAGCAGGTTACTTGGCTCTGTAACTTTGTAAATCTGTCTAATTTACTGTGTTTTCACCTTTTTTTATTTTCTTGCTTTGACTTTAATGTTTGAATGATTTTAAAAGTTTTCTTTCAGTCTGTTTTTCTGACCTTTTATGATTCTTGTGTGAAGCTCTCTGAACTGCGTTGTCGCTAAATGGGCTGTAGGAAAAATCTCGTCTTGCCTGTTACTCCTCGTCTGTAACCCTCACTTGACTCAGAGGTGGGACGACATAAGGAGGGAGAAGGTAGTAACAGAGGTGCAATCAGTCTGTATTATGTGTCACCAATTAACAACAAATACAATCTTGAGATTCTTCACTTTGTTATCTATGCAGGCCCAGCATCGTGAGATATGACCGAGTTCCACAAGAAACAAAGAAATATGAAGAAAAATTTAAGAAAGAAACAAAAAAACAGGAATAAATATGAACCAAGTGCTCACTACAGAGATGTCAGTATAAAGTGTGATGACTTTATTGAGGAAGAGTAACCATCTGTCTTCCTCTAAAATCACACAAAGATCATAAATGTTGAAGTAATTTGAGTGAAATCTCAAACATGAACGATAACAGAGCGCTCGGTTCACACCAGGGTTCAGTCACAGTCTAACTACATTGGCAGGAAGCTCAGACATGCAGACAGCAGAGGAGTATGAGACAAGATTGAGGCCCACAGTTTCAGCTTTGATGTTCTGACCTGGTCTCTGGTCCATGTCTTGGACCGAGTCCCTGATTTTTGTAGTCCTTCTCCAGGAGTTTTCTTTATTGGTCATCTTTGTCTTGATGCTGAAGTGTCCTCTAATGGCCTTGACCTGTTTGCACAGAGTGAGGAGTTTACTGATCCGAGCTGATATTGATTTTAACGTTTATTCTAAAATGATTGATTAATCTCTGTTCAGATTGTTATGATCAGAATTTAATGAACTCAACTGTGAGCGTGCTTTTAAAGACTACAGACAGAGCACTACAGCTCTACAGAGTGACTATCAGTGTGTGCACGTATGTTATCGAATTATCGTCCAGCACTAACACACACATACACACACACGAGGAAAACGTGTTTATGTTGTGTATCAGTTGTGTATCTTAAGTCCTAGACCAGCTGTAGGTTTCTCTGGGTCAGTTTATTCCCTGAGGGTCGCCTGACAGGCTCTGTGACTGTGAGCTCTCTATCCCTTTTCTGTGTCTGACAGGCTGAGGCAGAGGTGACGGCTCTGGGTCGCCGCCTGCAGCTCAGTGAGGAGAACCTGGACCGAGCCCAGGACCGCCTGACCACCGCCCTGCAGAAACTGGACGAGGTGGAGAAGGCCGCCGACGAGAGCGAGAGGTGCAACTCACCACCCACTCACCTGAGACTCACCTGAATCACATAACAGGCTCACCTGAGGTTTATAACAGACAGACCTGATACCCACGACTGCTAACAGGCTCACCTGAAACTCAAACAGGCTCTCCTGAGTCATACTTGAGCCACACAGCAGACTCACCTGCTGGGACATACCTGAGACATACCTGAGTCTGATAATAGTCACCTTGACTTGAGGCTCATTACAGAGTCTCCTGAGACATGTCGAACAAAAAGAACAGGTACACCAGAGCTAATATGAGATACTGAACAGACTGACTTCAGACACACACCTGTGACTGTTTTAGCTGATATCTTTCACTCACCTCCAGCCTCTCTCACCTGTCTGTTTCTCACCTGTCTGTCTCCCCTGCCAGGGGAATGAAGGTGATCGAGAACAGAGCTCTGAAGGATGAGGAGAAGATGGAGCAGCTGGAGATTCACCTGAGGGAGGCCAAACAGATCGCAGAGGAGGCCGACCGCAAGTATGAGGAGGTAGGACAACATACACAAAACAATACACACTCTATACACACACTGTACACACACTACACACACAATACACACACTAGCCATACACACCACACACTACACTCTGTATTATCACTACAAACAGCTCCTAGGGGAGGATCACAACTATGAACACAATACACAACACAATACACAATAACTCAAGTACAGAAACCGACACAAACTAATGGTTTTGAACAGGTAACACAGAAACACACACCTGACCACCTGTGACATCATGTGATGTGATAAGAGTGTATTTGATTGACAGGTGGCCCGTAAACTGATGATTATTGAAGGAGATCTGGAACGATCTGAAGAAAGGGCGGAGGTCGCAGAGAGGTACGCACGCACACACACACACACACACACACACACACATTGTGCATGTCTAACAGCTGCTCACAGCATGAAGCTGCTCTGATTGGCTCTGACAGACAGGTGCAAGTGTTTCACTCTAACAGCAGGAGAAGGAGACGCTCACCTGCTCAGGTGGCGTTCTGCTCTCACAGCTGATTGGCTGACAGAGTGGAACGCGCTGTACCTGTGATATCACGCTGATGACCCAGGCATGATGTTGCACCCATAGACTGTATATACTATGGACAACCTGGTTCCGCCTTCTGCCTGTATACGGATTTGAAGCCAGAAAGCTCTCGGTAATTCCGGGTTTTTCTCCACTTCCTTGAAACCAGAGCTGCGCAGTAGCGATGCGCGCATTCGGCCGCGCAGTCGCCGAGAGTCGCTGTGATGACACTCGGCTCAAACAGCGTATCCCCCTGGGTGAGCTACGCAATCCCTGAACGCCCATAGGCTGTACCAGGTGTCAATCATAGAAAACATGAACCCCCTAATAACTTTTAAAAACGGAGCTGTACAGAAAAAAGAGGACTTGGGCACAAACCAGTCTTACAATAACTACATGTCAACATCAAAAGCAGGGGGGAGAAAAATTTATGTTCTGTGTAATAAATTTCTAAAGTTTGTCCACAGTCCTATAAGCTTTGCTGGCGGAGGCGTGATTTATGACCTGTACTGCAGCCCACCATCAGAGGGTGCTGTTCTTGGAGTGGCTTCACCCAGCGAGGTGGCAGACTCTGTCCATCTTATATACAGACTATGGTTGCACGGCTTCACTGACAGCGCTCTAATCCTGCTGCATCCATCTTTCTCTTCCTGTCTGTTTCCATGGAAACGTCATGCTACCTGCCCATCCACCTGCCTTTCTTTCCGCCTGTCTGTCTGTCCGTCTAACAGTAAAGTTAGGAGGTTGGAGGAGCAGCTGAGGAGTTTCGACCAGTCACTGAAGAGCCTGCAGGCATCTGAGGATAAGGTACAGTGGGTCACCTGAGCGCCCACCTGCTGTCAATCACCCACCTGCGGCTCCTCCTCCTTCTGCTGCCTCACCTGACCTCTGACCTCTGATCACAGCTGTTGCTTCAGCTCCTCCTCCTGCTGCTCTGCATGGCTTTAACTGCTGCATCCAACTAGGCACAAACTATGAGTTAACTACACACGAACTACAAGCTAACTGCAAACTAACTACACAATAACTATATAAAACCATATAGTCTTGATAGTACACACTAACTACATTAACTACATACTGGCTACATAAAACTGTATAGTCTATGAACTACACAGAAACTACATACTAACAATGCACAAACTACACACAAACTACACAATAACTGCATAAACCTAACTACAAGCGAACTACACATGAACAACACAATTACACACAAACTACGCATAAACTATACACTAACTACATAAAACCGTATAGTCTATAAAGAACACACAAACTGCACAATAACTACACACTAACTAAACACGAACTACATAATAACTACGCACAAACTATAAACTTACACGCTATACACATAAAACCATATAGTCAAAGTACACACAAACCACACACAATCTACACACTAAAAATGCACTGACTACACACAAACTACACAAAACATCATAAAACCATATAGTCTTAAAAGCACACACGAACTACATACTGGCTACATAAAACTATATAGTCTATGAACTACACACAAACTACACACTAAAAACACACAAACTATGCACAAACTACACACTAACTACAAGCTAACTACACACTAAAATACACACTAACTACACAGAAACTACATACTAAACTACATACGAACAATGCACAAACTACACATAAACCACACACAAACTACACAATAACTGCATAAACTACACACTAACTATAAGCGAACTACACATGAACAACACAATTACACACAATCTACGCTTAAACTATACACTAACTACATAAAACCATATAGTCTATAAAGAACACACAAACTGCACAATAACTACACACTAACTAGACATGAACTACACAATCATTACGCACAAACTATATACTTACAAACTATACACATAAAACCATATAGTCAAAGTACACACAAACTACACGCCAACAACATAAAACCATAAAGTCTATAAAATACACTAACTACACACTAAAGGCACACTCACTACATAAAAATGTTAAGGCTATTAAGTACACACTAACAACACACAAACTACGCACTAACCAAATAAAACCACAGTCTATAAAGTAAACAAAAAAACATACAGCCTATTAAGTACACACAAACTACGCACTAACCACATAAAACCACAGTCTATAAAGTACACACTAGCTAAACACCAAACTACACACTAACTACATAAAAATATCTAGTCTATTAAGTATACACTAACTACACACAAACTACACACTAAATACACAGAAACTACACACTATACTACACACTAACTACAAACTAACTACACACTAACTGCATAATACAGTATAGTCTATAAAGTACACACTAACTACATAAAAACAAAGTCTATAAAGTACACACAACTACACGATAACTACACAATTACTACACACTAAATACACACAAACTACTCTTACTATACACTAAACTACACACTAACTACATAAAACCATATAGTCTATAAAGTACACACAAACTACACACTAAATACACACAAAGTACATAAACCAATATAGTCTATAAAGTACACACAAACTACACACTAACTTCACACAAACTACACACTAACTACATAAAAACACAGTCTATAAAGTACACACTAACTACACACACTGCACAAACTTAATTTTAACACCATAATCTACCTTCAGATTTAAACCCGTTCAACACAATCCACTGACAAAGTACTGACACTACACTTCAACTTCACACATGAAATACACACACATAGACTACATTTTAAAACTACACAAACTACACACAAACTATCCTCAAATTACACAGTCTGCGACTAATCTACTCATACCACTTAAACATCACACACGACATTTGAAAACCACACACAAACTACACACCACATCAAACTACTCTCAAACAATGCTGGAACTACACAGAAACTGCTCGGCACTACTGTGGGTGGGGTCGGTTCAGGTATCAGGTGAGATAAACTCTGAGGTGTGTCCCTGCAGGGAGGCAGGAGGCGCTGTTTCCCTGTTCTCTCCTGTAAGGCGTTAATGTTCCTCACAGGTGACAACAGTTGATCAGGGTTTAAACCTCACCTGTTTACCTGAGCAGAGCCCTCAGAACACAGACACACCGGTCTGACCTGTCTCTGATGTGACCTTTGACCTGCAGTAAAGCCCGAACTCTGGAGGAGGAGCTGAAAAATGTCTGCATTAGTTCAAAGTCTCTACAGGCCATGGCAGAGAAGGTAGGAGGAGGAGGAGGAGGAGGGGGTTAGGAACTCACCTGCAGCAGGTGTGATTAAGGACTGATACATCCAGAACTGTCTTAATACCTGATTGGCTGTTAGTCAGTGTTCCTCTTTTCTGATTGGCGGTTTGTCTCTCTTAGTATTCTATGGAAGAGGAAAAGTACGAGGAGGAGATCAGGAAGCTGACCAGCAAACTGAGAGAGGTCAGAGCAAACTTCATAAACTTTTTTTATTACCTGCTGTCTTCTTGTGTGTTACCTTCTGTTTGCAATATTTTTTTTGTAGGATGGTAGGGGAAGGTCCCGCCCTTCTTCGCCTCTAAATTTGCTCTAGAGGCACCAATCGTGCTGGGCTCCGATTGGTTATTCCTTATGGCTATGAAATGTCATCGTCTGTCAGGTTAGGAGATTGAGAATTGCGATAATGTTCTGTTCGATGTAGAGAGCCGACAGCCCATGTTCGGCTTGAGCGTGTGATGATGTTTCCAGTAGGGCCAGACCGATATGGATTTTTTGGGGCCGATACCGATTATTAGTGGGGGAAAAAATCTGATTACCGATTATCTGGCCTATTTTTAAACAATTTTTATGAAGTTCTAAAATTTTGTTAATTTGAGTAACATATCTACATATTTACTTTTTTTTTTTTCAAACACTTCTTCAAAGAATTAAAGGCAGAAAACTCATTTCAAATCCTTTTTATTGCTAAACATTAAGCATGTGTTTACATAATATGAATTCTTTTCAGCTTATTATTCAGACTGTAGCGGGTGTGAGTCTGATTATTTTGTCAACCTCCATCATGTCAAACTCACACACTCGTCATCCTCTAAAAGAAATAGCCTGTATAAATAAGTTAAAATGAAGCTAACTCGCGTACATCATAAAAAACAACTTGACACTTGATATACTGTAGGCTACTGGTCTTCACACCAACAGGGAGACCAACTGATCATCTCAGTAATATTCCTCGCATTTATCATGAATCAAACTCAGACCAGAAAAGCGTTTTCAACTACCCCCCCTCCCCACCGATCGGTGCCTCCACGTCTTAACTCACGTTACTCATTTCTGGTCCAGTCTCATCTGGAGACATGCAGCTGCCTCAGTAAGAGAAGTAGCTCGATCACATAATGTGTACTGCTGTTTATTCTACCGTTACTGGCACGGCTAACAGTGTAGCAAGGCTAATAGCAGATGGCTAACTCTAACTTTAGCTTGCATATTACATGGTGCTTCACCATTAACTCGGCGTGACCGAGACCAGCACAGGGGGGAACATGGTGAAGTGGGTTGAACTAAAACTTGTTGAACTGAAAACTGATTGTGTATTTCACAAACTGTTTTATTTACCCTTGAGGCGGACCACTCTCCTCTGTGCGTCCCTGCCACTGCCTGCTTCATATCTGTCACTCTGCTGTGCTGTGAGGTAGTTAGTGGATGAAGATTGTCAAGAGGTCGCCGCACCATCTACTGGATAAGTCGGGGAACTTTTTAAATGGCGGAACATTTTCAAAGTGAAAACAAATCTTATTCTCTGCATTTTACTTCTGAAAATATCAGCGAAAATCGAGGGGTTTTGGCCTATTACAGAGTACTCTCAAATGGGCTAAAATTGGCCGATTTAATCAGCACGCCAATAAATTGGTTGGGCCCTAGTTTCCAGTTTTTCTAGCCAACAAGAGGCAAGGGAGGTGGGACCTTCCCCTACCATCCTACGAAAAACATATCACCTTCTGGCTTCCTGTTTGTCACCTGTGTCCCTCTGTTCCAGGCTGAGTCCAGGGCTGAAGTTGCCGAGCGTACGGTGGTGAAACTGGAAAAAAATATCGATGGCCTGGAAGGTAAGGATCCGATTTAATGCAAGACGTCTCTCTCTCTCTCACCATCTCTGTTCTCTCTCTCTCTCTCTCTCTCGCTGTCTCACCCTCTCTCTCTCTCTTTCTCTCTAGGTCTATCTCTCTCTCTGTCTCTTTCTCTCTTCTCTGTCTCTCTCTCTCTCTTTCTCTCTTCTCTGTCTCTCTCTCTCTGTCTCTCTCTAATCAAATGTTATAATTCAGACTAACTGACAACGATTCGTCCTCTCAATCCGATGGTGTGATGTTTATTTTTTTTTTTTTTCAGACGCTCTGACCTCGGCCAGAAACGCCAACATGGAGCTGCAGGCGACCCTGAATCAGACCATGGAGGAGCTGAACTCCTGCTGAACCTCCTTCCCTCGCTGCCCCCCCCCTTAATGCTCTCCTCCCTCCCTCCCCCTTTGCTTCCTGATAGACTGGTGTCAGGGACTTTGTGGCCAAAACATTCCATGAAAAACCTCCCCCCTCCTCCTTCCTGCTCCTGTTGGGGAGGTCGGGGTTGAACTTTTCTCCCCCCCCTCCTCTTTTTATCTCTAACTGATTCCTGCTCCTCTGGATTGGGAGTGTTGCTTTGACTAACTTCTCCTCCTCCCCCCTCTCCTCTCCTCACCCCCTGCTCCTCCTCCTCAGTATTATGTGAGGGAGGTGAGAGGGGGAGGAGGAGGAGGTGCAGATATGTTTTGTGTGTATAAGGGAGTTTAACACCGACTTACAGCCATTCCTTTGTGAATTAACCACTAATTCCCTCTGAGTGTTTCCGTCTCAACGGTCCGTCTCTCAGCTCCTCGCTTCATTCGCCGTCTGTTAGAGCCAATCTCATGTTAGCCAATGAGCTGTCTGTGTTTTAAAGGGGGGCAATCACAGCGAGGCATTCCACTGCCGTGTATAAGGCAGCCCATGGGCCAATCAGAGTGCAGAGACGCATCCACTTATTCCTACAGGTGACCTTTGACCTGATGCCATGAACAAATAAAGTTTAAAAAGTTTTTATCGGGAGGCCAGTGACGTCATCGCCGCTCTGATGTCATCGCCGCTGTTACAGCTCATTGTAATTAATCATGAGACAGATTTTATAAAATAAAAGCACTGTTACTGGTTTGTTGATCCAACATGACTGACTTTTATTTTGTTAACAGGAAATGAAAATGACGGTCACACATTTAATTCAAACTTTTTTTCTTTATTGAATTAATTAATTTATTAAAACAAAACAAAAAAACCCCATCAAGAACCAAAAAAGGTTTCATAAAACTTTCACCACTTTTCTCAGAAGAACTTAATTACATATGACGGAGTATTAGGGCTACATTAAGAAAAATAAAAATGAAGACTTCGAGGTTAAAGTCATTAATTTATGAGAATTAGTCATTACTAACGAGAATTAAGCCTGTAAGACCCAGTGTTGCAGAATTACAACAATTTTGGTTATCCCCAAAAAACATTTTTTTTTTTAGTTCAACCACATTGACATGATCATTGGGTCCTATTGTTTGTTCTCACAATGCGATTTCATCCAACATTTGTATATAAGGCCCGTCCTCAGGTGAAGAAGTCACACAAACATCAATTTTTTGATCGAGCAACATCCCTTCGATTTACTGGACTGGATTCATCTGATTGAAGTAAGTAAAATGCTTTGAATATTTTTTGTGTGTTTATTACAATGTGTATAACATGAACATATGTAGGTATTGTGGAAAATATGCCTTACATTTTATTTAGAGCTTGTTTTATAATTGTTGCAATATTACAACGTTGGGTCAAAGTGGTAGCCAAAACAGCCCTGTTTTTGAGAGGAATGTCTTGAGAGGAACTTCAATCAAAATTTTCACAATATAATTTTAAACTACACATGATTTACAAATTCTAGCCTTAGCCTTATATTACATTACATATTTTATTGTATTAGAAACTATATATTAAGATATATTGCTGTATCTAAACACTTTCATTTACTTATGATTTCTAACCACCTTCAACACTCAGTATTTTCTCCTTATCACAGAATGCAGGACTTTCTAACAAAGAAATTCTGTTTGTGCATGTCTGCCCTTTGTCTTAGTCTTTATTGATAAGAAAATGCTCCTATCAATTCTTAGTCAAAGCAGTTGTGGGGGATGCTCCTGGTACATTTGAGGCATTGTTCTGGAACAAGTATTGATGTTCATAGATGTAGGTGTGGTTGTAAACTGTAGGCTACATGTAATCCTATTACGGTGATAAACACAGTGTTTTAGTCTCTATTGATAAGAAAATGTTCCTATCAATTCTTAGTCAAAGCAGTTGTGGGGGATGTTCCTGGTGCATTTGTGGCATGGTTCTGGAACAGGTGTTAATGTTCATGGATATAAGGTGTGGTTGTAAGCTGGAGGCTACATGCATTCTCATTACGATGATAATCACAGTCTCCAATAGGTCAATAGGTCAGTATTGTGTGACCAGTGAAATGTGTGAACAGGCTACTTCAGTGCAAAGTGTAAACACTTCATAATGAAATCAGTCTCCCCACCACCCCATCCTTTCTGTTGGCCATCTCGAATCTAGTAGGCATGTGTGTTATTTGTATATACATTTATTTCAATTTAATTTTTTCCATTTCAGAATGCCACTTGCAAGGGGAGATCCTTGGTACAGTGTGCAGGATGTAACTGCCATAATCCAAAACGGAGAGAGTGATGTGGACATGGATTTCGACGACACTGATAAATGTGGATGTGCACACAGACTTTACTCGACATTTTCCACTGAAGACGAAGAGAGGACGCTGCAGACATTGCAGTAAAGGCTAATACCCAAATTAAGTGCGATGCTGTGAGACTGGGTTGGATATTTGCCTCTGTTTTTCAGAGGACAAGAACTGCTTATAATGTAAATAATAAGCAGTTCTTGCTGGAATAAATTACTCTTATTAACAACATGACTGAGATAATTATTCATGTTATATACTGATTTGGGAACGGCAAAACCCTGCAAATGATCCTTAGTTCTGTATTGCTGTTCAGACAAGGAGTGGAAATACAGGAGATTCTGCTCCCCATTAAGCCCAACGTTGCAATATTACAACATTTCCATAAAAACTTACTATAACATAAATTTTTTGAAAACACTCCATTTTCACCCCCAAAAGCCTCCTACAACAACATCTGAATGGTTGAAATTTTTTTTTTTCGTTTTCTATATTTGGGTTTTACAGGGTTAAGTCACACTAAAATAATTACGAGAAAGTCGTACTTAAGTAATCACTTATGATAAAGTTGTAGAAAAGTCATTACTTATGAGAATGAAGTCGTAGTAAAATCCTTATTCACGAGAATTAAGTTGTAATAAAGTAATTACAGTAATACTGCAGCAAATGGGATAATTTTTAATTTAATTTTTTTGTGCAGATGCTTATATTGATGGACACTGAGAATATGACTTCAAATTTTTCACCAGGTCAAAAATACGCTCTGGGCAAATTTTAATCCGTTGTTAACGCTCAGTGGCTAAAAAAAGCCACTAACTTGACTGCTGTAAAAACACATTGGTTAATATTTTTTTCCATTTTTTTTCATACATCTCTTAATTAACTTCTGCTTTGATCAAAACTAGTAAATGTTTCATCTAAAAACATTTTTTTTAACCCTTTGAGGGTCCATTCAAAACATAATGTCACTGATATGGTAGAAAATGAATCTAATAAAATTCTGTAATTTTCCTCCCATTTTTTTCCCAATATTAGTGACTTTATGTTTTAAATGGGTCCTTAAAGGGTTCAAATTTGGATTCTTAATGAAACATTTACTAGTTTTGAATAGAGCAAAAGTTAATTAAGAGATATATGAAAAAAAAATCTGGAAAAAATATGAATCCAATATGTTTTTACAGCAGTCAATGTCAGTGGCTGTTTTTAGCCACTGAGCGTTAATAAAGGATGTAAATCTAAGGGTTACACAAGGGAGCTGTGGTTCAGTCGTTGTTTCTCTCAGATGACTCAAAGATCAACTCCAGCTGATCTTTACAGCGTCTCTACACCTGAACTCCTCTCAGGAACTCCTGCTTCTCAGGTGAGTTTTCATCTCTGCCTCACTTTGAAAGGTCAGAGGTCAAAATTCGTTATAGATCAGCTGCTTCCTCCGCCAGCTTCAGAATTGACTGAAGTTGTTCTTCTAACGAAGGGGCGTTGGCCTCGTTAGTGATGATCCAATCAAAATGAACCCCACTGTCCAGACCACACTCTGACTCAGCATCATCTACACCTGAGAGACAGACAGGTGAGTGAACAGACAGGAAAGAGATAGACAGGTGAGAGAACAGACAGGTGAGTGATCAGACAGGTGAGAGAAAAGACAGGTGAGTGATCAGACAGGTGAGTGAACAGACAGGTGAGTGAACAGACAGGTGAGAGAAAAGACAGGTGAGTGATCAGACAGGTGAGTGAACAGACAGGTGAGTGAACAGACAGGTGAGAGAAAAGACAGGTGAGTGATCAGACAGGTGAGTGATCAGACAGGTGAGTGAACAGACAGGTGAGTGATCAGACAGGTGAGTGAACAGACAGGTGAGAGAAAAGACAGGTGAGTGATCAGACAGGTGAGTGAACAGACAGGTGAGAGAACAGACGGGTCATCAGAATATTAGACAGGTAAGAAGACAGACAGACAGACAGACAGGGTCATCTCACCTGCGGTGTAGCTCCACCCCCTCTGTTTGCGTGTTTCCTCTGAACACTGGACTCGGACGCTCTGGGTCTGTCTGGGAAACTCTGACTTGAACCACTCCAAGTCAGTGCGCCGCCTCGCATCACTAACCACCTGACCAATCATAGAGCAGGAGTTTGGAACATGTCAGGTGAGAATAGAGAAGAAAAGGTGGACAGTGACGTACCCACACAGGTTGCCGCACTCCTCTGGTTGCTAGGCGACAGAAGTACCCAGGGTCCTGCCGCCTTTGGGTTTCTCCCCAAAGGATCATGTCAGCCCGGTACTTCTCCTTATATGGACCCGGACCCAGCAGCTGGGTCAGGTCCAGATCATGTTCCTGCAGGACCAACAGACCATACTGATACAGCTGTTACCATGGAGACAGGCTCACAAATCAACACTTATGAAATGTTTGTAATTGAACTTAAGTATAACATAGAAACATCTGACAAAAAGATCTAAAAACACTGAAGCAGCAGAACATGTGAAAATGTGTATGGAAGTAAATCTGTGCCATCTGATTTTGAATTTAAATTTCTAAAGCTGAATTCTTTTTGCATCAAAATCAGACTTTGAATTGCAAAACCATCGAATTTCAAGCACGCATTTTTATTTCTGACACTTATTTTTTTCACAATGATGAAATAAAAAAAAAAAATATTGAAATATTATTATATCTTCTGCAGGACTGCCCCTCCCCCGCCCCCCACTTCTACATTAGTATGGTCTCTTTGCATTACTACGTTTTGCTAACTGTGATACACAACTGGACTGTCAATATTTCATATGCACTAGCACAGGGGTCGGCAACCTTAAACACTCAAAGAGCCACTTGGACCAGTTTCCCACAGAAAAGAAAACACAGGGAGCCACAAAACCTCTTTGACATCTAAAATGAAGATAACATTGCATATATCTTTTTTTTTTAACCTTTATACAAAGTATATAAAAAACTGTAGCGAGTTGCATTTATGAAGTAAATGAACTATTTCGGCGAGTGTCTGTCTTCTTCTGTAGTTAAACTGCAAGATATCAAAATCTACCCGGATACAGCAATGCTGCTTTTTGATTGGCTGTTCAGTAGATATAATTTATTTGATTGGCTTGTGCGTGGCACGCAGCTTCTGAACTCTCAGAGGAACTCAGTTGATTTCCCCCAGTTCCATAGTTGAAGAAATGCAACTTGGTGGACATCACCGTGTTCATTTAGATGCGTGAGAAATACAATGTGTGGTGTGTGAGCGTGTGAACGAGTGGGAATGCGTGTGTCATACGCTGAATGCGTGAGACTTGAGAGCCCTGTGCTCGCGCATCATCGATGTACTCCCGAGCCATGCAAAACGGTCTTTGCAATTGTTGCACTGAACGCCTTCCTTTTCAGTCTTGGTGAAGTTTTCCCACACCACTGATGTCTTAGGTCGGGATTTAGGTTGTGTTGTGTTGTGTCCATGTTTTTCTGAGCCGCTGCCTCGGCCATGGCTGTTTCTTTTCTGTGCGTCCTGCTAATGTTTACACACCGGTGTCCATGGACATATATAAAGACCCGACGAATCGATTACAGAATTTGTTGGCAACGGATTTTTTCGTCACGACGAATCTACTTAATCGATTCGTTGTTGCAGCCTTAATAGTTTATTTAATGTTACAAGAGCATTATAATCTTTGAATTTAGAATTACAAAATAATAATAATAATAATAAAATAAAATAAAATGCAATTAAGTATTTATTATTTATTTTCCAAATCCATTGGGAGCCGCAGCTTAGGGAAGACAGAGCCGCATGCGGCTCCAGAGCCGCGGGTTGCCGACCCCTGCACTAGCACTATTGCACTTTGGGACATTATATATTATTTATTTTTCTCTATTTACGATTATTGATATTGTGTACTGGATGCCAGTGGTGGTGGGGATGCTTCATACAAATTTCGTTGTTAACTTTGTTCAGCAATGACAATAAATAAAAAAAAATTCAACATAAAAAAAATTCAGTGTCAAAGAGGCTGACTCAAATCTGGGTAATCAGGGAAAAGCAATTGATTCCTCAATCTTCCACTGGGGTGGGCGTCATATGACCAATCTTAGCATTAATTGATTGGCTGGACAATGGATGATTGAGCCAGGAATCAAACGCTTCTTCCTGGTTACCCAGATGTTGAGTCGGTCTGTTTTACACTAAATTTTTTTTATGTTGAATTTTTTTACACTTTTTTTTTAAGTTGAATTTTTACTAAACTTATATTTTGAGGGACTAATTTTTTTTTACACTGAATTTGTTTCATCATTGTAAAGTAAGTATCAGAAATAAAAATGCGTGCTTGATATTTGATAGTTTTGAAATTCAAAGTCTGATTTTGATGCAAAAACAAATTCAGCTTTAGAAATTCAAATTCAAAATCATTATATATTATATATATGATGATAATAACATCAAGATTATATTTTGTTATATTAAATTTTGTTATATTATATTATATTATGTTACATCATGTTATATCATATGATATTATATTATGTTACATTATATTTTATTGTTATATTATATTATATTGTGTTGTATTATATTATGTTATATTTTATTACATTAGATTATGTCATATTATATTATAATGTATTATGTTATATCATATTATGTTATATTATATTTTGTTATATTATGTTGTATTATGTTATATTATATCCAATTATATTAATATCATATTATATTATGTTATTTTATATTATTTTATATTGTATTATGTTATATTATATTATGTTATGTCATATCATGTTACATTACATTATATTTTTTACTATATTATACTTTACTATTCTATATACCGTCTGAGATCTAAACAAACAAATTCTAGTTCTGTTTTTACCTGACAGTACCGGTTCTGTTTTTACCTGACAGTACTGGTTCTGTGTGAGTTCTGGTCTTACCTGAGCATACTGCTGTTTTAGAGGACCGGACAGACGCAGGACGCAGCACACCTGAGGACCCAGACTGTAGAGGAAGAAGAGTCACACACCTGGATTGACACACCTGTACACTTGGGGCCTATTCTACGAAGCAGGTTCAACAGTTCTACCGCGCAGGTTCTACCGCGCTTGACTTAGCGCGGCAGAACTGTGCTAGTCCTCGTAAGTGGATCCAGCTTTGCTATGAGCGCGTGCATGTAAGGCGGAGCCCGCCGCATCTGACCAATTGATTACAGGGACCAGTCTGGAGCGTCAGAGCAGGCCGGAGAACGAAGAACCGCGTACTTTACAAACGAGGAGCAGGAGACCATCATGGGAAAGTATGAAGAATTCAAATCTATCATAAACCTTAGTCACCACTGCAAAAGCACGGAAGGAATGCTGGCAGAAAATTGCTGACAGTTTCAATGCGGAAGTATAGTGCGCAAAAAAATCTTTGATGCCATTATCATCCTGAAATAGCACTGTTTAACATGCGCTTTTAACATGCACCAGACATGTCTAATTCATTTCCAAGATGAATTCATTCATTTGTTCATTCCTATCGTGTTTACATTTTTTGTGCGATATGTAGGCCATATGAGCCTTTCACAAAGGTGGTCATCTGGAAAAGTAAGTGGGTCCGTGCGGTCCCTGAAAACTCTCGCGCGCTGGAGTGCTCCTCGGACAATGCGAGCACTGAGGTCTACACCGCCATCTTGTGGCGGCGCCATTGCTGCGGTGTGCGAGATCATGATGTTGTCATGCTATCAACAAATAAAGGTATGCTAGTAAATAGTGTCTGAGAGCATCATTGACAGCATGAGTAAAGTCACCAGAGGCCTGTACTACGAAGCTGGATTTGGTCTTAGTGAGATAACTTCTGGGTTTTCCGTACTACGAAGGTGGATCTCTTTTAATCCGGGTCCGTTGCCCCGGTAACTTACGCGGAACGCCAAACCTGCTCCGGAGCAGGTTATGTTTCAGGATAACATCTCAGCAGGTATAAAAGACCGCCCGATGACCAATCGGATATCTTGGAAAATGGCTTGCCCACTTTTGCCGTATCCCGGGGACATCGTTGCACGGATAGTGAGAGGAGCGCTTCGCTGAGAGCGTTATATTCATGATCATTCAAATCCGTTTGATTTACCTGATGACGTTCTCTATGAACGTTACAGGTTTTCCTCGGACAGCCTCAATATTCAGGTAGCATGAAGTCTAAGCAGTGCACAAATATTTGCCAAGCTCCAGGTTCCAATTTCACGCAGCATATCAGTCATCATTCAGAATGTATTGAAGCACATTAGAAAACTCTTAACCCCAAATGTGTCTGCAGATGACATGTGATCATCAGATGATGGAGAAAAAAGAAAAAAAGGCAGAGTGAGGAAATCACTGTTTACGCGTTGAAATGTGTACAAATAAAATCTTCCAATAAACTTACAAACTACTTTAAAGGATGTTTTTAGATTTATTTTCATTTGCTCCCACGTACTCTTTTCCCCACTGCTGTTGTATCTGAAATAATGAGGTCTATGATGGAGGTGATCACACACGCTGCATGACAACATATTAGGGGGCCATAAATTTATGAACGCACAAATGTAATTTACACAATCGATGATTTTTTTTGCCAGCAGTCCCTCAGGCTTTTAGCGGCTGCGGCTGTCCTGCTCCTCACTGTTATAATGTTGCAGTACTCCTCGTATTTGCGTAAAATAATGCTCTGTTCCTCGGCTGTGAAAAATGACGTGCAGCCTTCTCCATTGTGGAGATTGGTCCGGTGGCACTGACCTCACCCCCTTTACGTGTGCGCGCACAGATCTGAAGTGGCCACTCCTGGGCTGTGTCCGAAATGGCATACTACTCCTACTACTCCTACTAACCCCGCCTCTGAATTGAGTAGGCCAGGGGTCGGCAACCCGCGGCTCTGGAGCCGCATGCGGCTCTTTCTTCCCTAAGCTGCGGCTCCCAATGGATTTGGAAAATAAATAATAAATACTTAATTGCATTTTATTTTATTTTATTATTATTATTTTGTAATTCTAAATTCAAAGATTATAATGCTCTTGTAACATTAAATAAACTATTAAGGCTGCAACAACGAATCGATTAAGTAGATTCGTCGTGACGAAAAAATCCGTTGCCAACAAATTCTGTAATCGATTCGTCGGGTCTTTATATATGTCCATGGACACCGGCGTGTAAACATCAGCAGGACGCACAGAAAAGAAACAGCCATGGCCGAGGCAGCGACTGAGAAAAACATGGACACAACCCAACCCAAATCCCGACCTAAAACATCAATGGTGTGGGAAAACTTTACCAAGACTGAAAAGGAAGGCGTTCAGTGCAACATTTGCAAAGACCGTTTTGCATGGCTCGGGAGTACATCGATGATGCGTGAGCACAGGGCTCTCAAGTCTCACGCATTCAGCGTATGACACACGCATTCCCACTCGTTCACACGCTCACACACCACACATTGTATTTCTCACGCATTTAAATGAACACGGTGATGTCCACCAAGTTGCACTTCTTCAACTACGGAACAGGGGGAAATCAACTGAGTTTCTCCGAGAGTTCAGAAGCTGCGTGCCACGCACAAGCCAATCAAATAAAGTATATCTACTGAACAGCCAATCAAAAAGCAGCATTGCTGTATCCGGGTAGATTTTGATATCTTGCGGTTTAACTACAGAAGAAGACAGACACTCGCCGAAATAGTTCATTTATTTCATAAATGCAACTCGCTACAGTTTTTTATATACTTTGTATAAAGGTAAAAAAAAAAAGATGTATGCAATGTTATCTTCATTTTAGATGTCAAAGAGGTTTTGTGGCTCCCTGTGTTTTCTTTTCTGTGGGAAACTGGTCCAAGCGGCTCTTTGAGTGTTTAAGGTTGCCGACCCCTGGAGTAGGCAGTGCGTTCACACTGTACAGTATGCGAATTTTGTGTATGCGAGAAATGCCCGGATGTATACTCAATCGGCTTCGATTTCTGAGTGTGGAACGGAGCTTGCTTCACGTACTGCTTCTGCCCCACAATGCATTGCGCACCTCAGCTGGTAATATGGCCCTCTTTTCCCCGAGGCTGAAAAGAAATAGATGGCATGTGATTGCAATCATAATTATATATATATAAATAGATAAACAATATTTAGTCAGTATACATTACACAATTCTTATCATTTTGATCTTTTTACCAGATTTATTTGTATTTTAAATTAGGATTATAGGTAATGTTTTTAACTATTCGTATGAATTGACTTTATTTATTTAAGTATTAAGTTTGAGCATCTTCTCATCTCTGAATGCACCATCAAAGTGGTCACTCATATTAAGCACAGACCTCTGATTAATAAAAATTATTATTGGTAGAGAGCACATGGTTCAGAATATACACTCACTGGCCACTTTATTAGGTACACCTGTCCAACTGCTCGTTAACACTTAATTTCTAATCAGCCAATCACATGGCGGCAACTTAGTGCATTTAGGCATGTAGACATGGTCAAGACAATCTCCTGCAGTTCAAACCGAGCATCAGTATGGGGAAGAAAGGTGATTTGAGTGACTTTGAACGTGGCATGGTTGTTGGTGCCAGAAGGGCTGGTCTGAGTATTTCAGAAACTGCTGATCTACTGGGATTTTCACGCACAACCATCTCTAGGGTTTACAGAGAATGGTCCGAAAAAGAAAAAATATCCAGTGAGCGGCAGTTCTGTGGGCGGAAATGCCTTGTTGATGCCAGAGGTCAGAGGAGAATGGCCAGACTGGTTCGAGCTGATAGAAAGGCAACAGTGACTCAAATAACCACCCGTTACAACCAAGGTAGGCAGAAGAGCATCTCTGAACGCACAGTACGTCGAACTTTGAGGCAGATGGGCTACAGCAGCAGAAGACCACACCGGGTGCCACTCCTTTCAGCTAAGAACAGGAAACTGAGGCTACAATTTGCACAAGCTCATCGAAATTGGACAATAGAAGATTGGAAAAACGTTGCCTGGTCTGATGAGTCTCGATTTCTGCTGCGACATTCCGATGGTAGGGTCAGAATTTGGCGTCAACAACATGAAAGCATGGATCCATCCTGCCTTGTATCAACGGTTCAGGCTGGTGGTGGTGGTGTCATGGTGTGGGGAATATTTTCTTGGCACTCTTTGGGCCCCTTGGTACCAATTGAGCATCGTTGCAACGCCACAGCCTACCTGAGTATTGTTGCTGACCATGTCCATCCTTTTATGACCACAATGTACCCAACTTCTGATGGCTACTTTCAGCAGGATAATGCGCCATGTCATAAAGCTGGAATCATCTCAGACTGGTTTCTTGAACATGACAATGAGTTCACTGTACTCAAATGGCCTCCACAGTCACCAGATCTCAATCCAATAGAGCATCTTTGGGATGTGGTGGAACAGGAGATTCGCATCATGGATGTGCAGCCGACAAATCTGCGGCAACTGTGTGATGCCATCATGTCAATATGGACCAAGCTCTCTGAGGAATGCTTCCAGCACCTTGTTGAATCTATGCCACGAAGAATTGAGGCAGTTCTGAAGGCAAAAGGGGGTCCAACCCGTTACTAGCATGGTGTACCTAATAAAGTGGCCGGTGAGTGTACAAACGGGGGAGTTTCCAGTTGACAATGTATGTGAGCTTTACTAATTCTTACTTGTGGTTGAAAATCTGATGGTTTCTGAAATTATCATTGTACATGAAAAGAAGGTAGTCGGGAAATTATGTATTTGCCAAGGAATAACCGAACGAGGTCATAATAATTATGTTGTGTGTTGGTCATTTTGCAGCCCTCTGCTGCTCATCACACGCCTAGCAGGTGGTGTATAGCATTATCACTATGGATACACAGATGTTTGTGTGATTTTTGTCATCCACTGCCGCCCGGTTTGTGTCGTGTAGATGTTGATTATGAAAACACTTCTCAATAATTTGGAAACGTGAAGGGGGAGCTGCTGCTGCCCGGTGTTTACGGTAAATAGACGCAAACACCCACCAAGCGGACGCTTCGGTCTCCGAAAACGCCGAGACAGATTTACAAACAGCCACTATTTCAAACAACTGGGCTCATAATCGTGATGTAAACACTTACTTTATCGCTAGAAAAAATATTATTATTGAATGAATTTATATAATTTGTCCGGAATGCAGTCGTTCTGTGTAGCTTGTGGTAGGACTATTCAAATTTTCCCGGCGCTGCGTCCGGCCGGCACGAAATGCATTCTGGGGTATTTAGTATGCGTCTGTATGTAAACGCTCGTGCAGCCGCGGCATTCTCAAATCATCTTTGAGTAGTCAGTAGGCAGTAGCTACTGCTTGAGTAGGTAAGTAGATAGTAGGCAGTATGCCATTTCGGACACAGCCATAGATTCAGTTATCGAGTTGATAACCGGCTTCGTAGTACAGCTGATCGGGATCGCGGAGATCCGGTGAAGTTGAGCGAGTTGTCGCAGAGTTATCCTGGATGTGTTAATCCAGCTTCGTAGTACAGGCCTCAGAGCATTTTACGAGGAGTACTGCAACATTATAACAGCGAGGAGCAGGACAGCCGCAGCCGCTAAAAGCTGGAGGGACTGCTGGCAAAGAAAATCATCGATTGTGTAAATTACATTTGTGCGTTCATAAATTTATGGCCCCCTAATATGTTGTCATGCAGCGTGTGTGATCACCTCCATCATTGACCTCATTATTTCAGATACAACAGCAGTGGGGAAAAGAGTACGTGGGAGCAAATAAAAATAAATCAAAAAACATCTTTTAAAGTAGTTTGTAAGTTTATTAGCAGATTTTATTTGTACATATTTCAACGCGTAAACGGTGATTTCCTCACACTGCCTTTTTTTTTCTCCATCATCTGATGGTCACATGTCATCTGCAGACACATTTGGGGTTAAGAGTTTTCGAATCTGCTTCAATAAATTCTGAATGATGACTAATATGCGGCATGAAATTGGAACTTGGAGTTTGGCAAATATTAGTGCATTGCTTAGACTTCATGCTATATTGAGGCCGTCCGAGGAAAACCTGTAACGTTCATAGGAGAACGTCATCAGGTAAATCAAACGGATTTGAACGATCATGAATATAACGCGAAGCGCTCCTCTCACTATCCGTGCAACGATGTCCCAGGGATCCGGCAAAAGTGGGCAAGCCATTTTCCAAGAGATCCGATTGGTCATTGGGTGGTCTTTTATACCTGCTGAGATCTTATCCTCAAACATAACCTGCCCCGGAGCAGGTTTGGCGTTCCGCGTAAGTTACCGGGGCAACGGACCCGGATAAAAAGAGATCCACCTTCGTAGTACGGAAAACCCAGAAGTTATCCAGAAGTTATCTCGCTAAGACCAAATCCAGCTTCGTAGTACAGGCCTCTGCTCGTACGTCAGTAAAGCAGCTGTAACAGTTTTCTTATCACTTATTGGCTGAAATTAAACTTCCTGTTTACCTCTCGAGGATCCAGTCTGTCACGTAATCTTTTCCGGACTTCCGTTTCCCGCTAAAAACCAGAACCAGTCTGGGTTGAAATACCCGATCCTCCATGTTTCACCTGGAATCACCAGCAGGAACCTCCAGCTGACAGACACATGCTGATGCTGCTGCGAACAGGTCAAGATCATTCAGATTGTCGGACCATACCGGTCCCGTACCGTAATTATCAGAGTAAATAGGAAACTCTTCAGAATAAAATTACTGACAGATTGATTTTACATCTACGGTAGAGTAATTTTGGACAGTTATCGATTTATTTCTGTATATTTATCGATTAAGTGAAGTTTAAAGTTGTTTTATTTGAGGAAATAAAAAAAATAAATGATGTGTTTTCAACAGGTTCTGCATCTTACGTATATTACGGTAACATGTGATCATCGTCATATTCTGGACTGAACCACTGCAGCTCAAAGGAGGGGGGGTCTGCTACAATAAGAAACTATAGAGCATAGAAATAATAATAATAATAATAATAATTATTATTATTATTATTATCATTATTATTATTGTTATTATGTCAATGCTATAGAGAGTGCCTTTTGCTGATTTTTATCAGTTTTAAAACATTCAGAGTTTATGAAGCAGTAAATGTCTAAAATCTATCTCCATTCTGTATGAAGCCGAAGATTTGCTTTCACAAAAGGGTTAGCCACTCTATACTATTCCCTGATAACTCCGTACATGACTTATTGTATTGAGATTTGGGGAAACACGTATAAAACAAATACAAACCCAATATTTCATTTACAAAGGCGAGCCGTAAGAGTCATCTGCAGTAAACACTACTGTGAATCAATTTATCCCCTTTTTACTTCCTTAAACGTTTTAAAATTTAAAGACCTCGTAGATTAAATCACAATACAAATCCTGTACAAAGCCAAAAACCTCGCCTTATCGTAACATGAACCTGTTTAAACTGAGGGACTCTAATTTCAACCTAAGAGGCTGTGGATTATTTCAGAAACAAATGTCAAAAATTTCTGTGAGTCTGTAAAAAGAGTGAAATATGGAACGACTGTTCGACTGTAGAAAGGAGAAAATGTAGTTCTCTGGTCAGCTTAAATAGACTTTACTAGAATAAAGTTAGTTCTCAATACTGTGGAGAAAACGATGTCTGATTATTAATGTAAAGTGTAAAGCATGTTCATTACTCTGTCTGATTTGAAGAGTGTATATATATTAAAGTGTTGATATTTGTATAAAGAGTGTATCTGTATAATGGACTTCATGTATGATATAAGGGGGAGGTCTTTATAAGCATTCTGCCTTCCCCCTTTCAGTCAGATTATACTGAAATAAATCCTAAATCCTAAATATAGTTAAGACACAATTCAGACATTGATTTGCTTTAAATGCTGCACTACACCAGAGGGATTTAATTATAAGATGTGCTCAAGTTAAGAGACAATTTAATTATAATGCAAAACTACTTTTTGGGAAGTGTGGACTCAAGTTTTGAAAAATGTTTACTAAAAAAAGAAAAGAAAACAGAATTGCTTTTATGATATTAATTATGTATATAATATTTTTTAAAATAATATGAATGATATTTAACAAAATATCTATCTATCTATCTATCTATCTATCTATCTATATATATATATATATATATATATATATATATATATATACGAAATATATACGAAAAACGAAATAAGTTATTAGTTAGTAGAAGTACCACAGAAATCTGAAGTCTTGTCCATTTTTTTTTTTTTCGTTTATACAGGTTCCCATGCCAAAAAACAGTCATGTAAACACACACACACACACACACACACACACACACACACACACCCTCCTGTCCGTGTTGGTATAATCCGGGGTGAAAGGTCATCCCACCCTGAACTAACATGGCTAGAAGAGGGCGGTAATGCACCGTTCACGAGTGCCAACTGCCGTTAAACTAAAAGAAGAAGAAGAAGAAGACTAACATGGCTGCAGCTTCAGTGTTTGTGAGGAGGGGAACAGGTCTGCGGGTCTCTGTGAGGACGGTGAGGAGGACGCTGGTGTGGTTGTGAGTGTGTGAATGTTGAGTCTGCGAGGTTAGAGAGCAGAGCTGCACCGACCTGATCAATAATCGAAGGTTAGTTTGTAAAGGTTACCTGAGATCAGAGACTTCCACTGCTGCTTGAACTTTCACCCACATCCTCCGCGAGCAGCAATACGAGGACGCGCTCAAACAGCTGCTTCACAGACAGTATGGTCAATTTTTATGTAATGAAAAACAAAAAAAAAAGGGAATTAATTTTTGAAAACTACAGAATAAAAGACAGCAGAGAACTTTTCACTGGATCAGAGACAGGAGGAGAGGTTCTGGATCAGGGCTCTGTCTCCTCTTTGTAGGTTCATTTTGATGAACTGTGTTTTCACAGATTATGGTTTTTGGAAATGATTTTGAGCCCATGTGATGATTTCCACTTCAGAGTCCTGTCTGTTTTAATGCTGAACAATATGTAGAGGTAGGGCTGGGCGATATGGGAAAAAGTTTATCACGATATATTTTTTTCATATCAGTCGATATCAATATATATCGATATATAAAAATGAAATTTAACAGTGTTTACTGGTAACATGTCTTTTCCAATACAATAATCTACTTCATCTGTGAGGTCTTTGTGTCTCTTTGACGTTTTGTCGTAAGGCGTTGCTCTAGAGAAAGTGGTTCTCAACTGGTCACTCTGTGACCCACATTTTCCCACTTTTATAAAATTCAAACCTAGCAATTTTTAAAAAATAAAAAACCTTTTAAGACTCAAATCTTTAACATAAATACATGTTTTTTATTGACTAAAGTGCATTTCAGAGCACATGAACTGAAGACGACAACTACTGAAGTTGCACATATGGAAAATATCAAATTCGTCAAAATGGGGACCAGGAAAATGAAAAATTTGTCTCATGAGCATCTCTGCATTCAGAGCATATTCAGAAAAACCTGAGGAGGACAAAAGGGAATAAAAATCAAATTAAACAAAATAAGGTCGCTTTCACACCAGAGCTGTTTGGTCCACTTTAAACAGACCAGAGTTCGTTTCCTCAGATAGTCTGCTTTGTTTGGGCAGGTGTGAAAGCTCATGCAAACCCTGGTGCAGACCAAACAAGCGAACTCTGGTCCGCCTGAAAACGTGGGTCTCGGTTCGCTTGCAAGTGAACCCTGGTTCGGTTCGTATGCGGTGTGAAAGCTCACTGGACTAAACACAGGACCACATGTACATAGTGACGCTATACGAAATACATACGCAGTGCATCTTGGGTAGAGGAAGCATGGCGTCCCCTGTTGCTATGGCAACAAGTGACCACTGACATTAGCAGTTGCTAGCTAGCTTCGCTCAATTGTCTGAACAACAATAAACCATAAATTGGCATATTTAAACAAAATCAAATCACAACTACCAACAGTCACAGTCCTTAAACTCTGAGCTCATATGTTGTCACATGTTAGATCGTCAAAGTTAGAAAAATACCAGGATCAATCCCTGACAAGCTACAATAGCATTATAGGAACAGTTGTGTTCACTAACGTTGTAGCATTCCATAAAATAATGTGACAAAGCACGATACAAGACGGCTAGTCCACCCCTGTTTGTGATCCGTGAGGTTACATACCCCTCCTACTTTGTCAAATCGATGAGCGCCCCTTTCAACCACGTGATGCTGCTCGGAAAGTTCGGTGCGCTTTAGAAATCACAGTGTGAAAGCAGAACTGAAACAAGTGATAAATGCAACAATGTTGCAACTTTCAGCTCCCCAATCGAACCGAGTCCGCTTGGTCAGGTGTGAAAGCGACCTAAAACAAAACAAAAAAACACATTTTTACCGCATTCAGGCCACATTAATAAGAAACCAAGGAGACCCACGACAAATTGCGTGCCTTTCAAAATAAGCTATTTTTCAAAATAAAAGACATGTTAAACCTCAGATGCGCATTCAATATTTACTTTTTTGACCAGCTGTTCGTGACCCATCCAGAATGTGTCTGTGACCCACTTTTGCGTTGGGACCCACCAGTTGAGAACCACTGCTAGAGAAAGCAGACTGAATGGTCGTCTGTTTCGGCTGCACAGGCGCCATGGGCTCCTTGCTTCTCTCGGGGTTTGTAACCTTTTGCATTGCGCCTGCTCTGGCGCTGCATCAGGTGGTGAAAAAGATTTTAGGTATTCCCCGACTTTGTGAGAACATGTACTCGACATAATTTACAGTCCACATTACTCTGCTTCATGTCTGACCTCAAAAAACCAAAATACCTCCACACCACCAATGTTTTCATGCCAGTGTTGTCGACGATGTCGTCATCTGTTGAGCCTTCATTGTCATTTCTGTCGGGGGTAGCACTCATTTTCTTTTTTTCTCACCAACAGTGCTGTCGGCTTCACCTGTTTAAGTGCTATGGTTGGGTGTAGCTGCTGTCTGCTACTACGCAGTTGTTTAATACTTGGTTCTAATTCAGCACATGACCGGTTCAGCGCGAAGCAGATCCAGAGCAACTCCCCTTTTCATTGGCTATTTGTATAGTCTACCAAAACATTGCAGATTGCTGACTATTGTAAAGGATATTGACCATGTTTTATAGTAATATTAAGGGAAATTAATTTTCGATATATATCGTTATTGTTTTATGGCCCAGCCCTATCTGAATTGTTGATCAGTTTGCATTAATCCGATCTGGATCTTCTGTGATTTTTTTTTTTCAGTCATGGCTCCACAGCTCTGCGGCACTTCAGCAGTCCAGCCCCCCCCCCCAGGTTAAGTTTTTTCCTGCAGCCGAGGGCGTCATGCTGCCAACAGGAAGTTTCAAAGACAGGGTGGCGTTCATCACAGGAGGGGGGACGGGCCTTGGCCGCGCCATGACCACCACGCTGTCTCAGCTGGGGGCTCAGTGTGTCATCGCCAGCAGGTACGATTCCCACAGCTGATCAGAGGTCATGTGTCATATCTGCCTGTACTGAGTGAAGATGTTTTTTTGTTCAGGAAGTTGGAGGTTCTACAGAAAACAGCTGAAGAGATCAGCAACCAGACTGGAAACAAGGTGACCAGAACCAACCAGAACCTGGACTAGCACCAGGACCGAACGAACTGAACCAGACTAACTGTCCCTCCTGCTGTCCTTAGGTCCATGTGGTTCAATGTGACGTCAGAGATCCTCAGGCCGTTTCTCGCTGTGTCGACCAGATGGAAACTTTGACAGGACTTCCTGATGTAACACGCACACGCGCGCGCGCACACACACACACACACACACACACACACACACACACGCACTCTTATTTTGGTAGAGTTTTATTTCCTCACTGTGACTAAAGCTGGTTCTCACAGAGACATCGTAGTATCCGTATAAATCTCACAGCCAATCAGAGGGCAGCTTTGATCAGCTATGTCTGATGTCATCAAAAGTCCAGTTACATCATTACAGAAAAAGGTTGCATTCAAGTTACCTCGGAAGTCAGAAGTCCGAGCTGAAAATGACGTCACACCTGAGTTCTCGGCATTTCAGTTACGGAGTCGGAAAAAAAAAAATCGGAAACAAGATGGCTACATCTGCGAAAGTTATTTTAGCGCTTGCCTTATATTTGGACAAGGCAAGCGCTAAAGTAACTTTCGTAAATGTAGCCATCTTGTCTCCGCCTCTGATTTTACTTTTTTCCGACTTAAGCTGGGAACTTGGGTGTGACGTCGTTTTCAGCTCAGATTTCTGACTTCCGAGTTAAGTTGAACGCAGCAAAATCCTCAGCTTTTTATTGATGACATCACACCTCACCCATGCTCTGATTGGTTCAGGTGGTCATCAACAACGCAGCGGGAAACTTTGTTTGTCCGTCTGAACGCCTGTCCCTAAACGGCTGGAAGAGCATCACCGACATCGTCCTGAACGGGACCGCCTTCATCACTCTGGAGATCGGCAAGAGACTGATCCAGAACCAGAAAGGTCAGAAACTTATCCAGAACCAGACCAGAGACTGATCCAGAACCAGACCAGAGACTGATCCAGAACCTCTGATTGAAATGTTTTATTCAGTGCCCCTCCCTCCCTGATGGTTTTGTTGTTTTGATTTTGTTTTGGATCAGGTGCATCGTTCTTGGCCATCACCACCATATACGCTGAGTCTGGTTCTGGGTTCGTCGTCCCAAGTGCATCTGCAAAGGCTGGTGTGGAGGCGCTCTACAAGTCAGTGTGACCTCTGACCTTTGACTTTTACACACCATGATCAGACCAGTCACAGTCAGTACGTTTCCATGACACTTGAGAAAACCGAATAATTGCCTTACTCCGATTAAGACTGGACAACTGAAGTGCATGTAAACACCTTAGTCTGACTCCAATCGGAGTTTGAGAACTCTGATTGGAGTCGGATAACTCCAATTAAGACACCCAGATAATGCAATTTGATTTTCTCTACCATGTAACCAGCATAGTCGGAGTATGATCGGATAATGCATGTGCGCCACACCCCCGTAACCCCGGAACAAAAACACCAGAGAAGAGGAGTAGCGTGCGTCTCATCTGCAGAAAAAGTACCGCGTCCATTGTGCAGGACAAAAACAATGCTGTACGATGCTCCATCTTCTTGCTCCGAAATGCCCAGCAGTAGTTGTAGACACTTCTGATGTCTGGCACGGACCTGCTGTTGTTGTTGTTGACGGTTGTATGGGGTCGGAAACAGCGGCACTGAAAAGACCCATATCGCCCTCTAGTGTTGGGGAGGAGGACACGTTCACATCAGTAATTCGATTTTCTCAGTTGCATGTACGTATATGCCAACAAGGAGAGAAGTCCGATTCAGAGAAAAAAAAACGAATTATGAGCTTAGTCCGATTAAACTGTGGATGTAAGTGAATTGAGTGAGCTCAGATTAGACTGATGGTTTGGATCTTTCCTGGTTAATAAGGACACTCCAGTGACTCCTAAAGGAGGCGATAAAGGAGGGTCTAGTGTTTCCTTTGTTTAAGGAGAAACAGGAAGTTGAAGCTCTTTATGACCACTTCCATCATGGCTGACATTCAAACACCTCCAATTAGAACCCTTCAAAATATAATGAATAATTCAACAGTTAACCCCTGCTAACTAGCTCCAGAGTTTGTTACCATGGTTACCAGGCAGGAAGTGGAACACTGAACACTCTTGTTTTAATAAACATGAATCATTTTACTGGAACGAGCTTCTTCTTCAGGTCGCTGGCTGCTGAGTGGGGTCGCTATGGCCACAGGTTCAACATCATCCAACCTGGACCAATCAAAACCAAGGTACTGCCCACCCACCTAACACCAACAGACAGTTCTTTCCTGGAGTCTTTCCTTTGTTTACCCGATGTTTGATTGTTTGTTTGTTTGGATCAGGGGGCCTTCAGCCGCCTGGACCCCACAGGAGTCTTTGAGAAGTCGATGCTCGGTCGGATCCCGGTCGGACGTCTCGGGACGCCAGGAGAGATTGCCAACCTGGCCGCGTATATGAGCAGTGACTACGCCACCTGGATGTCTGGAGCTGTGAGTCCAAACTAATCTAAATTCACTAATCTTAGTCCAGATAAAGATAGACTCTAAACTAGATTAAGGCAGGCATGAAAATCTCTCACCTTTCTGCGAAATTCGCCGTTTTGAAGTTAAAAAGGGTGACCTACATGAATCGTGTAGATCTGAGGAGAGGGGGTCAGGGTCGGGAGATTTTTTATTTTTTTTTAATTATCATGTGATTGACTTAATACGCAAACTGAGCACTTCAGAAATCGGCCCTTTAAATGACACTTGGACGGTTAGCAAATCCTCCTGGCTGCTTCGCTGACGAGAACCAATCTTAGGCCTAACTACGTTCCAATCTTCCATTATTAAAAAGTGATCAACTGGACTTGGTATTGGATCTATTGAAATGGCATGTATTGTTCTCCAGTCTGGCAGGGCATACATTGATCTAAAGTGCAGGATGTAAAGTCTTTATTTTTTTATTCAGTTTTTTTTTTCTCTTCAAATGATTATTGTTCATATGGCCTGACTCATCTAACTCATTTAGCTTCTGTGAAAGTAAACTGTTTCTAAATAAAACATGGCCAGCACAAGATGCGCGCGTGCGTGCGTGCGTGTGTATGTGTGTGAGACTTGGAGTGTTTTTGGCGCCTCCTGCACATCACGGAAACACAGTGTGGGTGGACAGAGCTCAATATTTTGTTGGGTTGCACAGTGTACCGGAACGTATTTGCTCCGCACCCTTCTCACCTTTTCAACCCCTGACCCATTTTCATGCCTGTTAAAGACAGATCTGAAACCTCCTTAAAGGCTGATTAACAACCAGATTTCGACCAATATTAAACCAGATTTCAAACAGATTTGAAACCAGATTAAGACAGATTTGAAACTAGTTTAAAGACTTATTTATGACCTGATTAAAGACAGATTTGAAGGCAGATTATAAGCAAATTTAAAACCAGATTGGAGACTAATTTAAAATCTGATTATACTGATTGAAAACCACATGTAAGGATGATTTGGAACTAGGTTAAAGACAGTTTAGAAACCTCATTTAAGTCTGATTAAATACCAAATTTAGACAGATTTGAAACCTGATTAAATGCTTATTAAAAACCAGATTGAAGACTAACTTAAAATCTGATTAAAGACAGATCTGAAACTAGATTAAAGGTTTATTTAAAATAAGATGGAGGCGAATTTAAAACCACATTAAAGACTGATTTGAAACCAGATGAAATGATAACCTGAGGCCAGATTTCAGTCAATGATCCCGTTTTTGTTGTTTCAGGTGATTCGGTTCGATGGAGGGGAGTACGTATCGATGGCTGGAGAGTTTAATGAGCTGATTAAAGTGAGTGTCACCCTTAAATGCTTCCCCCAGAAACACTTGATGATCTTAAGCATGAGGAACATGAACACTTAATTCACTGTGATGTTAGGTGTATAAAAACAACACTAAGTGAGCACTTCAGGTTTTATTGTTAACAGGAACATACAGGACTTTAACGCTGATGTCAGAATCATTAAGAAACACTTTATTGGTCTCAGTAATGTTTAAAGAGACTCTGCGGGTCTCTCTGCTCAATGTCAGTCCTGTTTCTTTTCTGGGTTCTGGTGTGTGTTCATGTGATGACTGAGACTCTGAAACGTTCAGACTGAAGATCTGATCAGATGTTTTTATTCTGACCTGGCTGATGATGATGATGAAGATGATGATGATGAACACGTTAGACTCAGGTGTGTTTCTCTCTCTGTCAGGTAACACCTGATCAGTGGAAGATCATGGAGGCCATGATCAGAAGCACCAAAGGATCCTAAATACTTAACCACACCCCCACTGGACCATCCAACCAATCAGATCACAGTGTACAGGTGGGCGGTCTACCTGCTTATGTTGCCTGAGAATCTGACTGTCGCCTTTTAAGTTTAGACTTAACGTTCAAAGTTAATTTTGATCTTGACTTAACATCGCAACTAGGAAGAACTGTTAGCCTGTTAGCATGTAGCCGACTGCACATGCTCAGTGTGAACATGCTCAGTGTGAACATGCTCGTCCACTTTTGATAATAAAAGCTGAGCCCTGACTCTGTTTGTGTTGTTTGACGATATGAGGTTTCCTCCAGTAAACACAGCTACAGTTATGAGGTTTCCTGCTGACGATGGTCACATGTTGAAATGTTGACTCCCTGATGACCTTGGATATCCTCCTCACTTCAAACTAAAACCCTGTTTTCAGTGAAAAACATGTTTTCAGACCTAAAGAGTTCCTGCTGAATGTTGAGCTGACTTTAATTTTGATGGTGCAAAACTTAAAAACCCAAGAGTGTGTGTGTGTGTGCGTGCATGTGTGTGTGTGCACATCAGTGTGTGTTGATGCTCTGCTGCTGGCAGCGGCTGATCATGGTTGACACGAGTTTCTGTAGAACCTCGGCTCTCATTTTACTGATCTGCAGAACCTCCTCGTGGTTCACCTTCTCCTCCCGACTGTAGTCCAGAGACACCTGCAGGTACAGGTATGCTCTGACAGTAAGATCACAGAAAACGTTTAAAAATAACAGATTTACAGTCAGAGATCAGATTAAAAGATAATAAAGGCTACCATCTTCCGTCAAACTACTGACAGTTTTAAGTCAGTTTACAGTCAGATTTCATTTTGATAACAGAGTAAAGTTAGTGATTTATTAGGTCACAGATTAAAATAAGATTGCAATTAGTTTATAGTCAGTCAGCAGTCAGATTACTGTCAGATTACTGTTAAATTCTGATCAGACTACAGCAAGATTAAATTCAGATTTATACAAGATCACAGTCAGATTTTAACAAGATTAAAGTCAAATTCAAACAAGATTACAGTCAGATCTGATCAGAACCTTGTTGGTGATGAGGGACAGCCCGAGGACTCTGATCCCACAGTGTTTGGCTACGGTCACTTCAGGTACTGTACTCATACCTGAGGAGGAGGACATGAAGAAACAGAACGTCATGATACTGAGATGTTTGAAATTTAAACTCTGAAATCTTTAAAAATAACTGAAGGTGCCCGTCATTCTGTTTCACACTCAGTCTAGATCATAGACTGTATATACTATGGACAACTTGGTTCCGCCTACCGCCTGTAAACGGATCTGAAGCCAAAAAGCTCTTGGTATTTCCGGGATTTTTCTTCATTTCCTGAAACCAGAGCTGCGCTAGCCTGGCCGGGCCATCATGTTGCGTGAATCACTTGATGTCCCTTCCCACCACAGTCTGGACTTCGGCCCATAGAGAGCGTGTATTTCTGATCAGAAAATAACCGGGCCAATCAGAGACCGTGTTTCCACTGTTACCCAGACAACAGGGAAAGGCAGCCCTTGATTGGTCCATGTGTAGTGGTGACTACTAACACATGCTGCGGGAGTTTTCAAAGCCCCGTTCATTCATAACGCCGTTAATTCTGCAGTTGACTCTGCAAAGTCGGCAGAAATCGTTTATATACACAGAATGTCGGATATAGACGATTTCTGCCGACTTTGCAGAGACAACTGCAGAATTACAACATCAAGTGATTCACGCAACAGGATGGCCCGGCCAGGCTAGAGCTGTGCAGTAGCGATGCGCGCATTTGGCTGCGCAATCGCCGAGAGTCACTGTGATGATGCTCGGCTCAAACAGCGTATCCCCCCGGGTGATCTACGCAATCCCTGAACGCCCATAGACTGTATCAGGTGTCAATCATAGAAAACATGAACCCCCTAATAACTTTGAAAAACGGAGCTGTACAGAAAAAAGAGGACTTGAGCACAAACCAGACTTACTGTAACTACATGTCAACATCACAAGCAGGGGGGTGAAAATTTATATTCTGTGTAATAAATTTCTAAAGTTAGTCCACAGCCCCATAAGCTTTGCTGGCGGAGGCAGGATTTATGACTTATACTGCAGCCCATCAACAGAGGGTGCTGTTCTCACCCAGCAAGGAGGCAGACTCTGTCCATTTTATATACAGTGTATGGTCTAGATCTGTAAGATCCATTTAAACTCAGACACAAAGATCTAAGTTGACTCCTAAACCATCTTAGACTCTCTTAAAGTCCTCAAAGACTCTTCTGAACAGTTTGTGGATCCCTGTGGACCAATCAGAGAGGAGCATCTCACCCACAGAATCACAGCCAAGGATCTGCAGCATACGGGCCTCAGCAATGGTCTCAAAGTTTGGTCCGCTCACCATACAGTACACGCCCTCTTTGATGAAGTCACCACAGCCCAGCTCTGATCCCGCCTCCAACGCCAAACGCTGCAGATCCTTACTGTACGCATCAGACATACACGGGAACCTGATCCCAAACCTGCACAGAGATAGACAGACAGGTAGAGTTACCTGATCCCTAAACCACAAACAGAGGGTTAGCTTTTTCTGTCGTTCTCACCGCTCATCGTTGGGCCCGCACAGTGGATGTTGTCCGGCGAACCCGGGCAGGTTGATGTGGTCTTTGATGATCATGATGTCACCGACCTTATAGTCCGGACAGATCCCACCTGAGGCGTTTGTCACCAGCAGAGACTCCACCCCCATCAGCTTAAAGATCCTGACAGGAAGTGTCACCTGAGACAGGTAAACAGGTGAAGAGAATCATTCTCATTATCATGCAGTAAGTCATATCTGGTGGTTTGGCTTTGTTCTGAGAGCCCCCAAGCTCCCCATGAGACCATGAGAACCACCAAAGCCTGAGGCAGGGAGGTAATATACTTTGACTTTTTTTTTTTCATAATACAATATCATGTTTTTACCATGCAATACAATGACATTTTTATCCTACTATACAATGACATTTAACAATACTATAAAAATACATTTTTATCATACTATACTGTGACATTTTAATCATCCTAAACTCACATTTTTTAATCATACTATACTATGACATCTTTGTAATACTATACTATACTATAACGTTTTTCAAACTATATTATGACATTTTTTATGCTTGGGTATACTGTGACATTTTGTTATCATACTAAACAATGATTTTGTAAACATATTACACTGTGACAAAAAATGTCAGGATTAAATATGTTGAAAAATGTCATATTATAGTATGAAATTGTTTTTATAGTGTAGTATGTTGGGAATCATAATTAAATGTCAGTATAGTATGATAAAAAAGTCAGAGTAAAGCATGATAAAAATGTCATGGTAAAGTATGATAAAAATGTCATGGTAAAGTATGATAAAAAATGTCAGTAAAGTATGTTACAAAATGTAACAGTAGAGTATGACAAAATATGTCATAGCATAGAATAATAAAAAAATAATAGAAAGGATGGTAAAAAATGTCATGGAATAGAATGATAAAGGATGTAATAGTATAGTATGTGAAAAATGTCAAAGAATAATTAAAATGTCAATACAATATGAGAAAAAAATGTCATTGTATAGTATGTTAAAAAATGTCACAGTATAATATAAAGATTTTTATGGTATAGTGTGATAAAAAATGTCAGTTTAGTATTTTAAAAAATGGCATAGTATTGTATGATAAAAAAATCACAGTATAGCATCATAAAAAATGTCATAGTATAGTATCATAAAAATGTCATAGTATAGTATGATAAAAAAAATTTACAGTAAAGCATGATAAAAAAATGTCATAGAATTGTATCACAAAAAATGTCATAGTACAGTAAAATAAAACATGTCATAGAATAGTATGATAAAAATGTCATGGAATAGTATGAAAAATTTTATAGTATAGAATGAGAAAAATTTTAAGACAGAGCATGATTTGAAATTGTCACAGTAAAGTATAAGAAAAAAAGCCAAAGTATAGTATGTAAAAAATGTCAAAGTATAGTGTGATAAAAAATGTCATAGGATAGTAGAATAAAAATGTCATAATATAGTATGATGAAAAATTCATGGTATATTATTTAAAAAAAAAGGTAATAGTACAGTAAAATAAAAATTTTATAGTATAGTATGATAAAAACTGTAATGTATAGAATGTTAAAAAATGTCATGGTATAGTATGAAAAAAATGTCATAGTATAGTATGTTAAAAATGTCAGTATAGAATGTTGTAAAAAAGTCATAGAATAGTATGATAAAAAATGTCAAAGTATTGTATGTTGAAAAATATGTGATAGTATGTGAAAGATGTCATATTATATTATGTTCAAATTCAAAAGTATTGCATTGTGAAAAAATTCATAGTATAGGATAATAAAAAATGTCAAAGTATAGAATTATAAAAAAAATCATTGATTAGTGTGATTAAATTTCAAAGCATAGTGTGATTTAAAAAATGTTAAAGATAAGTAGTTTAAAAATTGTCTTAATATTTGGTGTAGAAAATGTCATAGTGTTGTATGTTTAAAAAACCCCTGTATAGTATGATAAAAAAGTCATATCATGGTACGATATAAAATGTCAGGGTAAAGTATGTTAAAAAATGTCATCTTATAGTATGTAAAGATGTAATATTATATTATTTTAAAAAATAGTCATAGTATAGTATGACAAAAATATTATATTATAGTATGATAAGAAAATCACGGTATAGTATGATAAAAGAAATCATAGTATAGTATGATAAGAAGATCATAGTTTAGTATGATAAAAAAATTCCTTGTTTAGTATGATTAAAAATGTCAAAGTATAGTATGTAAAAAATGTTATAGAATGGCATTATAAAAATATCATATCATAGTATGTTGAAAAATGTCATAGTTTAGTACATTACAAAATGTCATTGTATTGTATGATAAGAAATATCAGAGCATAGTAAGTTGAAAAATTGTCATATTATCCTTTGTGAAAAAATGTCTTATTATAGTATGTTAAAAAATCAGTATGTTGTACTATAAAAAGTTTCATTGTATTGTAAAACAATAGGATCATTCTATAGCATGATGTAAAATGTCACAGTAAAGTATGATAAAAAAGTGACAGAATGTATGTTAAAAAATGTCAGTATAGTATCTTAAGAAATATGAGAATATAGTATGTAAAAAATGTCATTATATTTTGTAAAAAATGTCATAGTGTAGGATGATAAACAATGTTATAATAGAAAATTTGTATTTTTCAACATTTTGTATATATTTTTATTTGTATTTTGTATACATTTTTGTGTATATTTTTATACACTGAATACACTGTTTTTTTATCATCAAACACTACGACATTTTTTGTCATCCAATACTATTACATTTTTTCATACTATACAATGACGTTTTTTTTTATCGTACTATACAATGACTTTTTTTTTATCATACTATACTATGACATTTTTGTAATGTTCTGTACTTTTTTTTATCGTACTATACTATGACATTTTTTCATCATAATATTCTATGACATTTCTATCATATTATACTATGACATTTTTTACAAACTATTCTATGAAATTTTTATCATATTATACTATGATATTTTTCAACAAACTATACTGACATTCTTTTATCATACTATTCTTCCATTTTTTATCAAGCTGTATTATAAGATGACATGTTTTATCATACTATGACATTTTTGACATCATATAATATGGCATTTCTCACAAACTTAAATTCTTAACATAGTGTACTATGACATTCTGTCGTAGAAAACTATATTTTTATCGTACTATACCATAAATTTTTTATCTCGCTCTATTGTAACATTCTTAAATTATACTTTAATAAGACATTTTTTACCACACAATATTATTTAAATTTTTAACATTCATACCATATATCATACCATACTATGACTTTTTTAACAGAGTATCCTTTGAGTTTTTTTTGTCATGCTATACTATAACATTTTTATCATCCTACACTATGACATTATTCTATAATACTATACTAGGAAATATTTTCATACTATACTATGACTTTTTTTTAACAGAGTATACTCTGACATTTTTATCATACTGTAATATGACATTTTTTAAATGCTATCCATGACATGTTTCATCAGTGTATAGTATGGCCTTTTTTTACATTTTATACTATGACATCTTTATATGCTATACTATGACATTTTTGTAACGTTCTATACTGACATTGGTTATCATGCCATACTACGACTTTTTTTGTCATTATATACTCTAAAATTTTTATTATACAATGGAGGAAGTAATTATTTGATCCCCCACTGAATTTGTAAGTTTGCCCACTGACAGAGAAACTAACAGTCTATATTTTCTTCGGTAGGTTTATTTTCACAGTGAGAGATAAAATATCAAAAAGAAATTTCAGAAAATTACATTATCTGAAATATATAAATTGATTTGCATTTCATTGAGTGTCTTGAAGACTTAAAAACAGGCAACTGGACTGTGTAGAGTTGAGAAGACGTTTCGCCTCTTATCCAAGAAGCTTCTTCAGTTCTTAAAGTGCTAGTGTCAGGAGCAGATATTTATCTTACTGGAGAAGGGGGACAGTTAACGACTGGCTGGAGTTGAAAAGAATGGGTCGTAGAAACCCATCTCTCGGTGTGTGTCCCCCAAGTCGTTATCCTGAAAGGGTCGATAGCGAGTCAGCGATCCGCAACAACAATCTAGCAGTCACGGAGGCAGAACAACTTAGGTTGAAGGTAACAGCTGCTCCTCTTGTCGGCCACACCACTCACCACGTCAGAAACTCACAGGACTTTGCTGAGAAAATCAAGGACATCAGGTTGGACCCAGATGAAACCATGGTTTCCTATGATGTCACATCACTTTTCACAAGTATTCCAACAACAGAGGCAGTCCAAGCAGTAAGACAACGCCTCTCACAGGACAGCACACTGGAAGTCAGAACCAACTTAACCCCGGACCACATCTGCTCCTTATTGGACATCTGCCTCAGCACCACCTATTTCCAGTTCAGAGAGCGCCATTACAGACAGAAACACGGATGCGCGATGGGCTCCCCGGTTTCTCCAATAGTGGCAAACCTGTACATGGAAGAGGTAGAGAGGAAGGCCCTAACCTCTTTCAAGGGAGCCGCTCCTAGCCACTGGTTCAGATATGTGGATGACACCTGGGTTAAGATCAAAACACATGAAGTAGAGGCCTTCACTGACCATATCAACACAGTGGACAGCAACATCAAGTTCACCCGTGAAGATGTCAAGGACAAAGTGTTGGCCTTTTTGGACTGTGCTGTACACTTGGAGGCAGATGGGTGTCTCAACGTTGAAGTGTACAGAAAACCAACACACACGGATCAATATCTACTTTTTGATTCCCACCATCCTCTGCAGCACAAACTGGGTGTCATCAGAACACTCAACCACCGGGTCGAGAAAGCCGAAGAAAGAAGGTAAGGAAAAGGAACAAAAGCACATTAAAAAAAAATGCCCTGACAACCTGTGGATACCCTAAGTGGGCCTTTGTGAAGAACAGAAAGAGAAATAACACGGAGGAGAGAGGCAAGAGCACTGTAATCCCTTACGTTGCAGGCCTGTCGGAAAAACTCAAGAGGATCTTTGGCAAACACCACATTCCTGTTCATTTCAAGCCTGGTAACACACTAAGGCAGAGGCTAGTCCATCCCAAGGACAAAACACCGAGACATAAACAGAGTAAAGTGGTGTATGCTGTCCAGTGCAGCGAGGAATGCTCAGACCTGTACATTGGGGAAACTAAACAACCGCTTCACAAGCGCATGGCTCAACACAGGAGAGCCACTTCCTCAGGTCAGGACTCAGCTGTCCACCTTCACTTGAAGGATACGGGTCACTCTTTTGAGGACAGCGATGTACAGGTGTTGGCTCGAGAAGACAGATGGTTTGAAAGAGGAGTTAAAGAAGCCATCTTTACCAGGCTGGAGGAACCTTCTCTGAACAGAGGGGGTGGACTCAGGCACAATCTCTCTGGCACTTACAATGCAGTTCTCAGCTCTCTCCCCAGGAAGCTCCACAAACATTCACACCTGGAACCACATGACTCAGGTGGCATGAGTCAGGTGGTCACATGATAGGAGTCGCTAACGACCCTTTCAGGATAACGACTTGGGGGTCACACACCGAGAGATGGGTTTCTACGACCCATTCTTTTCAACTCCAGCCAGTCGTTAACTGTCCCCCTTCTCCAGTAAGATAAATATCTGCTCCTGACACTAGCACTTTTAGAACTGAAGAAGCTTCTTGGATAAGAGGCGAAACATCTTCTCAACTCTACACAGTCCAGTTGCCTGTTTTTAAGTCTTCAAGATAACCATGACCTGGATGAATGAGAATCTACATGGACATTTCATTGAGTGAAATAAGTATTTGATCCCCTACCAACCACTAAGAGTTCTGGTTCCCACAGAATGGTTAGACACTCCTACTCAATTAGTCACTCTCATTAAAGACACCTGTCTTAACTAGTCACCTGTATAAAAGACTCCTGTCCACTTAATCAATCAATCAAGCAGACTCCAAACTCTCCAACATGGGAAAGACCAAGAGCTGTCCAAGGATGTCAGAGACAAAATTGTAGACCTGCACAAGGCTGGAATGGGCAACAAAACCATTAGCAAGAAGCTGGGAGAGAAGGTGACAACTGTTGGTGCAATTGTTCGAAAATGGAAGGAGCACAAAATGACCATCAATCGACCTCGGTGTGGGGCTCCACGCAAGATCTCACCTTGTGGGGTGTCAATGATTCTGAGGAAGGTGCGAAATAATCCTAGAACTACACGGGAGGAGTTAGTTAATGACCTCAAAGCGGCTGAGACCACAGTCACCAAGAAAACCATTGGAAACACATTACACCGCAATGGATTAAAATCCTGCAGTGCTCGCAAGGTCCCCCTGCTCAAGAAGGCACATGTGCAGGCCCATCTGAGGTTTGCCAATGAACACCTAAATGATTCAGAGAGTGACTGGGAGAAGGTGCTGTGGTCAGATGAGACCAAAATTGAGCTCTTTGGCACTAACTCAACTCACAGTGTTTGGAGAAAGAAAAATGCTGCCTATGACCCCCAAAACACCATCCCCACCGTCCAGCATGGAGGTTGAAACATTTTGCTTTGGGGGTGTTTTTCTGCTAAGGGCAAAGCACAACTTCACCGCATCAACGGGAAAATGGACGGAGCCATGTATCGTCGAATCCTGTGCGACAACCTCCTTTCCTCTGCCAGGAAACTGAAAATGGATCGTGAATGGGTGTTCCAGCACGACAATGACCCAAAACATACAGCAAAGGCAACAAAGGAGTGGCTCAAACAGAAGCACATTAAGGTCATGGAGTGGCCTAGTCAGTCTCCAGACCTTAACCCAATAGAAAACCTATGGAGGGAGCTGAAGCTCAGAGTTGCAAAGAGACAGCCTCGAAACGTTAGTGATTTAGAGATGATCTGCAAAGAGGAGTGGACCAAAATTCCTCCTAAAATGTGCACAAACTTAGTCATCAATTACAAGAAACGTTTGACCTCTGTGCTTGTAAACAAGGGTTTTGCCACTAAGTATTGAGTCTTTTTTGTTAGAGGGTTCAAATACTTATTTCACTCGCTGAAATGCAAATCAGTTTCTATCTTTTATTTAAAGTTATTTTCTCAATGTTCTCCTTTTGATGTGCAATCTGTCCCTGTTGAAATAAACCTACCATTATATTGATACTGTTTCTTTGCCAATGGACAAACTTACAAAATCAGCTAGGGGTCAAATAATAATTTCCTCCACTGTACTATACTGCTACATTTTCAACATACTAAACCTTGACATTTTTAACATACTGTATGATGACATTTATTTATCATAATATACTATGACATTTTTACATACCATTCTATGACACTTTTTACATACAATACGATGACAATTTTTATCATAATATACTATGACATTTTTATCATACTATAATATGGCATTTTTTTTATCATACTATCCTTTCAAATTTTTATCTTACTATACTATGACATTTTCAATATACTATACTATGTAGTTTTTCATCATACCAAGCTATGACATTTTTGTCATAGAATACTATATTTTATCATAATATAATATTAAATTTTTTTATATCATGCTCTACTGTGACATTCTTTAATCCTAATATAGCAAGACATTTTTTATCAAACAAAATTTTGATATTTTCTATCATACTATACTATGACATTTTTTCAATCATATTATACTATGACATTTTTTATCATGCTGTACTATAAGTTTTTTTTTATGCTTCGACATTTTTATCATACTGAACAATGGCATGTTTTATCATACTATACCATGATATTGTTATTATACTATACTATGACATTTTTTTCTATCATACTTTACTCTGACATTTTCAACAATCTATACTAAGACAATTTTTACATACTGAACAATAACATATTTTTACACACTATGCTATGATTTTTTTTTGGCAATTAATACTATGACATTTTTTTTAAAATCATAATCTACTCTTACATTTTTCAAAATAATATACTACGGTATTTTTATCATACAATACTATAACATTTTTTATCATGCTATAATAATAAAGTACAACATAGTATACGCTGACTTTTTTTAACACTTTATACAACATTTTTATCATACTATACTATGAAATTTTTATCATACAATACTGTGACATTTTTAATCATACTGTACTATGACTTTTTTTTAGCATACTTTACAATTATTTTTCAAAATACTGGAATATGACATTTTTGGACATACTTTACTGTGATTTTTTTTTCATAATATTATGTAAATATTATCATACTGTACTTCAATGTTTTTATAGTGCTGTACTATAACTTTTTTTCACACTATGCTTTGACATGTTTTTTTCAAAATATGACATCTTTGATATTATATTATAGCACCAACTATTATATGCAATTTTTTGACATAGTATTCTCTTTTTTCATCATACTACACTATGACATTTTTATCATAGAATACTATATTTTTATTATATCTTACTGTGTCATTTTTTTATCATGATCCAATATGACATTTGCAAATCATACTGTGCAGAGACATTTTTTTTATATAATATTTGGATATTTCTTATCATACTATTCTTTTATATTTTTAAAACTAAATGTTGACATTCTTTATCATACTTACTTATCATATGATAGAAAACATTAGAGTTGTATGAAAAAAAACCTTTTACATTTAATACTATGACATTTTTTCATACTATTTCTGACATTTTGTAACATGCTATACTTTGATTTTATTTAATGCTATACTATAACATTTTTATCACCCTACGGTATGACATTTATCTATAATACTATACTAGGTAATATTTTCATACTATTCTATGACTTTTCTTTACAACGTATACTTTGACTTTTTTTTCGTACTGTACTAAGACAATTTTTTAACATGCTATACAATAACTTTTTTGTCATTATATACTGACCTTTTTATCATACTATACTGTGACATTTTCAACATACTATACTATGATATTTTGTAATATACTATATAATTAAATTATTCATAATACTACCCTATGACTTTTTTTCATATTATACTATGACATTTTAATCATACTATACTATGACATTTTTGTCATGTTCTATACTTATACTGACATTTTTAACACACTGTACTATGACACTTTTTAATATATAATACGATGACACTTTATGAAACTATACTATGACTTTTCTCAACAGAGTATATTTTAAATATTATATTTTTAATATATTAATTATTATATATTATAAAAATTTATATCAATATTAAATATATTAATATATTTTTAAGTATTTTTTAACATACTTATCTTTGACTTTTTTTACATAGTATTTTATCATTTTTACTATGAATCCTTCATCATGCTACAGTATGATTTTTTTATCATACTGTACTATGACACCTTTGTCACACTATACAATGACATTTCTATCATACTTTACTATGACTTTTTTTACGTAATATAGTATGACATCTTTTATATATTACAAGATGACATTTTTCAACATACTATATTATGACATTTCATGTCATACTATACTATTCTACTTTTAGACATAATAGTATGATAATTTATACAAACTATACAGTTATAATAAAGATGACATTTTTATCATACAATACTATGACTTTTATCATACAAAACAATAACATTTTTTATCATACTATACTATAAAAATTTGATCTTACTGTACTGTGACTTTTTTTTATCATACTATACTATGACATTTTTAACATACAATACTTTGACACTTTTTATCATACTATAGTATGACATTTATTTATCATACCATACTATGACATTTTTTCGTCATCTTTTAAGAATAAGAAGAACCTTATTGATCCCTGAAGGGAAATTCAATTGTCTGTTGTCTCACGTAATATGTCTATAAAAGTTATCTATTATTTATATAAGTTATAAAGCCTGATGGCTGTTATTATACTTTACCATGACATATCACAACATAGAATACTCTGACATTTTTTATCATACTTTACTCTGACGTTTTATATCATACTATACTAGGATATCTTTTCTCATACTATACTATTACATTTTTCAACATAGTATACTCAGACATTTTTTATCATGCTAGACTATGGCATTCTTTAACATGCTCTACTATAACATTTTTTAACAGACCAGTCTGACATTTTTTAACACTATACGTTGACATTGTTTTATCATAGTATACTATGACATTTTTATTAAACTTAACTATGGCATTTTTTAACATACTATACTATAACATTTTTAACATTCTATTCTTTGACATCCTCTATCATACTATACTATGACTTTTTTCACACTGTACTATGATATCTTTTCTCATACTATACTATTACATTTTTCAACATAGTATACTCAGACATTTTTTATCATGCTAGACTATGGCATTCTTTAACATGCTCTACTATAACATTTTTTAACAGACCAGTCTGACATTTTTTAACACTATACGTTGACATTGTTTTATCATAATATACTATGACATTTTTATTAAACTTAACTATGGCATTTTTTAACATACTATACTATAACATTTTTAACATTCTATTCTTTGACATCCTCTATCATACTATACTATGACTTTTTTCACACTGTACTATGATATTTTTATCATACTATACAAAGAATTTTTTATCACACTTAACTATGAAATTTTTAATTATATTATACTATAAAATTTTTATCAAACTATACTATAACAATTTTCAACATAGTGTACTCTGACTTTTTACTTACTATCATACTTTATGATGACACTTTTATCATTGTATACAGTGACATTTTTTAGGCAGATTAGCTCTCGGCTAGTGTCAATAAATCCAAAAACAGTCAAGCGAAGTTCCAGTAAAAGGTGGGGTTTTATTCAACCTCAGGTTTCATCACAAAAGAAACGGATCAGAACAAGATCTCAGTCCAACTAAAAACATCCCAGGGTAGAAAATACACTCTTTCAAAAGTAACCAAAAACTCCAGCCAGCACAAATTAATGTTTTTCTTTTCACACTACACTTCTATATTGATGATTTCTTTGATGTTTGGATCCATGCTCTTCCTCTCCTCTCCCAAGAGTGCTTCTCTGTCTGCTTTCCAGCTCCTTTGTCCTGCCTCAATCAACGGTCTCAAGGACCTGCAGCTCTTCAGGTGAAGGTGCATGCTGGGAGTCGAAGTCTGCCCTGCAGTGGCCATTTTGTCTGGCCGCTGACAGTCCATAATTATATAGTACCCACAACTTGCCCCCTTGTGATGCCACACAATATTATGGCATTTTTATCGTACAATACAATGACTTTTTTTCATACTATGCCGTGATATTTTTTTTCATACTTAAGTATGATTTTTTTTTTATCATACTATACTGTGACATTTTTACCATAGTATACTATGATATTTTGTCATACTCAACTACAGCATTTTTATCAAACTATACAATAATAATTTTATCATAATTCATTTTTATCATACTATCATACTATATTCTATTATATTGGACTATGATATTTTTTCCATACTGTAATATTTTATGATACTTAATACTTTGACATTTTGTCATAATACACTTTTTTATATCACTATTATTATTATTACTACTAAACAATGATATTTTTATCATAATTAACTAGGATTTTTCTCATCCTATAATAATTTTTTTTATCATACTATTCTTTGATATTTTTAACATATAACATTTGTGTATACATATAACACATAACTATAACATTTTATAAAACTTAACTTTGATATTAATAACAATAACAATGCATCAGATTTTTTTTCAGCTGTATCAGAGAGCTGCCCTGGGGCAGACTGACAAACATGTGGTTTCCAGTTTGCGTCTCCGACCACCACCACACAACACCCACAATCATACACCAGTGCAGGGCACACACTAGGAGCAAGGTGGGTTAAGTGTCTTTCCTAAGAACACAATGGACTCACTTGGGATAGGGGGGAATCAACCGCCAACCTTCCAGTTAATGGACAACATGTCTATCTAGTGAGCTACTGCCACCTCAAGTATATTAACATATTATACGATGACATTTTTTTAAAGTAAAATATTATATTTTAATCATTCTGTGCGATGACATTTTTTATAGTGTTATATGTTTTTTATACTTTACAATGACATTTTTACCATCCTATACTTTGACATTTTTATCGTACTATACTATGATATTTTAACATACTATACAATGATATTTAAACATACCATACTATGATATATTTATCATACTTAATGGTGATTTTATTTCAAACCATAATATGATATTTTATCATAAAATACTATGACATTTTTACCATACTAAACAATAATTTTTTTTCAAACTAGTCTGTAAAATTGTTATCATAGTATACTATGACATTTTTTACATACTATACTATGACTTTTTTTTCGTACTATACTATGACATTTTTTATCATGCTATACTATGGCTTTTTTATCATACTATACTAACATTTCTTATCTTAATATACTATGACATTTTTTATTATACTATACTGTGAAATTTTTATCATACTTACCTATGAGTTTTATCAAACTATACTATGGCATTTTATAATACTATACTATGATATTTTTATCATACCATTCTATGATATCTTTAACATTCTATACTATGACATTTTATACTATTTAAAAAATCACTGTTTTAAAATACTATACTATACATCTTATCATACTTTACAATGATATTTTTATCAAACTATAATGTGACATTTTTTGTCAAATATTGTGATTCTTTTATCACAATATAGTGTGACATTTTCACCGCAGCATACTATGACATAACATACTATACTATGATATTTTTATCATACTTTATTTTATCATACTATACTATGACATTTTTAACGTGCTATCATACGGTACTTTATCATATTATACTACAATATTCTTAACACACTATAGTTCAATATTTTGTAAAACTTAGCTATGATTTTTATAACAAAAACAATGCATCAGATTTTCATAGCGCTTAATCAGAGACCCTCAAATAGCTTGACATTCGATACAACATTTGATTGCTTACACGGTCACACCTAAGTTGCCCTGGAGCAGGCTGACAGAAATGTGGCTGCAAGTTTGCACTTCCAGCCTCTCCAACCACCACCACACAGCTTTTCAGCTTTATCAGAGAGCTGCCTTGGGGCAGACTGACAAACATGTGGTTTCCAGTTTGCGTCTCCAACCACCACCACACAACACTCACAATCATACACCAGTGAAAGACACACACTGGGAGCAAGGTAGGTTAAGTGTCTTACCCAAGGACACAACAGACAGACTTGGGAAAAGGGGGGAATCGAACCACCAACCTTTCAAATACATGATGACTGCTCTACCTTCTGAGCTACTGCCGCCCTGGATATTTTGACATACTATGCTATGACATTTTGTCAAAAATTTAACAACTTTTTATCATACTTTTCTATGACATTTTTATCATACCATAGTATGACCTTGTTTCATACTTTAATATTCTATTTTTATCATAATTTACCAGGATTTTTTCTATTATACTGTAATGTGACATATTTATCATGAGAGAGAGAGGGAGATACTTTATTGACAGACTCAAGGTTGATAAACCAAACAATAAATACAAGTACAAACAGAAACAGAAACAAACTCAACACTTATCCATATACGCCTTATAAAAGACAACTGTACCAGTGTCTCCACCAGGGAAACTGGCTTCGAATGGAACTAAGCAGAGGATTTGTCAGCAACCCTAATATGGAGTTCTTAGAATCTGTCCATCTGCACATAAATTCATAAATCAGATTTCTAAAGAGTACACGAAAGGAGTAAAGTCCAGCATTAAAAAAGGGTCACTGGCACTGGTGCCCCTTGGTTTCTTCAAAAAAATCCTGAACGCATCATTGATTTTGTTCTAAAGAATAAGATGAAAATTTGGGAAATTGAGGTCCCTATCTCCTTTACATCTACAAATCATTCCTGTACTCTTTTTGAAATTGTATTGCACATCATATTTAACCCCATAATCTAAAAAAAAAGACCCAGCACTACTAGGGGAAAAATGGCCAGATCATCAGCATACATGGGATGTTTAAATATTTTGTTTTTTAACACACAATCGGTTTTACACCCATACAGATGTTGAGATAACTCATCCATGAATTATTCCTTCTATATACAGTACAGGCCAAAAGTTTGGACACACCTTCTCATTCAATGCATATTTTTATTCTCATCACTATTTAAATTGTAGATTCTCAGTGAAGGCATCAAAACTATGAATGAACACACGTGGAATCATGTGCTTAACAAATAAGTGTGAAATAACTGAAAACATGTTTTATATTTTAGATTCTTCAAAGTAGCCACCCTTTGCTTTTTCGATAGCGCTGCAAACGTTTGCTGTTCTGTCAATGAGCTTCATGAGGTAGTCACCTGAAATGGTTTTTACTTCACAGGTGTGCCTTGTCAGGGTTACTTTGTGACTGACAGATTCAGTCATGAAGTGCTTCTGTCATCAAGAGCAAGGGGTGGCTATTTTAAAGAAACTAGAATATAAAATATGTTTTCAGTTATTTCACACTTTTTTCATAAGTACAAAATTCCATGTGTTCACTCATAGTTTTGATGCCTTCAGTGATAATCTACAATGTAAATAGTCATATAAAAATATAAAGAAAAGACATTGAATGAGAAGGTGTGTTCAAACTCTTGGCCTGTACTGTACACCGACACCCTCTTTTAAAGCTTAAAAACAAAAATACATACCATGCGTTACTTTAAAGCCAAATTGATTGTCAGAAGAATCAATTTATTTAGAAACACGACCCAAGAGAACCCTCTCCAAGACCTTAGATACCACTCTAGCAAGCGCAATGGGCCGGTAGTTGTCTAAGCTTGCCATGTTTCATCCTTGATGATAGGCACTAAAGTAAAAGACCTCATAGTGTCTGGTAGCAGACCATTAGATACTAGTCCAGTAAAACATAAAGAAAGGAGAAATGCAAACTTTGAATAAGATAACTTGAGCTACTTCGCTGTTATTTTATGGAAGCGATTGTGACTCATATCTCAAATTCAATGCTTTTTCATTTCAAAGTCATGGTTGCACTATTTGACTCAAAAATAATAGTTTAGTATAATAAAAATGTCACTGTAAAGTATAATAAAATATAGTATAGTATGATATAAATGTCATTGTAAAGTATGATAAAAATGTGACAATAAAGTATGATAAAAACATCATAGTATAGTATGATAAAAATGTCATAGTATACTATGATAAAAATATCATGTATTGTATGATATTTATGTCATAGTTCAGTATAATAAAATATAGTATAGTATAATAAAAATGTTATAGTATACTATGATCAAAATATCATAGTATTATATGATAAATATAGCATAGTATAGTATGATAAAAACATCATAGTATAGTATGTAAAAAGTGTTATTGTATACTAATAAAATATAGTATAGTATGATAAAAATGACATTGTAAAGTATGATGTCATTGTAAAGTATGATAAAAATGTGACAATAAAGTATGATAAAAACATCATAGTATAGTATGATAAAAATGTCATAGTATACTATGATATAAATATAGTATAGTATGATAAATATATCATGGTTCAATATGATAAAATATCATAGTATAGTATAATTAAAATGTTGTAATATACTATGATCAAAATATCATAGTATAGTATGATTGAAATGTCACGTCATTTACTTGGCTGCACTATTTGACTCAAAAATAAAAATCAAAAGCAATATTCCAAAATGCATTTTCATTTTCTTCTTCAAGACTGCTCATTTTGTGACTAAATTGAAAAGCAAAAGCAAATCACATTTAACATTTAATTTTCAAAACATTCACCAGCAAAAAGGTCACAATATTCAATTTGAAATGTCAAATTCGAAAATTCTAAAGCATTAGCAGAAATGCTTTTTCATTTCAGTCATGGCTGCACTATTTGACAAAAAATAAAAATAAATAGCAATATTCCAAAATGCATTTTCATTTTCTTCTTCAAGACTGCTCATTTTGTAACTAAATTAAAAAGCAAAAGCAAACTCAGAAATGCTTTTCCGTTTACGTGCTCGCCCCGCAAAAAGTGTCCCCAAATTCAATCTGAGTTTGCAATCTCAAGTGGCGCCGGAAAGTGACGTCACGGACCCCACTCTTTCTGGCCCCTTCTGGCCGATAGGGGGCAGTGAATCCGTGTATCATTCGTTCAATTGATATTCAATGTAATTAACACAGCCTGTACACCTCGCTTGTTGGTTGTATTCAATGTTTGTGTGACATCTCCACAACTATGATCCACGCTTCAAAAAAGTAGAAACGAAACACTTGGTGTTAACGAAAATATATTGCAAATATTTCCTTCTTTGATGTGGAAAAGCGTCTGCTGTCACCACTCGTACTGATCGCAGTCAGCGTGAATGAAATCAAACCGCGGATCGCGGCTATCTGTTTCAGTTATTTTATCATACTTTATGACATTTTTATCATACTATACTATCACCCTTTATCATACTTTACACTGACATTTTTATCATCCTCTACTATGACATTTTATCATCCTTAACTATGAAATTTTTATTATTTTATTCCATGATATTTTGATCATAGTATACTATTACATTTTTATCATTCTATATTATGACATTTTATCATAGTTTACAATGACATTATTATCATTCATTACGATGACATTTTCATCATACTATACTATGATATTTTATCATACTTTACAATGACATTTTTATTATACTTTACAATGACATTTTTATCAATCTATATGATGACATTTTATTATACTTTATTATGACATTTTTGTCAATTTATTCCATGATATTTTGATCATACTATACTAGATTTTATCATACTTTACAATTACATTTTTATTATACTTTATATGATATTTTAGAGGGTACGAGCTGACGCTGCAAGCAGTGGGTGAGAGTTCTTTTGAAATAGCAGGAATTATTTGGGCCTGAGCTGATGCTGAGATGTAATTCCTCTTCCAGACCTTGAGGAAGACCATATCAGTAAATCCTTTGTTTAGGTCAAAGGGTGTGGCTATGGTGTCCTTTTAAACTCTGACGTTTTTTCACAGTAAATGACCTCCAGCACTCAAAGGCAATCACAAGTTCCAGCCATCATAAAGGTTAGCAGGCGGTGCGAAATGGTGGCAGTGCGCTGGGAGGTTGTTTACAGAGGTAGCAGCGCGACACCGCTCAGGCCCGTTGATGCCCCGTGGGGCACTAGTTTGTTTTTTTTTTGTTTTGGCACCTGACTGTTGTCATGTATTTATTTCTGCTGTGCTGCTGATGGAGATGCCATCATGTGGTCACAAGAGGAACTGCAGTCTGAGGCACATTTGCTCAAGTTTCACTTTCTGCTTGACTGAATCAAACACTTTGCACCCAATGCATGCTGGGTAAGAAGAAGGTCAGCGGCACTCACCTGGCAGAGAGAGTAACCCTCGTACAGGTGGAAGTGACCCTGCATGAAGACGCAGGAAGTGTCCTCAATCGTTCCGAAGACCAGACAGCCTTCATGACCCGCCACTGAGGGAGAGATAGAGAGAGAGAGAGAGAGAGAGAGAGAGAGAGAGAGCGAGAGAGAGAATAAGATAAAAACTATTTCACACCTGCAGCAGCTGAGGCCCCGCCCCTTCATCCAGCAGATGGCGGGGTCCACTCACCTGTGCTGACGGGGAAGTTGGGGATGTCCTGGTACTTGAAGGTCTGCTTGTTGGAGGCTCCATCAGCCAGCAGGCCGAGTCCTGAGCCGCAGATCACCGCCACCTTCGGACGGTGGCTGGTGTGATTCAGCAGCCACTCAGCCGTCAGTTTGTAGTCTTCGAAGGAGCAGCAGCTGAGGGGGACAGATTACAGCATTATTGGTTATGGATTATTGATGACAGATGACAAATTAGAATGATTGATTTTACAGATGAGAAATATCTTTATGACCACAGAGGGGCAAATCTGAGTCCTATTTAGAGTGGGACCTGAACTAATTTCACCTGATGACCAGAAACCCTCACCTGTCCTGACAGATAATGATTAAAGATCATATTAATCAATAACAGGCTAAAGATCATAGAAATCAGATTCTAGAATGTACTTGAGGTTATAGGTTATAGATTACTCAGATTAGCTCTGTGTTTATTGGATAAAAAGGTAAGTTTGCCCTTTGATCTGAGCTGCAGGTGAACTTTTTGCTGTCAGTCACTTTTTTCTGTTAATCATCCGTCACCTAAAAGGGTCTGGGACACCTGGAAACACCTGATACACCTGCATCTGTCACACCAGACACAAGAATAATACCTCAGTCCACCTGAAATACCTGAGAAACATTGAAAATACCACCAAGAATCATTAAAAAAACACCTGGAAAGTGAGTAATACCCTAGAAGAACTGGAACACCTCAAACACCTGAAGGCTTCAACACAAGAAAACCTTAAAATACCTAAAACACCTGAAGACATCTGAATGAGCTTAAAACCTTCAACAATAACCAACACCTGTAATACCTGGAACTCGCACTGAGACCCTGGTTACACCTTTAATACCTGCAACACTTGAAAACACCTGAAATCCTCTAACACCTGAAACACCCATTACACACAAACTCAATTAAAACACCACCAAGATGACATGTTTCCATCACCATCAGGAAACACCTGGATCACCGGAGATGGTTGTTCACCCCCCAAAACACCTGGAACATCTCAGTGACTCTAAAACCACCTGCTGGTATCATGAAGAACATCTGAAACCTGATCACCACATCAGATTGTGAATCTAAAGGTTACGGAAAAAAAAAGATTCTAACAGTGAGGTGATAAATTCGACCATGATGCAGTTCACGCTAAAACCACATTTCCCATAATGCAATGGCATCAAGGCAGAGACATAAAACTGAGTAGTCAAACAGATGTATGAAAGTTTACAAAGAGAGGATTCAGTTTGATTAAAATTATGGTGATAAAATAGTATTTATAATAATATCTTAAGGACATTAAAGCCTGGCTTTCTTTTAACTTCCTCAGTCTTAATGAGAACAAGACCGAAGTAATGTTGATCAGCGAGGTGGTACAAAAAAGTTTTTATCAGTTACGTCAGATAGCAAAGGTGAAGCCCATTTTATCAAGATCTGACCTGGAAAATTAATCCATGCTTTTATCATGACCCGTCTTGATTACTGCAATTCTTTGTATGTAGGGATTAGTCAGGCCTCCCTTGCCTGCCTGCAGCTTGTGCAGAACCCAGAACTCACTTTTACTCCTTGGCTTTCAACACACTGTAGTGTTATTTTGTTTGTTATCATCATAGCACTTGCCATGAGCCTGCTTATTTATATATTTATTTATTTTTGCATTTATGTATTCTTGTTCGCTTTATCTTGTTCTTTGCTTGTTTTATTTGTTTTAATGTCTCAATGTACAGCACTTTGGCTACCCCTGTGGTTCTTTTAAATGTGCTATAGAAATAAAGTTGATTGATTGATAATAATATTTATGACAAGAACAGATCGTTGTATTATTTGTAGAACACAAAATCACTGATAAACAATCGATTTATTGTTGTCTTTGTCTTATTTACAGATTTAACTTTCTTCTAAACACAGGATCAACTTTTCTCCAGCAGCTGTTTCTCTTCTGATTCCTCCTCATGTTTGTTTGTTTGTTTGTTTGTGTGTGTGTGTGTGTAGAGGGGCCTTACCAGGAGTGTCCTTTGCTGTGCATCTTGGCCCTGCAGATACCAGAGACAAAGAGAAGGACAAAGGTAAGCAGAGCGAGTCACCACGAGTTTGCTCTCTTCTGATTGGCTGAAACGGGCTGTAAATACATTGGAGATCATTGACTCTGTACATGAGTGACCTTTGACCTTAATAATTGTACAGTAGAGGGTTAAAGTTCAGCAGGTGGACTCAGCGTGTACTCAGTGAGCAGAGTTCACACACAAACACACATATAACCATAAAGTCAATGAGCTGTAACTGAATGACTCTGATCCTCTGTGTGATAAACACAGGTCATAAAGAACTACAAAAATGGTGGCTCAGAGGATGAAGTTGAAAAGCAGCAGGTGATGATTTAATATCTAAAATAATAAACTACTTCTTAATGATAAAATGAGAACCAGCAGCATTCTTCATCTGTGGCGTTTAAGGTGTTGCTGTCTGCACTCTATCGCCCCCTGCTGGATCAGATGACTACGTTTACATTATTCATGTCGTATTTTAGGGAACTAAAGGTGTATGTTTATGTGTTTATAGAACCTTTAGCCTCTTCTAGTACTCTGTAAGTGCTCCGCTGGAGTACTAGAGGTACTCCTGCAGTGTACCACTACTCCTGCAGTACTTTAAATGTAGTACCTTATAAGTACTGCAGACTATCACACACTACTGCTACGTCAGCTAAACAACCCAAGAGAGAAGACGAAGAGGGTGTATTTGTGACGTGTTTAAGTGTTTGTGTGTGTGCATTTAATAAAGAGCTATGTGTCGCCGTGGGAACGCTTCTGCTGGAATCCAGCACATCAGTTGCCATAGAAACTGTGTTTCCATAATAGCAACAGCCTGTGTGAGTGTGTGTGTGTGTGTGTGTGTCCTGCAGTATTTTATTTTTGTCACCAGCACTGGAGTTACAATAACACTGGCCTTAAAAAAGTTCGATAAATTAATAAACACCAGCATTCAGACATGATGATGATAATGAAGGTAATGAGAACTATGTTGCTGAATAACGATAATGATAATATGAATGATAATGTATGAGATAGCAATGTGAAATGATGTTGATAATGGTTATAAATAATACAAAGTTATGATACTAGTTTTGGAAAAGATGACAATAATGATGATAAAAGTGATGATGATAATAAATACTTTATGATTACAGTGTGATAATGATAGAAAATATGATATAATGATGAAAATACTGATAATGATAGTGATTATAATGAATATGTTAGTCATTACAGTAATAGTAATGATTATATAATGATAGTGATCAAGATAATGACAGTGATGATCATACTAATAATGATGACAATATGATAAAGTTAGTGATTACTATGCTGATAATGTTAGTGATAATGATGACAATAATGATAGTCATGACAATAATGATAATAAAAATGTCAGTACTGATAATGGTAGTAATGATGAAACTGTAAATGATGACTTTAATGATAATAACAATGATGATGATGATGGTGATGGCAATAAATCTGATATTGATAATGTCAAGGATGATCATATTAAAAATTAGGCTACTAGTAGTCCTAATGATAAAGACCGTCACACTGACCGTGTGTCTTAAGGGTGCTAATCAAGAGAAGATAATGATAATACTGATAATGTCACAATGTTGATAATGATGATGATAAAAGAAAGTGGGGTGGTGATGATGACAATAATGGTGGTAAAGATGATCAGGATGATGAAGATGATAAAAATGATGGCTTTTTTGGAAAGATGACGACAATGATGATAATGATAATGATTATGAAGATTATTAGGATAACGAGGCTGATGAACATTATGATGTGTGAATGATGATAATGACAGTGGTTCAATGTATCTTCTATGAGAACTTCAGTCACGTTATGATAATTCAACAAGTTTGAGTAAAACAGAGGACATCAGAAACCCTGATTAAACCGGATTTACCGTGTCTCCTTTTCAACTGGACTCAGTGTTCATTTTGGTGTAATTTTAAATATTTATTTGAAAAACAAAACAAAAAAAACAACATTTTTTTCTGTTTTCTTTAATTACAGATGAAGTTGTTGAACACAGGTGAGTATGAACTTCCTCCTGATGCTATTATTCACATATGTTTATACAGGCCAACATATTCTCCAAACCAAACACGTGTTTCAATAAAGTGTGTGCCTGTGTGTGTGTGTGTGTGTGCGCGCGCGTGCGTGTGTGCGCGCGGGCGGGGGCTCCTCCTCCTTGGCCGTATTTCAGATGTGAGCGGCTCTGACGGTTCAGACTGAGAAGGAGGAGGAGGAGGAGTGTCGGTGCAGCTTCATCAGTAAACAGACGGCAGCTGTTGGTAACGGTTAACGAACGGTGACCGGATGAACATGGAGAAGAAGAGGATGATGATAAAGATGATGAAGGGGATGAAGATGATGAAGGTGACGGCGTTTCTTCAGCTCGGCGGTAAGAACAGAAAAATAATCCTCCATCATCTCCTCCACCTCCATCCTTCATCCTCCTCTTCATCACCGAGCTCCTCCCGGTCCGCCCGTGTGTGCGTGAGTGTGTGTGGTTAATATGTGTGCGGGGGCGTGTATGTGTTTGTGTGTGTAATGGTGAAATGATGATGCAGCAAATACACTCTGTGTGTGCCATCACTGCACTGTGCGCGCGCGCACAGACACTTTTGCTACACAACCACACACGCGTGCGCGTAAATATAGAGCTATCATATCACTGCGTCGGAGCGAGGAGTTGACGTAAAAACCCGGGAAATATCCGGTGAAACACGGGCTGCATGCCTCTACAGGTGAGTTCCTCACCATCACCTGTGACAGGTGACAGCAGACATGTGACTCTGAGGCGGCTCTGAACCCTGTTAACTCTCACTGATCATGTTCAAATCATTTATTGACACACTGATCAATCATCAAAGTAATAACATTGTTATTATTGATTATTGACATTCAAACAGAATCTGCAGTGTGATAGTGGAAACAGTATTTTGTTTAGCAGTAATACTCTACTGTATGTTATACACAGTTGTACTACCTCAGTATACTTTATGTACAGCAGTAATACTCCACTGTATCTTGTACACAGTTGTACTTCCTCAGTATACTTAATTTGTAGTTTAAAAGCCTTTATTTCTACTTTTTCATGAATGTGTGATTTCAGAATGTTCCATTGTTCTGAAACTTATGAAATACTAAAAAATCATCTGCATAAAAAATTTACTCTAACTGCTAAAAATCTGGAAATGTCTCCTCACCTTGGCGTTGTCTGATTCAAAAATCGGTAACACGGAAATGATGACGGTTTTAAAAATGGTCCGTGTCTCACCTGAGCGGGTATCCTGTGAGGCCATGTCAACACACCTGAGGAAAAGTGACAATAAAAACATGTTTCGCTTGGCCGCCCTTTTGTTTAATCATGACTTCATGGTTTCGTGCATGACCTAACACTCAGTGCACTCACATGCACAGTTTAATGGAACTTGAAGTCCGCTGAATCGGACTTCTCTCCTTGTCCTAGTATACATGCAGCTGAGAAAATTAAATTTTTGACGTGAACGTGTTCTCCTCCCAAAAACTAGGGGGCAATATGGGTCTTTTCAGCGGTGCTGTTTCCGACCACATACAACCGTCAACAACAACAGCAGGTCTGTGCCAGACGTCAGAAGTGTCTACAACTGCTGCTGAGCATTTTGGAGCAAGAAGATGGAGCATCGTACAGCGTTGTTTTTGTCCTACATGATGGACGCACTACTTTTTCTGCAGATGAGATGCACGCTACTCCTCTTCTCTGGTGTTTTCCGGGGTTACAGAGGCGTGGCGCAAGCGCACATGCATCGTCCGATCATATTCCGACTACGCTGGTTACATGGTAGAGAAAATGGAATTCCAATCGCATTATCTGGGTGTCTTAATCTCCGACTTCAATTAGAGTTCTCAAACTCCGATTATAGTCAGACTAAGGTGTTTACATGCACTTCAGTTGTCGGGTCTTAATCGGAATAAGGCGATAATTCGGTTTTCTTGAGTGTCATGGAAACATACTGACTGACTCACCTGTTGGTTGTTTCTCTGCAGGTCATGTGACTTCTCATGGGGAATGGGTAGGCAGCATTGAGCTAGCTTCTGGTGGACAGGAGGTCTGAGGCAAGGCAAAGGATCATGGGAGATGGGGGACCCCTGCAGACTGAGGGGAACGCCCTCCTCAAAGCTGTTTTCCAAGGGAAACTGAGGCTGACCCGCCTGCTGCTGGAGGGTGGAGCTTACATCAATGAGGGCAATGAGCGTGGAGAGACTCCCATCGCCGCCGCCTGCATAGCGAGCTACGATGACCCGCAAACCCGGCAGAGGATGGTCCGGTACCTGCTGGAAAAAGGTGCTGACCCCAACATCCCAGACAAGAGTGGGAGGACGGCGCTGATGCATGCATGTGCAGAGCAAGCAGGGAAAGAGGTGGTCTCTCTCCTGCTGGAGAACGGTGCTGATCCCAGTCTTAAAGACTACTCCGGGTCCTCTGCCCTTGTCCACGCCATCAACAAGGGGGACCGCGACACCCTGCAGGTGCTGCTGGACGCCTGCAAGGCCAAAGGAAAGGAGGTGATCATCATCACCACCGACACATCTCCTTCAGGTACCAAGAAGACCAAGCAGTACCTGAACTCTCCGCCATCACCCGGCATTGTGGATAAACTCTCTCCGGCCTGCATGTCCCCCTCCGAGGTGGAGATCGGAACCTCCTCACCAGCAGGAGACAAGACCAAAGACCTGGAGGGTATCTTCAGTTTCGCACTCACCTCAGCTTTACCTTTACCTACAGCTAGACCTCCAGGAGAAAAGAGACCCCCACCTCGGAAGCTGCTGAAGAGGCTGAACTCCGAGCCCTGGGGTCTGGTGGCCCCCTCGGTGCTGAGTGGGGTTCCTCAGGAGAGGGTCAATGGAGGTCTTGAGGAGGAGAGCAGTGGAGATCTTAGCAGGACCATCACTCAAATGAATGGCCTGTCCATCACAGAACCGGTGAGACCTCTGTTGTCACGGCGACACAGCATTGAGACCCATGACCCCTGTTCCCCCAAACTCATTGACCGGTCCTGCTCAGAGGACTGCACAGCCCTCTCTGGTTCCTCCTGGGCTGACAAAGTCCAGCAGCATCAGATCCTGTACCGTAGGAACACGGCCCCAGAGTCCCAGGAGAACACTGGGGGGCCGGGAGTGGTGGTGACCCGGGCCCTGGCTCACCCTAAACTGACCAGGATGGAGCACTATGAGTCAGAAACCCACTTGGCCGCGGAGTCCATCCCTGGGTCTCCAGACTCTGGTCGAGTGTCTGTGGACCGGAGGAGGTACAACGCCTCCCCCCTCTCCTTGGTCACGAGTTCCTCTAGAGAGTCCCTGGAGAACATCCCCAACTCTGTGTCCCCCATCACCATGAGACGGCGCCCTCCGGGACTTCTGGAACGTCGGGGATCTGGGACCCTTCTGCTTGACCACATCTCCCACACTCGACCCGGATTCCTTCCCCCGCTCAACATCAACCCCCAAAGACCCATTCCCGACATCCGGGCTAACGGCAGGCCCACCTCCCCCGTCCACTCTGGACACAAGATCCTGGTCCCCATGGCCCCGGCCTCCCCCAAACGAGGTCCTGACTTCAAGATGAAGAAGAAGCTGATGAGGCGACACTCCATGCAGACGGAGCAGATGAAGCAGCTCTCCACCTTCCAGGAGATCCTGGCTGAGAAGGTCATGGAGTCCAATGGGGATTAAGACCGGAGGTGTCAGAGCGAAGCATGATGGGTACCTGCAGGGACCTTTGGGGGGGGGGGGGGGTTGGACTAGCTGTGGAGCTTCTGCATCAGATCATCTCTTCACCGATGAACTCACTAAAAACCAGGTCCTGGTCTTTATGAGGGCTGCACCAACAACAACAAAATCAACGTTCATTCATAAATTATAATCTACAAGGTTAAAGTTAACCTCAAGTTAACCTGAATTTAGATTTAAGAAAACCTGAATTCTGGGTTCAAGTTAATATGAGTCAAAGTTCATCCTAATTATAATGAATCTGGATTAAAGTTAGGCTGGGCTGTAACTGATCACATAGAGATGACCTTCATTTCAATAATTCTGGATTACACCGCTTCTGGATTTAAGTAATCTGAATTTAGGTTCATCTTGATTTAAATTAGACTGGATAAAACTGTCTGGAAATAAAATTGACCTGGGTGTAAATTAATCTGGATTAAAACTCATTGTGGTTTAAGTTAGTCTAAATTAAAGTTAAAATAGATAAAAGTTAATTTGGTTTATTTTTTGGACATGGATTAAAAATAATCTGTTCTGAAAGGTCTAAAATAAAAGAATCTGGATTGAGAGTTTAATTACATTAATCTGGCTTCAAGTTAACCTGAATCGAGTATAATTTTGATTAAAAATTGCTCTGGATTTGGGTTTGTCCGAAAATAAAATAGATTTAAATGAATCAGGTTTAAAGGCTGAGAGTTCAGATCAGGTGGGATTTCAATCTAGTGTTCAAGTTGCAATCTATCATTTTTTCACAAACTGACATTAAATACATCTAATATAATATAATAATACAATAAATAATATAATATTTTTGAAACATAACAATTAAAAGATTAGTTTCCCATTTCTTTCAATAGTGAATAATATGTGGGTTTTGGTCACATGACTTTGATCACTGTCGTCCATTTTAAATAGTCATGTGACTTGATTACTCATAGTTAGGAAACTAACTTTTATACGCTGATACGCTGCAGCAGCGTCGACACAGAGCAGGTTCTGTTTCAGGGTCAGTGGAGCTCTAACGGTTCCTTCATGTAGTTGAAGTTGGTCAGACAGACCAGACTCAAGAGAAGCTTGGATGAAGCTGAAATACTGGATACCAGTGGAGCTCAACTGGGGCGCCAGTAACTTCAGGAGGGAGCAGATTAGATTTTCTGAAGAACATCAGTGTTGATTTGAGAGGACTGCTGTTTCATGAAGAAAAAGATCTATTGATTTATTGATTTATCAGAGAGCTGAACCAAAACGATGGGACTGGTTAGAGAGGTATTCAGTGTTTTCTTTCAGACTGTTTACAGTACAGAGTAAATATGACTAAAATCATTTCCACAAAGTATCGGAAAACGACGAAGTATTGATCCATAATGTTTTTGATCAGTAACCAGGTGACATGTTGGCGGTGCAGCCCTCCTGTTCCCACACAGATGCATTCTGGGTAGCAATCAGTTTACAGCTGTCCCAATGCTTCCTAATGACACAGAGCGTGTGGAGGTGTTCGATGTTTACAGACGCATTATTTGCACTGAGGTCGAGTCGTTCTGAGGAAACATGAACCTGCTGCTGCACCTGAACTCTCACAGATCCCAGATTTGATCCTCTTCTAAAAACCGTGTGAACTTCCTGCCGCGCTGTACATTCTGTACCCGTCGTCCACATGATGGTTGGTATTTCCGTGTCTTCATTTTACCGTCAGTTTTAACGGCTGCAAACTTTGACTGATGACCCGACAGCTCGGAGTGAAGAACTTTGATGTAATGTTTTTTTTCTTGTCTATGAATCCCAAAGAGTTCACCCGGACGAGTCGAGCTGAACCTGCAGAGACAAACTGAAACTGACTCCTCCACAGGGGGGCGCTGCAGGACAAGTGAAGGGGGAGAAGACAGAGTCTGAACTCTGTATGTCCGGTTACAGCCACAGGATGTGTTAGCCTAGCTTAGCCCAGAGAGGTCAACTCATAGACTGCATATACTATGGACAACTTGATTCCGCCTACCGCCTGTATATGGATTTGAAGCCAAAAAGCTCTCGATATTTCCAGGATTTTTCTTCATTTCCTGAAACCAGCGCTGCGCAGTAGCGATGCGCGCATTCAGCTGTGCAATCACCGAGAGTCACTGTGATGACACTCGGCTCAAACAGCGTATCCCCCCGGTCTAGCTACGCAATCCCTGAATGCCCATAGGCTGTATCAGGTGTCAATCATAGAAAACATGAACCCCCTAATAACCTTTAAAAACGGAGCTTCAAAGAAAAAAGAGGACTTGAGCACAAACCAGTCTTACATTAACTACATGTCAACATCACAAGCAAGGGGGAGAAAAATTTATGTTCTGTGTGATAAATTTCTAAAGTTTGTCCACAGCCCCATAAGCTTTGCTGACGGAGGCAGGATTTATGACCTATACTGCAGCCCATCAACAGAGGGTGCTGTTCTCGGAGTGGCTTCACCCAGCAAGGAGGCAGACTCTGTCCATCTTATATACAGTCTATGGGTCAACTCGAAGGTCTAATCACACTGACATGTTAACACTGACTGAGCGTCCTTTTTCATAACTTCACCTTCGTTTTTTTTTCATTAAGATAATAACCTTGTTAGCTTGTCGGCTACTGTTTGAACTAAAAAAGTTTTTGAGTTCATGTTTTATCTTTTAAATGTTATGAGACTCCTCATCATGTCCAAACAGGAAGTTACTAATTTAGTGTAAAATATTAAATTTGATAAAACTGAAGAGTTGAATTTATTTAATTTAAGCAACTGTGATGTTGAAATTTATCTAAACGTCTAAGGCTTTTACAAATCAAGATGACTAAAAACAAAGAGTATAAAATTTTCCTCACAAATTGATGAATTTATTTATTTAAGCCTCAAGTTCTGATTTAAATAAGATGTAACCAGTGAATTAAAAAGATTTACATTTTCATTTTACAAGAATGAAGTTGTAGTTTCACCAGAATACAGTTGTTTTCTTATAAAATTAAATCAAAATAAAGGAAAAAGTCATAAATCCACAATTACAAATGTTGAAAGTCACTACTTTCAAATAAAAATTAAACATAATACAATTTGTACATTTAGAAGAATAAACCTTTAACTAAACAAAAATAAATGTATATGAGCGAGAGAAACATTCTGAAATGACACAGCTTCAAATTTTGAAATGTACAAAAACAAAGAAATTTACCAAATTTTATATGTTAATATTTGAAAAGTTTATAAACATAATTCTTTTCGAATAAACTTGTAAACTAACAAAGTCATAAAGAAAGAAAATCTTCATCTTTAGGGAATAGATTCACAATTTTATGAGAAAGAAGTCATGACTGAACGGGACTTTATTCTGAGAGTGGCTCAATTCTGATTTATTTTATTTTTGAAACCTTTATTTTTTTCTCACTGTCCAGTGAGAAAAAGTTTTGAGTTTGCAGCTACAAAGACATCTCTGATATTTTCTGACGTTTTTCACAGTTCTCTATTGTGCGACGCTAAACTAATACTTTCCCGTCTATGCTAGGCTAACACACACAGGCTGATTTGAAACGTCTTATTCTGAAAAAAAAAATCAGATTTAAAGAACGTTTTGTTGTTTTTATAAAGTTTTATCGAAGCTGAATGTTTCAGAGCTTTGTTGATGAAGTTTGAACGAATGAAACATTTTTATTGAAGCTTCCTGTCGACACTTTAAGCAGACGACTGACGATAAAGTTCATTTATGTAAAAATCAAACTTTACTATATAAAAATATTTTGTCTAGAAAATAATTCAGAGCTCAATGTTTCCGAGTCAGACGTTTGGGATAAATGGATTTAGTTCTGACCTGCTGACAGGTGATCATGTGACTCTTTTCCTCCAGGTGAGTCTGCAGGTGAATTTAAGACTCATAGGTTCAGTTTGGGGGTAACTTCCGACAGATCGCTCTATCTGCTTTTATTTTGAAAAATGTTAACATTTTTTTATAAGAACAGGTGCATGACATCACATATTGATGGCATCACCTGTGATGAAAGAAAGAAGGAGGTTTGTCTTTTTATCAGTCAGCTGATCGAACTTTGGAAAAATAAGGACATGAGAGTGAACTGGTTTAAACCAGTAGATCTGGATTAAGATTTTAAAAGTTTCAAAAAGATAAATCTAGTTTATACAAAGTCAGGTTTACTCTCGCTCTGACTGGTTTAAACTGGTTTCTTTTGGATGGGTCTAGATAAAATTGATTTACACTGGTGTTATTGGTTTTACCTGGTTCAGACTGGTTAAGACTGGATTAGACTGGTTTAAACCTCTTCAGACTGGTTGAAACAGGTTTAAACTGGATCAGACTGGGTGAACAGTTAAGAATTGATTTTAATACAGTGTCCGGTGCGCTCTGGTTTCAAATGAACTGAAATGTAATTTAACTTATACTACATTATACTGGTAAGAACCATCTCAAACTGGTTTACAGTGACTCAGACTAGTTTTGTACTTGATCTAAAACATAAAGTTTAGTTTTAACCAGCTCAAACTGGTTTATCCTGGACTAATCTAAAACAGTTTCAATTGGCTCAAACTGGTTTACTCTGGATCAGACTGGTTTACTCTGGCTCAAACTGGTTTCCTCTGGATCAGACTGGTTTATTCTGGATCAGACTGGTTTATTCTGGATCAGACTGTTAGTTTCTGGTCTTGCGGATGGACCTTGTTGTTGTGAGTAGATACTTGAAGTTTAAACTAATTCAAAGTATTTTTGTACGCCTGTTAGCAGATAGAAACGTCTCTGATAAATCTGTGAATCTATTTTTCTTCTTTGCTCAGATTGTGACTCAAACTGTGGAATAAAAATGTTTGTTTTATGTTCAATACTCGGACCTGCTGCATCATTCAGTCTGACGGGACCACCGGAGTCCTGTCAGGACTCTGTATCTCAGGCTCCCTCCACATCAGGAAGATCGATTGTTTTAAACTTTGATGAAAAATCTGTCTGCTCATTTTAAACCCAATGTCAGAAACATGTTTGACTCACTCGTTAGCTCAAGTGTAGTACTCAGGTTTGACCAGCAGGCGTTCCCGGATCCTGTCAACTCTGCAGTTTCTCCTCCACATGATGGCTAAAAAACAACCAGGAACACAGATGGAAATTAAAGTATCAATGATTAAACTGCGATCATGGGAGCATGATGGGGATTTTGTTTCCTGGTGGTGTCTGTAGACCTTCAGACCCCTGTGAGGTTAGACAGAGTTTAATAAACCAGCACAGACCTACATTTTTCAGTTTTTCTCTTTAGTTAGTGATTCTGAAGAAACAGAAAGACAAAAATCACCAGAAGAAGACTTTAGGGTTGGTTTATCCCGTCTGTTCACTCCAGTTCAATACCTGGACTCTCTCAGCTGGGCCAGTGTCCCTCCTCCATAAATGGCGTCTGGACACCTTAAAGGGATATTCCGGCGTCAAATTAATTTATGGTCAAACACACTGTAACATCGAGTTAGACACCCCCTCCAGGGATGAATGTTGCCGACCGCTTGCTTCTCTAAACCAACCAACTTTAGTAACAACCGCAGGATAGCAATACACAGCGGTCTGAAAACGCCACTCTATAGCCACAAATAATGCTCACAACAGCACCTAACTTCGTCACCAGTACATATAGGGTCCCAGCCATAGTACTAGCCACCAAACATCTTTTTAACTTTGACTAATTTCTTTAACAAAGAGACTAAACACAACTCACCTACTCTCTTCCAGCAGCCGCTTGTTTATAGCGAGACCTCAGGCCAGTCCATTATGGACTAAAGCGGGGAGTCGCAGCTCAAGGAAGAACATTTATGATCATTTCTTTATCATTTTCTTTAATAATTACCATTTTAATCATTTTACACTGCAGACGCTGTAGTTCTTCTGACTCAGTCTGATTATATTTCCATGAATACAATCAGACAATGAAATTTTGTGCACCTGATAATATCTTGTCCACCTGTTTTTCAACTGATTTCTTGACTGTTTTTATCAAACTCTTCTATGATCTTTATTTCTCATGTTGGTTCATCCTCACATTTAAACGTCTTGTTTTCAGGATTTTATGGTCGTTGGAAAATGTCGATATCTTGTTGGCAGAAGTAACTCGTGCAGATCTTGATCTCTTCCTTCCGCTGAAGTCGGTGCGAGTTCACACTTGTTCACATCTGTCTCTGTTCGCTCTTTTCTGATTGGTCACTTTCTCAGACTGTTTCTCAAACTCTCATAAGGGTGTGAGTCTTCTCTGATTGGTCAATTTCTCAGACTCTCATCCTGATGGCGGCCTGATCATTAAAACTGATGCTGCCATGACACGATGATACCGACACGACTCATCGTCTTTGAACGAAATCAGCAAATTTAAGGAAAATCTGAAGTTAGGTGCTGTTCTGAGCATTATTTGTGGCTATAGAGTAGCGTTTTGGTTGAGGTTAGTTTATGGCTCCTCAGACCGCTGTGTATTGCTATCCTGCGGTTGTTACCAAAGTTGGTATAACTAGAGAAGCAAGCAGTCGGCAACATTCATCTCTGGAGGGGGTGTCTAACTCAGTGTTATGGTGTGTTTGATTCTAAATTAATTTTACACCAGAATATCCCTTTAAGTCTGGACTTCCCTGGAGAGATGTAAGAGTGTAGACCCTCATAAGATCCATCAGGGCTGAGAACACTGTGAGACCCTCCTGGGTGATCCAGATCAGGTTCTCCTGCAGAATATCAATCCTCCTCATGGATGACCAATCATCCAGGTAAGCTGTGATGTTTTCAGGCTCAGAGGTCAGAGGTCACCCTGAAGATAATCCAGCTCTGCATGTTTGAGATAAAAAGTTTATGAACTGCAGGTTTGGATTTCACCAGGTTAGGTGACCGTTTGTTGGTTTTAATAAGTTAACGATGAGACCGGTGAACCGTCAGGATAAATCAGACCGGTTCCTCCTCCGTCTGTCACTCTGCTCTCTCCTCGTCTCCTCTCATCATGTCAGCACTCTCACCTGTGGTCACAGCGGTGGGTAATGTTGTCGTGGTTACTCATGTGCTCTCCATCCCGAAGGCAGTGGGGCCAAGCTCTCCTCAGGATCCAGGGTCCGGGTGTCGGTGCTCAGGGTGAGAGTGATCCTTCCTGCAGATGTGTTTCCTCTCTGAGCGCTCTGCTCTGACAGGTGTGTTTGTACCTGCAGGTGCTGCAGATCGTCATTGAACTCACTGTCCTCATGGTCCAGGTCACCATGGTTACCTGCAGCTCCACAATGGGGCTCTTGAGTGGAGCGGTGGTGTGGGGTCCTCTGACTGTGAGCTCCTATTTACTCACATGTTCACCTCATGATTTACCTGCTGGAGTTCTGAGACACACACACACCTGTCCTCTCTCTCTGGTCGCTACAGTTCATCTTGTCCGGGTCTCTGGCTGTTTCCACAGCAACCAGCTGTCAAGACTGTCTGGTTAGTGACATAGACACACCTGTACCTGAGGCACACCCGTGTGAAATTCAGATTCTCTGTGAAAGTTTTAAAGGTTCCAGGTGTGCTAACTGCTCTCTGCTCAACAGCTTTTTGCTGTTCAGTGTGGTTGCTATGGTTACCTCATGTGCGTCCCTCGTCATCAACACTCTGGATGCAGTCGGTTTCTACGGGGAATATAATAATTATAATGATAATAATAATGTAGCAATCAAGACAACCCTGGATGTGAAACCCACACATTCCTTACAGGAAAGTTTCCTTATCTGGTCCCAGGAAACAGGATATAAATCTTTCCAGACGTGTTTGCCCTTTCAGGTTAAATAAGTGACCCAACCGGAGGTTGACTAAACCTCTGACTCTTCAGGATTGGTCAGTTCGGCGAACAGAGACAGAGTTTTTATTACCTTTCAAACTGACTCCATTTGCTGACCATCTAAATAAACATTAACCTCAACCCAGATCTCCCATTTGAGATTTAGCGTCTTAAAGTGTGTGAACATACGGACCCCAGGATAAGGGGGGACACTGACCTCCAGACCTCGGTCGTAAAACCCTGCTCGACCATGCACTGATAAAGACTACATTCCTTTGGTGAAAGAATACAAATGACTGATCATGACATCTTATGCATTCAGCAATGTACTAATCTGTCTAATCATGAACTTTGTGTTAAAATGAGATGTTTTCCGTTTTTCTATGTGCTCCAGAAGCCGAGTTACAGAATAAATCCTTTATTCTTTAGTTTCTTTAGACCAACAGCTTTTCAGACTGTTTCATGAACTTTTAAGAGTTAAATTTATCGACTATGAATCATAACTTAACTCTAGGTAACAGAAACAGTTTAGAAATGTTTGGTTTATATTGTAGATGTTTATTTAGTATTTTTAACCATTAGGTGGTTATAATGTCACTGAATAATCTGAATGTGAGTATTTAGAATCCATTATTAATCATGATGACGTTCATTCATGTGTTTACTCTTTTGTTGTTCACAGTTTCCATGTGTTACTCTCTGTTTCATTTCAGAGTAATTTAGCATGTTCATTGTGATACTTGAAACATAATGAGAATGTTTGATGTGATCCTACACTTCATTCATATGTGTTTAGTATCAAATTATTGATCATGAAACCAAGCATTCAATGATATTAATCATAGTGAGTGAGTATCAGATCTGACTCTTTTACCAGCCAAAAGAATAAGTTAGATCAAATAATCAGAGATTCCACGACCCCTCCTCTTTCTCCTCAGACACTCCCAGTGTGAGAAGATAAAACCAGTGGAGTGGGGTTGCTCACTCTCTTATCTCTTATCTCTCTTATGCTTCTGCTCTTCTGCTGACTCTCTTGTCCCCGGCTCTTATGCCCCTTCTCTTCTGCCCACACCCTTCTGTGGTGCGTTTCTTTGTTTTCTCTTAGAACTTTTTCTTAGTCTTCTAAGTTTTACGCCACGTGTTGATTCACGTTGATTTTTCTTTAACATCGTCTTAGTTCAAGTTTTGAAACTTCAACTTTTTGTGCACATAGCAATTCAAGATTAAGCCTTTGATTGATTTTCTTTAATTTCGCGAAGCCATTTTTGAAAGTTTTCTCTGCTCTTCGAGCCTCGTTTTTCTGAGTTTTCTGCGTGATTTCAAAGTCACCTCCGAACGCAATCCAACAGGCCCAGGTCATCCTCTGTGCCAGAGTTTTTGAGTGAGACTAAAGAAGTACCCAAACGAGCATCCACAGGATCCACAGGCGCTGGTTTTTGCTTCGGGCCTGAGTGCTGCAACTCCTGGCTCATCCTTCGGCTGACTTCAGTCGTCTTCTGAGCTGAACCGCTCGAACCGCCAGTAGCCCGGACCTTCGGAACCTGCTCCATCTTCTCCAAGGACCAGTCTCACTTAAGTATGCAAACCTCCAGAGCTCTAAAGAGGGCTGGTGCTGTCTCGTGCGTTCATAACTCAGATATCCTCTTATTCTGGTAATCTTAGATTCCTCCAAATCCACATCCGAGTTTATCTCGACACCAAAGTTAGTGTAGGTTAATATGTTAGCGCATATTCACTCACTATCATTAACTTTAGTGCTCCTAGCCTGACTCAGAATCTTTATTTATTCACCTATTATTATTTTATCCTCATATCTTCTTATCATTTATTGCATGTGTGTTGTACCATCATTTATCCTGTAATAAACAGATAATTATTTTTCTAAGTTCTGGTCTGTTAGTGTTCTTCCAGAAGTGGAGTCCCTGAAATTAGAATTTCGACTTAAGATATGAGACTGATTAATTAAGACTGATTAATTAAAACTGACTTGATGTTTGATTTCTGAATTAAACTTTTGTTTTCTTTATTTTCCCACCATTAAGGGTGGGTGGTGCCCCTTTCAACGAGTGCATAAATGTCATAATTTGAGATTATTAATCTTCAGACATTTATTATAAATTCCAATCGCCAAGTATTATTTTGGTGCGGCCTTGTGAGGCTCATTTCAAATCGCTACATATATTTTGGTGCGACCGTATGAGGCTAATTTCAAATCACTACATATATTTTGGTGCCCCGTGTGAGGCGTTTCAAACAAAACTTCTGGATACTAACAGACAACCTAAAACTTAGCCTTCCAAATTGATGAGAGAAACTTATTTCCAGGCTATTTTAGACTTGATCACAATCAATGCTATGCTTGCTGAAGTTGCTTGACTAAGTTCTGATGTTTTCCTGATCTATGCATAAAACCTTTATGCACTGTGTTTCACACACTTTTGTACTACATGCCTGTAGTCTGTGTTTGAGCTGAACAGCGTGAAATGCTGTTCTGAGTAGCAGTGAGACTGACTCCTCTGCTCTGTCTAGACTGTCCAATATTTAAGTGCACGATTGTTGCGTCGCCGTACGCTTGTATTTAAGGCCTTTGGCTGAACCCAGTGTTCGCGATGCTCCGAGCTGTGGTTTCAAGCCCCTGAAGTCTCTGTAGTCTGCTACGAGTTTCTAGTAACTATATGGGATTCAGATTTCCTCCTTTCCCCTGACAGATTAGCTACCTGTCACAGGAAACCACTGTAACAGTGGGAGGTTGTTGCTTGATTGAATTCAGACAAAATTTGTGTTCACAAATCGCCGCATTTGTGATTTTAAAGTCTGCAGTTGAATCTGCTGTTGAGGGATTTGTCACTTTGATTCTTGTCTATATAGTCGGCTACGAAGTTCTAGTAACTATATGGGATTCAGATTTCCTCCTTTCCCCTGACAGATTAACTACCTGTCACAGGAAACCACTGTAACAGTGGGAGGTTGTTGTTTGAATGAATTCAGACAAAATCCGTGGTCACGAATCGCCGCATTTGTGATTTTAAAGTCTGCAGTTGAATCTGCTGTTGAGGGATTTGTCACTTTGATTCTTGTTCCTGTAAATGATTTTATTGAACCAATCTGCCTGAGCAGATGGTGTAAAGTTCTATGTTTGAGGGTGCAGACACAGCTGCTGTGAAATGTTAACCCTTTGTTGTCAGTGGAGAGACTGACCATTTGGCCTTAAGCAGATAAGGCCCTTCAAGGAGGCAGAGCCTAAAGGCCCTTCCTTCATACTTCCCAACTTCACACAGCCACAAGAGGCTAGTTGGATGACTGTTTCCTCTTCTCTTCTTCTTCTCCACTTGTGTTGTGCTTGTGCAGTTATCCCAACTCCATACTGCCCCACATGGTTGCTTTTGGTATTGAGCTAACACTGCTATTATCTGCCTGCAGTATCAGCCAGCTGTACTGCCTCCCTGTAGTCAGTGTGTAACACTCTACAGACATAATTCAAGTGATTGACTTGGTTGATGAAGTTTGATGTGCTTATTCTAAATCATTGATCATTGATTTTTGATTTTTATCTTTGTTATAAGAGCCTCCATAATGTATTGATGAAGTAACTCCTTGAATCAATCACCTGATCTTGTTGTTACTTATCACACCATTGAGCAGTTTTACTGTTCCCTATAATACATGAATGTATTAACCCTCCTCGTAAGATTAATTAATTAATGAACAAATTAATTAATATTTGAAATCTATTTTACCATTTCAGATGAATTGGGTAGTTGAATCTTTGGCTTTATTGCGATTTGTGAATTAACTTCAGAGTTAATTCCTTAAATCGACAATTTCATTGGTTTCAGATTCATCCAACTGCATCAGGCAGTTTATTTAAGCTTTGCTGATCTCTGCAACACGGAGACAATTTGAACCCTTTATTCAATGGTTCTGTATCTGATGTTAAATTTAATTTAACATTATTTCACCTTGTTTTATTTCAATTTTCATTGAAATGAATTTAACTTTATGTTATTTTTCTCTCCATTAGAGATCTACTCAGATAGGCTCTTCCTCTTTATCAAGCACTGATAAATTAAGTCGATTAACTCACTTAATTTGATATTTTGCTTCTTCCTTTCATTTTAAGCCAACTCAAACTCATCAACCAACCACCTGCTCCTCTTTACCAAAACCAAACATGCCTAACACAAAAGAGTCCAGCCAGGGAGACCCCCTGAGGGACATACACACAGTGTTGGCAAACTTGACTAGTCAGCTGATACCTCAGTACATGACTAAGATTCAAAAGGCCGAACCCTCCAATCCGGAGGATGCAATGGCTGACCTACTGGAAACAGCCTTAACCACGACACTTCGTGACAAAGAGCTCACTAGATGCATGTCTGTCGTGATGTCTTCTCAGCTTGAGTATAAAGACTACTTGCTGGAATGCGCTTTAGCAAAGATAAAGGCGCAAAAAGACGAAAATAGCGCTCTGAAAAAGACGCTAGAAGAGACTAAGAAGTCTCTAAGTGTTTTAGAAAAACACAGTGCCAGATGTAAAGCGTCAAAGCTTCCCTCACTAATAAGTCATGAAGAAAATCTTGATCTTAAAGACAAGATTGAAAGACTTAATGAAACCCTTTACAAAAAGGAGAAAGAACTTGATGACACGAATAATCAGCTTGCTAAGACCACAGAGGATCTGATACAGTCAGAATCCCTGCTAGAGCAAGCAACAGAAGATGTAAAGGCTTTGAAAGCACTGGTCAAAGTGCGTGCTGAAGCTCTTGAAGTTAAGGAGAAGCAAACTTCTACCTTACGGCACCAGCTCCAGATAGCTCAAAGACAGTTAATTCTTTGTCAAGAACGGCAAGAAAAGACAGACAAAGAACTTGAAGATGCCCAAAGAGAGTTA